AATCTCACTTGTCGATACCGAAGATGTCCTTCAAGACCTGCAGCGGGTCATTTTCCAGCTCCGCGATATCACCTCCGCTCAGGGCTCGCCTTCGAAAAAGTTGAAATTCGATCATCAATATCAATACGCGGGCGTCGAACGATACGAGACAATCTCACTTGTCGATACCGAAGATATCCTTCAGCACCTGCAGGGGATCGTTCTGGAGCTCTGCGATGTCACCTCCGCTCAATGCACGCCTATGTGAGTTACGAGTTCAGCGTGCCTGATACGAGCGAATGTGTATGACGGACTTACGGGGCGGCGATCAGCGATTCCTTGGGGAGACGGCTGGGCCCAACTGAAGGGCGAGCGGTGACCAACCCCGAGAGGACCACAGCAAAAGAGAGGGTAGCGAAGAAGCGCATCTTGAGATCGTGACGGGTCGGTCAATAGAATCGATGCTTTGCAAGAGTCGTGAAAAATGAGGAACCTGTAGAGGGCCATGTCAGGTTGCTCTGCCGATTATGTTGTTGGCGGGAGGACGAACCGTTCGCCGGCGAACTGATGCTTGGGATCCTGGAACACGAAAACCCTAAGCATGACCGAGAGCGTGCAAGGCCATCTTATAGTCTGTCCATTCCGACCCTATCAGCCGGGCGGAGAATTCCGTTGATAGGGTAAGTTGATCATGCCGAGTGGATCCTCATGCCTCCTTGGCGCCTGGCAGGTTCACAGCCCTCTGTTCGTTGCTGAGATGGACAAGGCTAGCCGGAAACGACGGTAGGTAGGTAGGTAGGTAGGTAGGTAGGTAGGTTTCACCGGCTATCAATGCTGGGCTATCCCTTCTATTAGGCTGTGTCTCCAAGGAAAACGCCAATTATCAACGGCAGCCGCGCATCGATATACGATCAAGTGTAGTTGATCGGCAGAGGGCACAGCCTCCCTCAAAAGCAGGTAGATGATGTCATATCCTCAACCTCAAGGCGCAAGCAAATTCAACGTCTTGTACGCTTGACTCCCGCTAGGATGTACTATGCGGGAAGATGGCGATCTGTTGGATCCAATGCCCACAGAGCTGAAGATGCGACGGTCTCGACCTGCGATGTAGAGATCCATTATCGTCAACGAGGCGTGTATATCCGCGTCGTCGTCCACGAAGCAGATGAGGCATGGCGGAGAGCCAGATTTGAATGGGAGTGGGTCGCCATCTAAGAGTTGTCTGAGCGCAAGGGGCGCAAATGAATGGGGGCCGTGGATGCGCAAGACTAATGAACGAAGATGGGTCAGGGATTCCGGGTTGATAGAAGCAACCCATGCTGGACGCCACGTTAGATGATGAAGTGCACGACTGGATGGATCAACGTACATTCGATATCAGCGTCGGCTCCACACATTGTGAAATCGAGCTCAATTTCTTCCAGGCCCATCATCGCGCTCGTCAACCGCACCCAGCTTTGGTCTGGAAGTTGACCCGGGCCTATCGACAGTCGAATGGACAACCGCCGCAACACGCTGAATTCGATCCGAGAACATGCCCACGCTATCTGGAAGTGCGTATGATCCAGAACGAGGCTATGATACTCAAGACGCCTGGCGGACGTGTATGGTGCTCGTAGATTCGCGGAGGCACGACGATATTTGAAGACGCCCTCCATGCGTAGGTCTCGCACATTAGGAAACGAGGAGACAAGGCGGTCCAGCTGATAGTGGGATACGAACTCGCACTCCTCCAAGCACAGGCAAGACGCGGTGCGATAGTTCTCCAGCAGGTGAGTCATGGTGGCCTCATCGCATCTCGAGCCCGAGAAGTCCACCACAGTCAGCGTTTGTACTTGCTGAAGCCGCCCCTTCAGTGCAGGAAAGATGGACTGCATCCACGATGTCCGGTTGCCTCGCTCATATCGAGGAGGCGCATGGTGGCAAAGGATGGTCAGGGTCCGGACCAGACCACCGATCCATGAGCTGTGGGACAACAGCCTTGAGAAGGGCTTGCTCGTGATAGAGTCAAGAGTAATGTTTCGGAATAAGATGGACGTCGCAGGCGAGTACCAAGCTTTGCATACGAGGCGCGCGGCTGCCACGTCTGGATCAGGGAATCTGCTCGTACTGGCTGTACCCGCACAGTTTAGTATGATCTCGAGCAGGATTTCTTCAGGCAACGGTATCATCCTATCATAAGCTGTATGTGGTATTTTCGCGTTCAGCGATATCGAAGAGATTGCGATGGGCCTGAAGTGAAAGAAGATACAGGCCTATGCAGGTTGCAATTGGAGAGCCGTGGTGTAGCACAGCATCCGGCGATCGTTCCCATCTCCCATCTTTTCTGCTCTGCCTCGTCCTCCCCGGCGCCGCTCTGTAGATATCACCTCAGGCCTCCGCATAGATCTTGAGTCCCGTCTGACCTGAACCTGCTCCCGCTTCAACGACACTCTATCGTAAAGATCGAGCTAGTCCCCTCGGTTTCGTCGCCGGTCTCTTGCACATTATCCTGGGCGGTGCTGGTCCGCGTGCTCGCGCGCTCTCTCTCAGGTTCGTCCTGCGCAAAACATTCGCACCCTCCTCTGCCACACCTTCATACGTACTGTCTCGCTCGCAGTACACGCGCTCATTTTCTATACAATGTCAGCTATAATATGGAGCCTGTCGTCTCCCCGGAAGTCACTGCCGAGCTCACGCAGATTCTCTCCAATCTTGTTCTCGGAGACAACGAAATCCGGCAAAAGTAGGTGTTTAGCATGCGCTTGCGTGCCATCCGTTGACCAATAGCGCAGTGCAGAGAATGCCGTTAACGAACGCCTTGCTCAGACGCCAGAGCTCTATCTTCTGGCTCTGACACAGTTTGCAATATCAGCCGACACCGAAGTGGTAGGCGTTTGGCCATAACACCCTACTCACGCTGAACATATGTTACCCAGATGCGTTCGTTCTCGTTAGTCCTGCTCCGACGGCTTCTATTCCGTTCATCGCAAGCAACCCCGAAAGCATCGGGTACCATCTCCACTCCATTGTCCGATCTATCGCTAGCCTCCACCAGCCAATCTACGCTTTATGACCACCTGAGCGTCAATGCTCACAACGCGCTGGAACGCTTACTCCTTCATTCACTGGCGCGTGAGCCCGCATTGTCAGTTCGAAGAAAGACCGCGGACACCGTTTGCGAGCTGGCGAACGAGGGTATGGCCCGGGGTAGGCCCTGGCACACTCTGCAAGCGCAGGTGTTCTCCATGGCTCAAGCCTCAGGTTCTGATGCGGAACGCGATGGACGCGAAGTGGCATTTCGGGTTTTCGCTGGAAGCGTGGGCTTGATCGGCGATCTGCAGGTCGAAACGGTTGTCGGCGTCTTGACGCGCGGTTTGCAAGACTCGGAAAGCCTCGAGGTGGCGTTCTATATTGTGACTCCGTTGAATGTATTGACACTGTTCCAGGTTCGCCATGCAGCGCTGAGGGCATCCGTCTCATACCTGTCGTCCATCCCGCCTTCAGACCGTACACAGCTGGCGCAGTGCCTCGGCCTCCTCCACCCGATGCTCGAGATTCTTCCAAGCTTGCCACATTCACAGCTACCGAAGTTCCTTGCCACCCTCACACCGCTCACGTCAGTACACCCCGTCGTATTCCAGGAACACATGCCAGCTTTACTCTCCTTTTTCTCTGCGCTTGTCGTTCCCATGGCGGATGCCGGCCCGACTCCGACCGTTGCTAGGCCTTTTCCAAGTAAAAACGGCAACGGAAGTCCAGGACAAGATAGAGCGTTCTCCTTCGACTTCGTTACGACACCCGGAAAGGGGAAGGAGAAGGCTCCGGAAGACGAGGAAAAGGAAGAGCGCGACGAGGTTCGCAAGGCGGCGCTAGAGTTCATGGTCAGCCTTAGCGAGGCCAAACCAGCCATGGTGAAGAGGGTGAGCGGCAATGGTTGGGTAGTGGCGATCGTTCGAGGTTGCTTGGAGGGGATGGGCGAACTGCCGGAAGATGATGATATGCTGCAGGCTTGGCTGGATGCAGATGTAGGTGGCCGCTCCTGCTTATAGTATTCGCGTTTACATGCTTTACACCATAGCCTGCGGAGGATCCTACGGATGATGTATACCCGCATGTATACGAGCAAGCATTGGACCGCCTTGCTTGCGCGCTTGGGGGCAAGTCGGTGCTGCCCCCCTCGTTCCAGTACATTCCAGCGATGATGAATTCGCATGACTGGCGGCTAAGACACGCTGGGCTAATGGCTATAGCAGCTCTGGCAGAAGGCACGAGCAAGGTCCGTGAATATTCGTCTGACATCATGCACCAGTGTTCTGACGAGACTCAAGATCATGGTGAACGAAGTTGGTAAGGTCGTCGCGTAAGTACCGACAGTGCAATCTCTATACCGTTGCTGATCAGAGGTCAGCCTGGTTACGCCAATGTTCGGAGACGATCATCCCCGCGTGCGGTATGCCGCTTGCCAATGCGTGTTCGTCGTTTTCCAAGACACTTTATGGGCCAAATACAAACGACTGACACATGCTATGGGATGCAGCGGCCAACTGTGCACCGATTTAGAAGAGATCATTCAGGATAAATATCATGAGCAACTCTTCGGGGTACTTATTCCAACTCTCGAGGCACCTGAGTCACGGTCATCTCGGTTCCCTTGATGCCATGCCAGTCATTCTCATGTCTGCTTGCGAACAGGGTTCACGCTCATGCAGCAGCGGCTCTCATCAACTTCTGCGAAGGTGTCGAGCACGATACCCTCGTGCCCTACCTGGATCCCATTGTCGAACGGTTGCTGAAGCTTCTGCACTCCGGGAATGCACAGACGCATGCGAAGCGCTACGTGCAGGAACAAACAATCACTACATTGGCTATGGTTGCAGATGCCAGCGAGGCTACGTTTGCCAAGGTTTGCGCCTAGCCCAACTTGCCGGTACACTGAGAGATGCTGATCACCTCATGTAGCATTATCCGGCTATTATGCCTCTACTGTTGGATGCGCTAAGGAATGCGAACGGTCCCGAGTACAGAAAACTCAGATCTAAAGCCATGGAATGCGCGGGTCTGATCGGTATGGCGCCCGCTCTCCCGGACCCTCCGTTATTTGACGTGTTCGTCTAGCGATCGCTGTAGGACGGGACGTGTTCCGCCCTGACGCAAATGCTTTCATCGAGCTCCTTATGCGGATACAAAGTACGGCCCTTGCGAGAGCTTCGTGTGCACGGCTCTCATTCAGTCACTATCGCAGATAGCCCCGTCGACCCTGGCGATACGATGTCCACCCACTACCTAATTGCCACCTGGGCGAAGGTCTGCCAAGCCATGGGCCCCGAGTTCGAACCGTATCTCCCCGTTGTCATGCCCCCGCTGCTTCAGGCCGCAAGTGCGAAAGCCGATGTGTCTATCTATGGTATATCTTGATATATAGTCGCGACTGTTCGCTTGCTCATAGAACCTAACGTAACAGATGAAGATGAGGGTGTTGAACAGAAGGAGGGCTGGGAGACTATCATGATGGATGGGCAACAGGTTGGGATCAAGACATCTGCTATAGAGGAGAAATGCCAAGCCTTCGAAACTCTGGTGATCTACTGTTCCACGTTGGGCCCCCGCTTCGCGCCATACCTGTCCCAGAGCCTCGAACTGGTCCTTCCGTCCTTGCGGTTTTTCTTCCATGATGGTGTCCGGGAAGCGTGCGCGATGTGGGTCTACATCGTTCACTATCGAGATTCACAACCTCACGTCCGTTTCAGGCTTATTCCTATGCTCATGTCCTGCGGAAAGAGCAGTGGTACTCTGACGCAACAGATGGTTGCCGCCACGTTCACACAGCTGGTCAATTGCATAAGTGTGGAACCTGACTCTTCTTTCCTCGCATCCCTCTACAAGGCCTTCGCCGACTCCCTCCGCGTGATAGGCGGTCCCGCCGCTCTTCCTCATGAATTCCATGCGGGCATTGTCGAGGCTACTAAACGTCAATTACAAAGCCTTGCTGACAGACGCAAAGCACGGTCTCAACGATCGCCGGCGGAAATTGAAGACGAGAAAGAGGACTTTATGCTCCTTGAGGAGATGGAAGAGTTCGCACTTGAAGATATGACAAAGCTGTTGAAATACTTCGATCCAAATCACCCGCTACTAGTTGCAGTGGCAAGCGTACGAGATTTAGGTTTGGGTCTGGGACAGTGGGACGAGGATGGGCAAGCTGACGACTAAAGGACAGGCGAGGGACGGTGATGCATTGGTTTCCCTTCCGTCCCAACTATCCTTCGCAAAGACTAGGGATTACCATCAACATACAGTATAATAGCAGAGCTGTCATGCTCGGTTTTCCTTTCTCCTGGCATCAATGTAGCCTACTTCATGTATTTACTATCCGAGTATGCCGTCCAGAATGCTGATAATCTTCTTCACTTCTTCTATCGTGTTGTAGTGCACCAGGGATATGCGAACCACCCCATCATTCACGTCGAGCTTGGGCTTCAGCTCGTCGACAAGGGTGTATGCGTAGAAATGTCCATAGCGAATTCCAATCTGCAGCGATCGTTGTTAAAGCGATAGGCCAATGGCGGATAACACACAGGAGCAAACTTACGCCGCCATGCTTATCAAAGACGTTCACGATGTCCTTGCTTTTGATGGGTTGTTGGCCAACAACCACGAAACTGATGGTTGGCACCCGACCCAGTCCTGCCATTTCCTCCCCGACGATACGTACGCCTTTGTCGTACTTAGAGAGAAGGTAGTGTATGAGAGGCTCAACCAGAGTTTGCTCATGCTTCGCGATGACATCGAAGGATGCGACGAGGTCGTTCTCGGCGCTCAGGGAAAGTAAGTACGGCACCACGGCCGTGGTTCCATAGACAAGCTCGTAGCCCGGGCCGCCAGGCTGTAACTTGTACGTATGCTTATCAACCTTCAAGAAGTGATGTGCAATGGAAGTGATGGAGTGCTCCAAAGCAAGAGCTCGTATATATAGGACGGACTGGTGGCAGGCGTAAACCTATGGATTTGATGAGCGTACGTTTGTTTCTGCTGGCGCATTCAACTAACCTTATAAAAGGAAAAAACGCAATAATCTACGTCCCAATCGCGAACGTCGATCCTGCGATGTGGTGCATACGCAACACAATCAACGGACACCTCAACTTTGTTCGCTCCCCGGGCAGCAGCTGTTTCGCGGACGGCCTTGACGACCTCCTTCACCGGCACGACGGATCCCAGGATATTGGAGCAGGCCGTGAACGCCACGAGACGCGTTTTACTCGTGATCAAGGGAAGAAGATCCGAGACCTTGAGAGAGATCGAGTAAGGATTGGATGGTGATACAGTGGTCACGTTCGGGGAGGCATGCCAGTACTTGACGACGGCCCCAGTCCTGTTGGCTAGCTTCTTCCATGGACCGCCATTAGCTGGAAGCACATTCAGATTCCATCCGAGGGGTGATGAACATATATGATAACGTCGCTACGCACCCTCGTGTTCCCCAGTGACTATCAACTCGTCCCCTGCTTTAATGCCAGCCTCGAGTCCACGAGCTAGATTTTCCATCAACATCGTAGAGCTCGCGCCGTACGCAATTTCATCGGGGCTTTCTGCGTTAAAGAGCTTTGCAGCTTCAACGTTTCCTTCCGCGACCCTCTGCGTGCTCAGGACGCTGACACTGTAATCCGCGCCGAGTTGCACATTCGTGTTTATCAGGTAGTCCGTGACCCGATCGACAACGTCCTTCAGGCATTGAGAGCCGCCCGCGTTGTCGCCGAAGATGTAGCCAGAGGAAAGTGCAGGAAACTGAGCCCGGACATTCTCAATGTCGAGTGTACCAGAGGTCATGACGGTCAACGGTCGATGTGTAACTTGCTATCCGAGTACTGAGATAACGACCACGGGGAAGGATCGCACACATGGCTCCCGTGGAAGACGATGTGGCCGAGATAACATGCGGGAGTAGTTGACCATGACCATGAACAGAACATCCGACGGCACGATGGCTCAGTGCGTGCACAGCCACGCGCACGCAGCCAAGTAGCTTTCGAGTAAGTACTTACAGCATTACAGCACGGGCATCAGGTCGAACGCCATTTACGACAGGCTGCTCCAAGTTGGGTATGAACGACACCCTCCCGCTTCGATCCAGATATGTGCGACATATGCATGGTTTGCCGTGCGCCCGCAACTTGAAGCGCATATCACCTACTCGTAGACGGACAATCGGGCGAAATCCCAGTATGCGTCCACGAAGGCGGCAGGGTTCCGGTTAACGTAGTCTATGGAAGGGTATGATGAGCGGGATCCGATCTGGTAACTTCTGTAATATCTTACCTGTGCAGCTGGCACCACAACCATTCGAGGTGAATACGGCGCCGGCCCAATCGCCACCTTCGGAGAGACGTTTGATCTGACGCAAGGACGAAAATTCATCGTTTGAAGCTCACAGAGGGTAAGATTTATGATGATATTATTCTCTCCGAATTTAGCCTCCAGATCACAGGTAGAAGTCGATGGGAAGCTCGCGTATGGTGTACCCTTCAATCGCATGATGAGCGGCGCAATGGACATAAGACGGGCGTGTAGCTCACCCAAAATGTAGTATCTATGATGGGGCTACCGGAGTAAACGTCGAGCGGGACGAACTTGCTGTTCCTTGGCCAGAACCATACTTTAATAAACTTGTTCGTGCGCTCCATAGCATACCTGTATAGATGATTCTGAGTTCCGGGATCGCGAATAATCATCATAGTAGTTTACATACCATCCACCGCCGGCGGCGTTGAATGCGGGGCCATACGAGTTAGTGGCAGGGGCTTGTACCCCGCAGCCAGCGTTGTAGTTGAAATCCACGTCACAGTTTGTGGAGACTGTCGTCCTGGTAGGACAGTTAGCGTGCCATGCGAGAGGGAAGTAGTATCAATACCCGGTCTGAGAACGTGTTTCGGGCATTGTGCAATTGGAGCTGGTGTGCAACGTGCTCGCGTTCGGCTCCACGTCGTTGACTCCCTCGACGATGTCGATCTCCCCGGAGGCGGGCCAGTCACTCTCCAAGGTTTCCCATGCCGCAGGCCATGTGGCGCAGCCCTGCGGCATATGACGGATGTCCATCCTGCAAAGCATTGAGTGGAATGTACAGCAGAAACCGCCTTCTTGGACGCACACAACAGCATGGGTTGTAAACACGCGTTTGCTTCTGATGCGCACGCTTTGTCTTCCTGGGTCAGAGTCGGAGAGCACAGTCGTATGGTCTGCGCGTATTACGAAGGAGTGCTGTGATGCGTAGGTAAGATTGCTCGCCAGTGCGGTCGCCTCGTCCACGTATGTCCTAGAGCCATTCGAAGCTAGTAAGTTCCATATTCGCTGTGAATAAGCAAACAGGGAAACGCGTACACGCGGCCATGGGTGGGGTCATCGATGGCCTCATGTTCGAAATTGTCGAGGAATTGGCGCCCGACGCTGTTTTGCGACTGCAGATAGATGGCACTCCGGGCGAGGAACGCATGCGCGAGCATTACGAGCGCGACCGTAGGACAACGCATGTTGAAGACTTTGCGAACCAAACACAAAGCTCGTCAGCGACCTATCAAGCTATAAGTATGCGACGGAAAATCATGAGCGGCAAGTATATCCTGTGGCGTGCGCACATGCGAAGATATTTCGGTGTCATCTGGCTGTCATCGGACGATCGGTGTAGAGCCTACGCAGAAGCTGTTTCGGATTCTACTGTCGTCTCGATCCGGACGGTCTCATCGCTACGAATGGGCCGTAGGTAATAGCCGCCCGAGTGGTGTGTTGCTACATGCGTTTTGCGTGAGTCTACTGTTGTCTGCGGCGAGTAAGCCGCTGAATTACACGTTAAAAACTGTTCAGAAAATGTCAGTCACGGTCCATGCAACTGCCGAAGGTGTCAGGGCGGGTTTTACTGACCCAGGTCACATCCAGGCACATCAATGGCATGACCAAGGTCCGAGAGTCTGAGCGTCGAAAACGTCGAGAACCTTAGCTCCAATTCTGCTCTGTCTGTGTATATAATGGAATCCGACGCTATGACTTGGGACCAGCGACGCAGAGGAGTACCAAATAGAATGGCATCGATGGCAGTTTGTGCGCTCATTTAGCATGAAGGAACTGGGAGGTCATGATAGAGCCATGTGAAGTTCCGCGCGACAACCGATTGTTCCGCTATTGGGATCGTGCCGGAAATATACCTACCTACCTACCGCATACCCAGGCTCCTAAACCATCCGCACGTATCGTGTTCATATCCAGCAATCCTAGAGCGCCGGGCAAGGTTGGATCATAGATGGGAAAATACTACCATTATTGTAAATGCATTATGTAAGAGTCCAAAAGCGTTAAGCGACATACTCTTTTTGGAAACGTAAGGGCTGGATTGAACACGATACGGCGACACACGGATAAAGAAGTGACCACCATTCGATGGTGTCGCAGACAAATATATGAAGAACCGGAGCTCGTCGTGACGTATGTCCAGCGCCCCCCCCCCTCTCTACCTTCATAGTCCAATCGCTTTACCGTTCCATAGTGCTGCAATGGATGGTACCACACGAATATGGGCTTCAACGTCTGGTGTCTGTTTGTGAACATTGTCCTAAAATCAAGGAAAAACAAAGGCGTTGGAAATCAGCCCATGTGGACAATGGATGTCTACGGGCGGGCTTGACGGTCGATTGGGTGTTTACGACATCAAGGTCGATTTCCCAATGTAATCTGTTTATCCACTTTGCGATGCTCACCCGGTGCTTACAGACTGGGAAGAGGATTGCACGATGGCGGTGGAGCTACAATGGAGGGCAGGACGCTGAATGCCTGCACGATATTGTCTGGCAACAATGCGACGATGGCACGAACCGATTCCCGGTAGCTCTGCACAGTCGGGTCGCGTTGCCATCATTAGCCCCACTTAAGCATACGCTTTTGCACCTCGAGTATCCCGAGTGAAGTCGGAGTGAAAGTAATTCATGCTGCCTTCACCACCGCTTGCCTGCCCTCTGCCTCCTTGTAGGGCATTTTCCCAACCACGGACGATCTGAAAGTACACCCACCGATTGCTTATAAACCTTCATCTACAGTCTCGGATACAGCAGCGCTGCACATCAAGACCATTCCTTGAGCTCCGAGCGTGACGTCCAATAGATAGAATTTAGATAATCTAATATACATCTGTTTTGCTGATATCAATACGGAAACGGCGAGCTTGCCACTGTTTGGTTTCATTGGTAGACGCTCAAGCGAGCGAAGTCCCAGTAGGCATTCACGAAGGCCGCTGGGTTCGCATTGACGTAGCCTGAGAGAGGCCGTGCTCAGAAACAGACGGACACACATGGTAAAAGGCAGATGATACTCACTGACGCAGTCAGAACCGCAGCCGTTGCTGGAGAACACCGATCCGGCCCAGTCGCCGCCTGCGCATAATGTCGTCAGCATTCGAGCACAGTCGGGATGTCTCGGAATACTCACAGAGGGTAAGGTTGATGATGATGTTGTTCTCGCCGAAGTGGGACGAAAGGTCGCAGTCGGTGTTCGGGAAAAGCGCCGTGGGCGTGCCCTGCGGGAAGATGACGTCATTTAGTCTTCCCGCACGCGCAGCGGGGTTCTGGGGCAACTTACCCAGTTGTCGGTGTCGACGGTCGACGAACCGCCGGAGACGTCGGAGGGCACGGAGGTGGAGCCTCGGGACCAGAACCAGACCTTGATAAAGTCGTTCGTGCGTTCCATCGCGTACCTGATTCGAACATTAGCGATGAGCAGCGGAGTGACCGGGGTCAACGCACCATCCTCCGCCAGCGGCGTTGAAAGCCGGTCCGTAAGAGTTGCTATCTGCGGCGTGTACGCCACAGCCCGCGTTGCCGTTGTCAGCAGTGTTGCAGTCGGTGCTCACGGTCGCCCTAAAGGTTCACGATTAGCGATGACGTCATGCGTCACCACGCGAGACGGTGCCTCACCCGGTTTGGGCGACCGAGGCGGGCATGGTGCACCCGGCACTCGTGTGCAGCGTGCTCTGGTTCGGCTCGACGTCGTTCACGCCCTCGATGATGTCCACTTCTCCCGAGTTGGGCCAGTCGGCTTCGTCGGTTTCCCAAGCCGCTGGCCAGGTAGCACAGCCCTGGGGCATGTGGCGGATATCCATACTGCACAACTACGGTGAGTATGAACGCTGGGACGGGTGTAATCGGACTTACACGACTACGTGCGTGGTGTATGCGGCGTTGCTTTTGATCCGAACGCTGTTCCGTCCGGGATCGGACGCAGCGAGGGTCGTGGTGGAATCGGTGCGCATGATGAAGGTATCACCAGAGGCGTAAGTCAAGTTGTCTGCCAAGGCAGTGGCCTGGTCCACGTATGTACTACCGAGGGATATCAGCGTGAGTAACACGGTTTGCAGAGGTCATTTCACGTACACTCTGCCGTTTGTGGGATCCGCGATCGCCTCATGGCCGAAGTTGCTGAGGAAATCGGTGCCGACATTGTTCTGGGTGAGCGAGTAGGTCGCGGCCGATACGAACGGGACGAGTGCTACCAAGGCGAGACCAGCCGAAGCCTTCATGTCGACGATGGATAGAGGGAAAGCTTGGACGCGCCGTGAGGCTCACATCTACCAAGGAAATGTGAACAGCTTACTGGAAATGCGCCTTGAGACTGCGGGGTAACGCGCTGATGAGCGAAGTCAAGGGCGCTGACCGGCGGAGTCGTAGTGACGATGGGTATTCTCGCCTCCATCTAACGACTCTTATAGACGGAACGTCCAGGCGGCCTCCGTGGCAAATACGCGTACCCATGTGGGTCTTCTGCAACACCTGGTCCACCCCAAATCACGTCGCCACCAGTACTGTCGCTATCGGGGGATGGAAATTGTTGAAAATATCCTTCTCTCAGCGGGCCCGAAGGTCAAGGAAGGGTCATGCTGACGCAGTCATGCAGGACAGAAGCGGTTCCGGTGACAATGCTATCACACGGCTCGATCGCGGCGACGTAGTTCCAGGAAAGACAGTCTAGGGCGCCTGATAGGCTTCGCGACCGGAGACCTACCGAGTTGGTCGAGGAGGGAACGGCGGAAGGCGATGGAGGACCCGATAAGGCAAGGATCGCGGGAGATTTTGGACAAAAAGCGCGACGGAACGGGGCTTTGTGCATCTTGATAATAGCAGCGGCCGGTCGTCACGCGCCCCCGGGAGCACCGAGCGTTGCCAGGCCTCGACGGAATGGAGGCGTCCATCGGGGAGGTGCATGTGCGGAGAAGTATCGGATCATCTCCTGCTGTGGGCATCGAGCGCGCTTTGGCTCACGCAAGTTGGTCACGAGCCGCATATTGGGAAAGGACGTCCCGTTCGCAGACGTCGCGAGCTGGAGTGTACAGAAAGCGACGAAAAGAGAGATGAGGAAGCGGTGGACCGTAGCATATGATTTCGCATCGATAGAAACGCTTCATCCGGCAGCGCCGACGCTGGGCCAGTGGGGATGGTCTACATTATTCCGGTAGGTAGGTAGGTAGATTGCCGAGGAGGTCCCGATTGAGCGCGACGGACGGGGCGAGAATAGAGCTGACCCACAGGTCGCAGAGTGTCTGCTAATCGATGCGGACGCATGAGATAGCGTCGAGGATGGGATCAAGCAAATTGCAGTGTCTGGCCGCTTCTTCAGGTTCTCGAGATGACGAAGGCACATGGAGGTCAAGCTCGTGCGTCACGCGCCGAGGACGTGGCAACGACTGAGTGCGAATGCGTTCGTCATGGGGAGAAGACGAAGGAGGCGGCAGTCGTTGTGTGCCACTGCCACGCGCGCGTGACGTCATCGCAGCACGCCAGTCGTCCCCGGCTTTGCTCGCCTGTACTGTCCGTTGCGAGAATGAGATTCGACTTGACCAGAGTTCTGCCTGCGCTCTCCTTGTCCTACCTGAACCCGCTCAACCACAGGCCGATCAACCCGATATACAGAGCGCTAGCAACCGCAGTCCGTTGCGATCTACTCGAGATGACCGCCTGCTCACCTCGGGCACATTGTAGTCCATGGCATCGCCCTCTGATCTTCAATCCTGGGCCCAGAATCAGCTGGCGGCCGTGTATAACGCCGCTTCTGACGAAGACTTTGATGCTGCCGTCGAGCGAACGTTCAGCCAGGATGCACAGATCGAAATAGACGGAAAGGCATACGGCTTGTAAGCCTTGCTCAATCTTGCGAGCCATCTTCTCATCCGGCTTGTAGATCTGAAGCCAAGGAAGCGTTCGGAATCCAGCGCAAGCCTGGTGTATCCACCAAGAACGACTTTGCGTGGGAACAAGAGCCTAAATCCTTGGCTGCAACAGCAGAAGGAGGCAACGCAGACGAAGTACGCGCCCCTTTTCAGACTTCAACCGCACCCTTCCGATCTTTGTCCCGCAGGTAACCGGCAGCATTCTGCTCACACATCACATGAAGTTTCGCATCCGCGCGGCGCCCGCCCAGACACAAACCGTCATCAACTTCCACGCAAAGTCTGTCCTGCGCCTTCACGCTCACACGACGACTGCCTGTCTGATTAATCGCGCAGGGTCTCGGGTGAAGGTTCTGCACGTCGCATCGTCTCACTCAAGGAGTCCATTGAAGGTCGACAAGTGCCCATCAGGTTTCCGCAGGTGAGCACGTGCACGACCTTGGTTTGCGACACGCCACTGACTTCTTCTCAAGGTTCATAGGCACGACGAAACATGAACGTAAGAGAGATAATGATGGTTTCATATGCGCTCTCTGCTGTAACTGCTACATGTCCAACAAATATCGCACCAACTAGTACGGTTGCGTTGCGCAATCATCTCTATGCTCATAACGTATGTAGCTGCCTACGTGCGGCAAGCCCCGAATGTGCCACTGCACAGCTTGGGAACCACTTTTGGAAACTCTTTGCTCTTTGATCTGCTCGTCTGCAAACAACATCGCGTTCGTCCCCAGTGTTCGCCTCTCCGGGCTCTCCTTATGCGAATTAGCGTCCTTTGGCATGCTGCTAAAGACGATACACGTACTTGGCTCGGGTTCTGTCAAAGGGGGTGAATCGTAACTCCGACACGGGCCACGCAGCCCCTATCTCCACAATGCCACCCCGTTGGGCAAGGCCACAGACCGACAGCCTCGCGTTTCTTTGTCCAGACAATTTCTTTGTGGCCTTGGCATAAATATGCGAACACGGGGCGTTTTGCTCTTGACCAAGACACTCACCACCCCTCCACTTCGAGGCCCTCCAGTGACCCTCGAATCATCCCCCACTTGAACATCATCCTACTCGAGCTACATCTCTGTTTAACGCCGGTCATGCCAAAGGCTCAGTCTGATCTTAAGACTCGCGCATCCGTCGTTCGTCGCGCCTGGAACTATCTCAAGCGCCATGCATCGACAAATCCCGAGGGACCTCACCTCCAGTGATTCTTTCTTTCATTATCCACACATATCCTCCCATGCCACTCTTTCCTTCAACGTAAAGGATCTAATCTGATGACTACGTGTTGTAGACTCGCCGAACATGCTGCTGCAGTGACAGCTCCGGCGATTGTTGCTGCCGTGGTGGCTCCGGCTGTTGTTGCCGCTGGCCCACCCGCCACCTCTGACGACGGCGTCTCCGATTCAGAGTCGGCGACCGACTACCAGGACAGTTCGGACGTGGAGTCAGCGCCCACATCCGACGGCACTTCCATCGATGCACACCTCGATGCCGACGACGATTCGAAGGCAGGCGACGAGGAGCCACCCGTCATTGTACGCGCCGCTACCGACGCATCTAGCACTTCGCCCACCGCAACCTCTGCATTTGCGTACGACCAAGAGCCGTCTTACGAAGACGAAGATGATACTCCCTCTCTAGGAGAAGACAGTCTCATTAACGACGAACATGCTGAGCATGACGCCGGTCGCGCCGCGCCCGCTGCGGAGGTGGATGCATTCCTAGCCACCGTGACACCAAATGTTGTCACCGCCCCTCCGGCGGATGCGTCGTTCACGGCTGCTGAAGATCCTTCGACGGAGCAGCCGTCCTGCGCGCCTAGCGTCACCGCCGAGGGTGCCGCGTCAACCACCGCGCCAGCTGCACCATTAGCAAGGTCATCCTCAGTCGCCGCCCCAGCCACTGTCCAAGCTGCACCAAATGGAGGACCGTCCTCGATTGCAGGGCCGTCCTCGATTGCAGGGCCGTCCTCGATTGCGGGACCATCCTCAGTTGCCGCGCCCACCACCGCGCCAGCTGTACCGCTTGTAGGTCCAACCTCGAACGGCGGCCGCGCCGCCCGCAATCCACCTCGTTACAGTACGTGATCACTTACTTTTTTCGCGCTCGTCGACTCACTTTCATCCAGGAGAGGTGACTTACAACGAGCTTGAGGTACGCCGCGCCCGATTCGTCCGGGCTGAACGGTCCTTCTACGGCGAGAAACAATTGAATCGACGGATTGCGGCACGTGAGGTGGGCTACGTGCCGCAAGATGGAGATCACGCACTATACACCAACGTAGTGCAGCGGACGAGGTTGGTAGAGATCGACACCGATGAAGAAACCAACGAAGACGAAGAGGATGGGGAAGAGCCGGCACCGCCGGCTCAGGCTGTGGATTTTGTTCAGGGCCAGGATCAGTCCGAGGAAAAGAATGCCGACCAGGACCAAGATCAGCCTGAGGAGCATAACGCCAGTGCCGGATCCGATCGCAGCGCAACTGCAAGTGCAGATGAAGACCCCGAGATGGAGGACGCGACGGTCGCGCTCGTTCCCGCCGAACCCGCCGTGGCTCCAGCCCCTCGCAGGACCAAGCGCCGCAGGGCTGACGAGGATGAGGATGAGGAACGCGCTGACGAACCCATCGCCAAGCGTCTTCGGAGCTCTGCTCGCTCCCGTTGAGCGCTGAGCGCTGCTGACGATCTACGTCGTGGCTGCTGCTGAAGGCGGTCATTCGCCGCCAAGGAGCGTCAGCTTAATGTTCCGCCTTCTCCCAACGTACGAATTTGTGACCCGTTTTCTTGCGGGATATTTGGACATTTCATGGACTTCTTCCTCGATAATCATCCATCCAATAACCTGCTTTTTTTTGATTTTTTCGTCATCCCTTCCGCCTCTCCATCGTCCAACCAAAGCTTCGCTCTTCCTCGTTTCTTGCGCGTTTTGATCTATTCCATATCCACCATAACGTAGCGGTAGTCTTGTTCTGCGCTTAGTATTCGCATATTTATCTTATCGAATCTCGGCGCGAAAGCGCGCAGCAATCTCCTGTGGAAATGGCCGAAGCATGGCATTTGAAAAGTTACGGTTATCACAGCGTGGGTTAATGTACAAATGCAAGGATGGTGACGATCTTCCCCTCTATAAATCGCGTTCGTACCAGCGAATTTCGATCCAGATACATTACGTGTTTGCAAATTAGCACTGCGTGTACGATATCAATGACGATTCCGAAGAACGTATCAGACGGAACACGCACGTCTATTTTCCCAATATCGCCCTGGTCACGTATCCGAGGGCGAACCCGAGCCAACCTGCAAACCGCGGATCGCTCTCTCCGACGATTTCGCGTTTCCTCCCCGCCCACGATCCGCGGATCTGCTCTTCTCCAGAGTGTCCGGCCTCGACGTCGACCGGGGACCCAGCGCTGCTCCTTCGCTCGCCGGTGGGCCTCCGCCGCGCCTCCTCCTCCGCTTTCTGCGCCCGCTGCTCCGCCTCGTGTGCGCGCGCCTCGGCGGCCTCCGCCCACGCGTCCGCCTCGAGCTTGTGCCGGTGCGCCTGCTCGGCCAGTTGCTGCGCCTCGCGCATCCGAGCCTCCGCGTCCGCGAGCCGGGTAGCCGCCTCCGCCGCGAGAGCCTCGGCGTCGCGCGCCGTGGACTCGGCCTCGTCCGCCCGTCGCTCGGCGGCGCTGATCTGGCCGTGGGCGGCGCCGAGCGCGCGCTGGGTGTCGCGGTGCGCGTCGTGGGCGGCGCCGAGCTCGTCGGAGAGTTCGCGCAAGCGGTCGTCTCGGGCGGAGAGGGAGGAGGCGAGGAAGGCGAGGTCGGTGAGGAGCCGGGTTTGCAGGTGGGAAAGGCCTTCGCCGTCGGTGATGGGCGCGAGGGCCGGCGGGGAAGCGTAGTGGTCGCTGAAGGGCGAACCGGAGCGCTCGGCTTCGATGAGTTTGGCGGGGCGGACGGGGCTGACGTCCACAATGCTGCTCTGCAGCGATCCTGAAGTGGTCGTCGTGAGCTTTCGGACTGGGGTAGGATGCTTTGACGCTCACCGGCTGAAGAAACCATGATAATGATAGAAGAAATCGAGGTGGTTGCAAAGGTAAAGGTGAGAGCTATGGTAGACTCCAGGGGCGGATCGACGGTTTAAATACGCATCGCGCTCTATGTATGCGTCTGTAGAGCAACATGGATGCCCGTGTCACGGACATGCACTTGCAGCGTTTTCGAGGTGCTTGTGCTGTGCAAAGATATACAGTGTGAGGGTAATATGAGCCTGGGAGGACGCCCATGCCGTCGGCGCGTGTTCGGCACGCTGGGGCGCATATATGTACGCCTCCCGAGCGCAATATGAGCAGAGAATGCAAGACGGATCACACGAGGAAGTTCAGAGCGCATCATAACGAGGAGAGGGTTCTGCCCAGCGCAACACGGAGCAGGCGTCTGGGGTGCGTGCCAAACATAGCGTCAGATACGCAAGGGGCGGAGGCTTGAAGGCTGTTCTGGGCTGTTGAAGGCGGATTTAGATGCAGTCGCTGTACATACCGCGAGCAGTAGCCGATCGATTTCCTCGGGCCTCGACAAAGAGACATGATACATGTCGATATTAGTATCCGCATGAGCTGTTGCCGTTGCACGCAACGGCGGCGACGGATGGCGGGCATGCAGACAAGCTCGAGGACGACGGGATGCCTGCTCGGCTGTGGCAAAGAGCATGAGAGTCTAACGACACCCTTGCCCAGGACGGTGCTGCGACGAGAACATGAAAGATATGCATATAGCCGCCGAGCATGCGGGTCGTTTTCTCGGAGTTGTCAGCGGGCGGTCCGTCCATCCTGGTCAAGACGGTGACCGTAGCCCCCCACAAAGTGCGGTCATGGATGAATCCGTTGATGCGGAGATGCGGACCGATGGCAGGTGATTTTGTCGAGATGCGCGTCCCGGAGCCGTGGGAAGGAGGTTTGATGGGCGGGACCTTTTTACTTATCCTTCTATCTACGCTCCCGAAACGCGCCACAGATGGCTTTTTTGTTCGATCAACTACACGCGACGACCTTAGCCGCGCGGGGATGGTCCGAACCCGCCGTGGTCGGTCCAAGGCAGAATATCGAGGCTTGCAAGGCGGGCGGTCTGTCCAGACTGAGCCCGGGGCTCATCGTTCTCCGCAACGGGGGACCTGCTTAATCCGGGGGAAGCTTCCCCGGACGAGGTCATGGGTTCGCGGGCAATGTGTGGCAAGCGCAAGAAGCCATCAATTCAAACAGTGATATGGGGTTCTCGTCCTGTTCGTTCAGGTACGCGCAGGCTACGTGTTGGTACGCTCCATCGATATCGGTCGACGCAGAGCGCAGGTGGCAAGCCAGCGTCGAGCGCGTACACATCGTACACCGCACTCGCCCCGTCAGAGGGGAACGTTCGCCATCCGTCTTATCACCTACGTGTGCGCAGAAGAGTCTGTGGCACCGCGCTGCGACGGGTTTGGCTGCAAGAATGGCAGGACCAGCGACGTTTCTCATGCGATGGCTTCGGACCGATCATTTGTGGCCCCCTTTTCTTCTGCTGCTTCTGCGATGCGCGATGCGCCTGAGCCTTGCCATTTTTCGCCTCTGCACCCCGCCACGATAAATAGCCCACGCCCGCTTCCCCGCATGCCAGAGCTTCCCTGCTCCTCTTCCCCGCCTCTTCTCTCCGTCCTCCTGCCGACCGCCGCGGCCGAAGCCAGCAGCAGCAGCCGCAGAGATGTCCTCGCCCTCCCCCACCACCGAGAAGCCGGACCCGACCACCTCCCACTTCGAGGTCACCGACCACGTTGACCTCAACAACAACGTCTCCGCCCGCATCCAGAACCCGCTCTCCCACATCCCCAAGGCCCAGCTCCTTGCCGACGTCGACGCCTTCGCCCGGGAGAATGACCTTTCCGACAAGGTCGAGTTGCTTCGCAAAGGCGCCCTCGTCGGGCAGAACCCTGCCGCGTTTGAGCGCATCCCCGAGCTCGACGACGCGGACAAGGAGGCTCTCAGGAGAGAGACCACCCACAAATGGAGCCAGCCCTGGTCTCTCTATTTCAGTACGTTTTTTTATGCTGCTCGTGCTCTGATCCTGATACTCAGATTTTTTTTCAGCCATCATCCTGTGCTCCGTCGGTGCCGCCGTGCAGGGATGGGACCAAACGGGCTCCAACGGCGCCAATCTCTCCTTCCCCCAGGAGTTTGGCATCGCCGGCAAGGGCAAGGACGAGTGGATCGTCGGCGTCATCAACGCCGCTCCCTACATCTCTTCTGCCCTCCTCGGTTGCTGGATGAGCGACCCGATAAACCGGCTGCTCGGCCGTCGGGGCGCCATCTTCATTAGGTATGCATTACGCTTCCATTTCTCCGCCTCTTTAACATCGTCGTTGACTCTTTTTCCTCAGTGGCATTTTCTGCTTGTTTTCCGTCATCGGCTCGGGGGTCTCCCAGACGTGGGAGCAGCTCCTCGTCACCCGCCTTTTGCTCGGCCTCGGCATGGGCTGCAAGGCCTCCACCGTGCCCATCTTCTGCGCCGAAAACTGCCCTGCCAACGTCCGCGGCGGCCTCGTCATGTCCTGGCAGATGTGGACTGCCTTCGGCATCCTCCTCGGCTTTTGCGCCAACCTCATCCTCTACCAGGTCGGCCCCATCGCCTGGCGCCTCCAGCTCGGCTCCGCCTTCATCCCCGCCATCCCGCTCGTCATCGGTGTTTACATGTGCCCCGAGTCACCGCGCTGGTACATTAAAAAAGGTCGCTACCACGACGCCTTCCGCTCCCTTTCCCGCCTTCGCAACACGGAGCTCCAGGCCGCCCGGGACCTGTACATGATCCACGCCCAGCTCCTCGAAGAGTCCCAGTTCCTGTCCGACTCGACCTACGTCAAGCGCTTCGTCGAGCTCTTCACCATCCCCCGCGTCCGCCGCGCCACGCTCGCCTCCTTCACCGTCATGATGGCCCAACAGATGTGCGGCATCAACATCATCTCCTTCTACTCCTCCACCATCTTCTCCTCCGCCGGCTACTCCACCCGCGACTCGCTCATCGCCTCCTTCGGCTACGGCCTCATCAACTGGACCTTCGCCTTCCCCGCCGTCTGGACCATCGACACCTTTGGCCGCCGCAACCTCCTCCTCTTCACCTTCCCCAACATGGCCTGGTGCCTCCTCGCCGGCGGCTTGGCCTTCTTGATCCCCGAGACGGAGCCCAAGACCCGCGTCGGCATCATCGCCATGTTCGTCTACATCTTCACCGCGTTCTACAGCCCGGGCGAAGGCCCCGTCCCGTTCACCTACTCGGCCGAGGTCTTCCCGCTCTCCCACCGCGAGGTCGGCATGTCCTGGGCCGTCGCCACCTGCCTCTTCTGGGCCGCCGTGCTCTCCATCACCTTCCCGCGCATGCTCACCGTCATGGGCGGCACCGGCGCTTTCTGCTTCTGTAAGCGCGCATACCGTGCTCCACACCAACCCGTTTTCCTGATTTCCGTTTCACAGACGCCGGCTTGAACGTGTGCGCGTTCTTCATGATCTTCCTCTGGTGCCCGGAGACCAAGCAACGCACGCTCGAAGAACTCGACTACGTCTTCGGTACGCTGTCCTTGGCCATCCACGTCGATTTTTCGACCTCTTTGCTCACAAATGCTCCCCCATACCAGCCGTACCCACGCGCAAGCACATGTCGTACCAGGTCTTCACCTTCGCGCCCTACTGGTTCAAGCGCTACGTGTTCCAAGACAAGACCGCGCGCCTCCCCCCGTTGTACCACTTTGAGCAGGAGGAGGAGGACGCTGCCGCTGCCGCAGCAGCAGCAGCGGAAGTCGTCCCTACCGCGGCCTTCACCGACGACAAGAAGGAGAAGGTATGATGAGCCCCTGCAGCTCTGATGTTACCGTTACCCGGACGATACCTTATAATCTGTTTCGATGGGTATCCGATGGGCTTGTATTACTCTACACGACTTCACGCCTTGTTGTTGCGACTCTTTGTATCCATAATCTTGACGAATTTTCACGCGAGGACCGCCATCCTCTTTCACAGATCATCGAGGAGTATCGGGAAACAAAAAGTCCTTGCTAAGATACGAATAGTACATACATTGGTCCGTCTATACCTGTGTTCATACCGCCGCGGGAAACTCCAGGTCGGGCATGTCCTCCAGCGACGACTTCGAGTCTAGTCGCTGGCGACTGCTGCTCGCCCACGGATCTTCGTCTTGCAGAGGCGGCTTCCAGAAGGCCCAGGCTCTCATGATGTCCTGATGGAGCGCAATCAGTTGACATTCAGCTGTCTAGGGACGGGATCACGACTTGCCATCGACGTCCCGAAAATGATGCACACGGCGATGGGCACTGCGAGTACATATTTCAGAATAGGATGCGACAAGGAAGATTTTCGACGCGTACTTAGAGCGATGAAAATGTTCGGGACGATCATGTAGAACATTGTCGATTTGATGGGTGTGACGATCAGGAACGAGACACTGCAATCATTATCAGTGAACGATGCACCGAAACAGTGGTATGGCACGCGTACCCGATCACGAGAACGCTAAAGACCGTGAAAATGACGATCCGAATGAGCAACGACACCGGTGGCCGAACGCGGGCTAAAGTGGGTCGCCGTCAAAGGTGAGTTGCTGGGTGTCTGCACGAGCCGTAAGAGGGTCAAGATACGCACTGACGGCTTGAGCCTCCTTGAAAGAACGGTCGTTGGCGTGAAAGGCGTATGCGATGTACGCTGCAGAGAGGTTCCAGTAGCTGTGATGTGGTATGTGCACGACTATACCTTCCAATCCAAGCGTGATCAGCACGAAGAGGACCACCCATATCGCGCTCAAACGTCCACTGGGTATAGGATGTATCAGCACGAGCAACACACGCTCACGATGGAATACGCGTATGCTCACGGTGTTCCGGTGGAGATGGTGCAGTATGGGTTCGTGTCACGAACGACGGACTTCCTTTCATTGACTCCGGCCTATTCGAGGAGTTCGTGAATGCCTATGTGGAGAAACAATACTGTTCGCTTACAAGCACGCAACCGACGATGACCGCTATCCAGATGAAGTAAGGGGTGATGATGAGCTGATGAAGAGAACGTGAGCGAGCTGCCACTGTGTAATCAGCGATCTCTCCGGACGTACGGCCGCGTTCTTGATCTTCGTAGCAAGAATAGGATGGTCCTTCTGCATACGTGGGTGGACAAGCGTGTTGATGTTGACATATAGCTGTGAAGTCAAGAATAGTGAGCATCGTTGGTTCGCGGATCAACAGGAGCAGGGATAGAAGAGACGGACCTGGACAAGCAACGCCCAAGCCGAGCACGCCGTCATCGGGGGCGACGCATAGACAAGCGCGGCTTGAATCAGGCAAATGTCGAAAGGAGGCTCCGGACCCTTCTGCCATCCATGAAAGGCTCTGGATGGGGTCATCGGGGTCACATGCGAGAACGCGCGATGGAACAAGCTAGGATGCTTACAGCAAGATGTACGCGATACACGATAAAAGCCAGGTGATACACATGTTGAGCCATACGGGATGCCGCGAGCGACGGACGTTCTTCGAGAGCAAGTACGTCGCAATGAGCAAGCAGACGCCGACAGCCCCCACGGATTCGAGAATTATGAAGACCGTAGGAAGCCATGAAGGGGCCCTGAGTTCCGACACAGATTTAGAGAGCAGAGAGTCTGTCGCGTGTGCCGAAGAGGCCAGAGAGAACGTTCCGGAGCGAGAATAAACGCTCATGGCGCCGTAATGGTACAGACCGCCTGCGGTTCCGCGGCCGGTTGATAGAAAAGTCGAATGTCGACGGCGAACAAGCGCCCAGAATAAATACCGGTATCCGGTCTTGAGAAATAGCAAGGATTAAAGAGGAGTATAGGGACGTAGCCCGTAGGGCATCCGCACTAGCGCATCAGAGTGGGCAGCAAGGGGAGATAAGTCTTGGCCATAATGATGGCCTAGAGGGAGGCCAGTGGCTTAGTCAGCGTAGCGCTGTGCTTGATATTGGACGCGGACGTCGGACACAGATGATAGATCACAGATCGTTGCCCGTCTCTATCGACTCGCCTTAATCTCGACTCCTCTCCTTCTTACTGCCGCATGGCGCTCTCATTGCTCTTTTGACATGGGCAAGGGCAAGGGAAATGCGGGACATCTACGACTGCTACCTATCGTCCTACCTCTTCACACAGGAAGGCGCAACTGATGCATTGCATCTCCCGTCGCCGGGCTTGCAAGCGCAGTTGATGTCGTTGATGGACCTTTCGTCGGCCACCGAACACAGTCGTCTCGGCTCTGCTCTCAGTGCTTACTGCTATTTTGAGTATCTGAGACATGTTGAAAGACTCACACTGCTTACCCTTTTGTTGGTAATCCGGGAGCCATTGGAGGTACATTGCTAGACACCATCAGTTGCGATTTGGCGACATCACCCGGGGCGATAAATCCGCTGTACATTCTTTTCGTGGTTTTGGATCGCCCCAGAACGACTGGACACTTGCGTTCCCCCCTTGCAGTACCCGCGTAAACCCGCTCGTGTGTCCCGCATCAGCCCGAGGAGCGCACGGCAAGGTACCATCTGTACATCATGCGACTGTACGTGAGCTTATTCGACAGTCGCAAAGGTTCACTTGCAGCGTGGTCAAGCCAAGCTTCTCCCCTTCAAGAGCCAATCAGCTCTGGACTGCTGACAAGCCATCAAAGGTACCGGTACTCGACAGTTCAAAAACTCTTCCAGCGCCGTGCGCGGGAAGTTTCAGTCGTTTACTGATGGTCTGCAGCCGCGCTTCTTGCCGTCCTGAGGCATTCGGTCAGTAATCATCGGACACTACGCGATATATAGCATAGCTACAAAGGTACACCGTTTGGCGCGCATATTAGTACAGCGGACTACAAACAGCGTGCATGCTGATAGAACGCCGATAGCGCAGCACAAAGCTTTAGACACGCCAAGGGTTCCGGATGCGACTTTTCCTCCGACGTAATGTGCTCGCGACATGTGCACTACGCTGCGGCGGGAGCGTCATCGCCTTCGACATGTCCAAAGACCTTATCCAACTCTGGCTTTGCTTCGCGACCCGCATCAACGAGTGTTGCATGATAAGACCCGAACCAAACATTCACGCAGGGCGTGCGCTTGAGGCGGTCGATATCAGCGTGAACGACATGTTTGCAAAACAAATCCAGATCCAGGTCGTTCTGAATTGTCTGTGAGATAAATCGATTACTCTGTTAGACTGAACCTATGCGCACCTCGTCATAACCTGGTGGAGTGTCAGCGCTCGAATTCTGATGCATCATGACTCAACAAGTACTTACCGAACGGCTGTTCAATTTCCTCGCCGGCAGCCAAGAAGCCCAGGTAAATAAACGCAGCGATGGCTACGCCGAAAATCGAGTACCAGTAGAATTGATCCAGGAGCTGGAATGGGAGGAAGAATAGATAGACCCAGACGGTGCTGGGGAACAGCTCATCAACGTCAATCAGGCGCTTTGAACGTTATAAACGTACTGTCTGATATGCACAGAGTACACGCTATATGTGATTTATCAGCTCGTGATTTCAGGCAAAACATCACGAATGGCCTTACAATGGCAGAGGTGTGGTCAAGATCCTCTCAAGACCTGCCAGGCTATGTCAGGCCATGGGATACGTCAAGATGGCAGCACTCACCTGAAAGGGTATCTTCGAACGCCGCCAAAGTCCCGATCATAGAGCCAAGACTCGTGCCCGGTACAGTGCCTCTGGCCTCCAGCACGCTCATCCACTCGCTAAGACACCTCAAAATGTCCACGGGCAGGTTCTCTCCGCCTCCTGCAATACGTGGTCGATGCTTCTGGTGAGTCAATGCCTCCACCTCGGGTTCGCCAGCATGACTCCACTTCCGCTGCACGCCGCCTTCTTCACCAGCAGGCTCAGGCGTCTCTTCATCGCCCGACTTCTTACGGGCGAACGGTCGGCCTAAGAAGTGAACAACGGGGCCAATGATGGAACTGAAGGGTATGAGGTCGGATTCGATCTTAGACATCATCTAGGAAGCATCGTCAGCTTCGAAAAATGAGCGGCATGGTTGCAAGGCGTACGGTGTCCTTTTTCATGCGATTGCTCGGTAGCAGCATACGACGCTCTCCATCGGCTCCATGAGGTTGACCTTCATCAGATGAGCAAGAATCTCCAGATGAGGATGGAGCGCGTGAAAGCGACGGCCTCGCGCCATTGAAGGTGCCTGTTGACGATGAGATCGGGCGCACTCCAACGAGATCGGGACTCCTCTCACCATAAGCGTTGATGGGTGGGATGACAGGATCAAGGTCGATCCGAACGCGAGGACGATCGGATTGCTCATCTGAAGCTTGTCGGGAAGAGGAAGGCCTATCCGAGTTCGCCTTAGCCTTCTCCTCCTTCCTCGACGCTGGCTTCAGTGGAGGATGGTCCGACTCGAACGTCTCGGATGGAGAGGGAGGGTGCAAGTTGAACCCAGGTATGGCATCCACCCCACCTGGCCGATGAATGCGGTGGTGTTTGTTATGTTCGTGCTATCGAACCATGAGCCATGGCTGTCGCATAACTATGGTAGAACGCACTTCATGGAGTGGTTGGACAAGGTGGTAAAGATCTTCGTAGTAGATCCCCATTTCGCTCCGAAGATGGTGCTTCATGGCAACGGCGAACCTTACGAAAAGAACGAGGTTGACCGACGTGTTGTGGCATAAGCGGCAGCAACGAACCCTTCGATCAGATCAAGAGCTAGGCGCTTTTCCACCATAACCTCATGCATCTCGTGAGGAGACCTCTTTAAGACTCCTAAGTCGTTCTCTTCCTGTGTCTTGGGCGTCAAGATCGGCGGTACATGGAACCTATGTGATGCTAAACTCCTGGGTTCGCGAAAGCAGAGATGACGCACCATATGAGCCTTCCGAGCGTTCTCGAATTCCGCATCAGATCACTCCAGTAGGTCCTGCCCGTCCAATACCTGTCGTAACCGCTCATGGCACGATACGAAATCACGAAACCGATGACTACGCCGAGCACGGTGAGGAGAATGGGTGGTATATTCAGTTGAAGACTGGTGGTGAGCGATACGGACACAACAACAGCTGCCCATGTAGTGTGCAGCAGAACTGCGGGCCAGATACGCCATATGACCTATGAACATATGAATGCCGAGGACAACGAACGAACTTTGCGAACGATCACATACGGTATCGCGTCCAAATGTCCAGCGAAGAAAGGTTTTACGCGGCGCTAGGAGAACATCGTTGTAAAGATGTACAGCGCGGCCTTCAGACGCGGGAAGGAGTCTATGTTGTCCTGATCGTGGACGTCTTGCGCAAGTGCACGCTACAGAAGCCAGTCGCGTACATACCAGTGAAAGAGCGTTTTCCAGATATCCTTGCGGACGTAGTTTGTGTAGGTACTGTTGACATAGTGTCCAGTTCAGCGCTGCGATAGCAATTCTACACCGTTGGGGCACTATCATGTCATCATACGCTGCTAGAGATGAAGATATATAGACCAACATTCAGGGATACGACGAAGATTGAAAAAGATGCGCGATTAAAGCATAGCACGGCGAAGACGGAAAGAGAGTGCGCGTCCTTGTGGACGTGGTAGGATGAGGACTAAGAACAGGACTGAGAATGTGGACGCGGATGGCCATGACGCGGTGCATATTCTTGGAACATGACATACGGCACAGCCACCTCGCAAGTATTCCACATTTCCGGCAGAAGCCACCTACCTACCTACCTACCAAGTGGACGCATCTGATTTGATCTCATGATGTTCGAGGCTATTCGAGGGTGCGCTTTAACGCCTTACATCGAGTCCATACATTGCGGTAGTAGGCTCAGTAATCAAAATTTTCTCTGTGTATAGCAGTAGCGCGAACACCGGTAGTTGTTGTAAGAAACCCGATCACTGTGTCCTCGAACAACCGTGGGCCACATACGTAGATGTCACGCTCGGTGGTGTCCAGTATCGGGTAGGACTCACCTGTTAATCGCCCTTGGTGGATGTGCATGCTGAAGCCTGTGGGAATAGTCACCGGAGGCGTATGTGGCGAACCTGTAGAGAAAATGTGCAGCTCGAGAGAGATCTTCTCCATGCGGCCCAAATCGAGCGCATCCATTACAAGCTGTATGATGAGCTCTGGTTCCTTCGTCGAGACAACCAGAGCGACGTCACAATTCTCGTCACCCTCCGATGTCCGAACTGCCAAAGCCCCGAGCATGCTCAGGAATGGGGTGATTCCAATGCCTCCAGCGATGAACAGCAGGCGGGATGGTGCTTTGATTGAAGCTAGCGTAAACGCTCCAGCGATACCCACGAGCGGAAGGGTCAACGACAGAGGCGTCGAGTCCTCACATAACTCGGGCTTCAGTTCTGCGCAGGCCCTGGCGATGTTCAGAAGGCGAGTCGTCACAGCTCCACCTGGCTTCTGTTGCATGACAATGGAGAACTCCGGTGCAGGAAACTTGTGGGCAGAGGAAACGGTCCACGTACGCACGCCATCGTCGTTCAGGTTGGTCTCCTGGCCTCTCTGAGCCATATGTTGGTATTCGTGCTTGCCGACGCCGAGTGTAGAAGTATCGATGATCGCAGCTTGCCCCGGCACGATGACTACAGGAGGGTCCGCCGCGAAAGTGAAGGTGGCCACGGCGGGCGTGTGCAACCGCATCTTCTTCAGCCTCAACGTCGTTTCTGTGGCCACTGTCTGCGCGCCCTCCGGTTCCTCCAGGAGGAAGCGAACAGGCGGACTATATGGGCTCCGAATCGCCTCCGTACCAGGTACCTGGCGGAACGGAAACGCATTCGTGACAAGCACGTAACCCGTAACTTCGACCATCGTGAGAGCCCGAACCTGCAGCATGATAGCCCGGGCATCGGAGCCCAAGTGATTCCTTGCCGAACCGGTCAGATACAACACGTTGCCGGAGAGGAAGTCGACGAAAGTGAGAGAAGCGAGCGGGGTTTGGTCTATGTTCCCGAGCGACTGCATGAAGCGGTTGCCACTGTAGTCCGGGAGAACGATCGTTCGTTTGTCGGCACGCACTCGTATGAATCCAGGTCTTCCGCCTCGTTGATTCATGCCCGCATGGGGTGGATATTTGAGATCATCCCCAGGTGCAGGAACATAGGTCGTCCCGAGAAACACCGTGTCTGCCGCTCGTATGAAGGAAACAATATCGTCCGGAAGCGAAATAGAAGGCGCCATGTTCCACTCTTCGTAGACGACCTTCGGCGTTGTCGATAGTTGGGGTCTGAGATCTCGAACGTTGATGTATTTGGGGCAGTTCCTGCGGGAGTATTGTCAATATCTGAGCTAGGAAGCAAATGAGGTATCGCACCCTAATGCCTCGTCCACGTCGATTGCTAATTCCAGTTGGTCCTTTCCCCTCTGCACAACTCCAAGGCGGCCTGCAAACTTGTTTCTCCTTCGGTTGGCAAACATGATTCCCAACCCTGCGGCCAGTCCACCCTCGGCAGCCGTCTTCCGTATAGGGTCGCCCTCCCAAACATCGGCGCTGATCTTAATCCTGCTCTCGTTCGGTACACGGATGAAGCCAGGGCGTCCAGTGCGCGATGTCAGGAGGGATCCCCACGGCCGCCGTTGCTCGTCCAGGGTGGTGATCGCGATGTACGCAAGCTCCCCGTAGAAGATCTGGTGCTGCTCCGGAATTTCGTAGCTGAAGTGCATGTACACGCCTTGCATTTGCCTGTTCCAACCCATAGCGCATTGAACAGCGGTTTCTCCCGGGTGCCAACTATTGGTGTACGCCGACATGCTGCTTCGCCGGGCGGTCTCCGGGTCGATGCTGTCTAACGACAGCATGACAGCAAGCACATCCGAGACACCTATGTAGTCTCAGGAGTCAGGACACCACCGTCGCGCTTCGTCAGCATTCCCGTAAGCAGGGGCAATGATCTGCGATAGGTCATAGGTGCATGGGGATAGCCTGGCTGACGAAGAGATCATGGGATTCGCGATGGGATGTTCGTGAAAAAGACTCACGCAATACAATCACGCGGCGAGGGTATTAAATTGAGTACTTACGCCTGAACGCTGGTGAACTTGCGTCATCACCCATTGTATCGGATCGGAACCAGAGGTCAGTAGTCATGCAAGATTCGAAGAATGCACCAAAGCGATAATCATGACCGTAACAAAATGATATAAACTATACGTAGTAGCACTGTAGCCGTAACATAGGATCGCACTTGATATAAGGTTGCCGCTTCTCTGGATTCACCAGTCCTTGCATACTCCGACTCATTCAATGCTATCCCGCCAAATCTTATTGAAATTGCGGTCCTCCTCGTCGAGCTCCAATTCGTAAGGCTGTAGGAACTCGGCCGCCTTCGCGAACGCGCGATCGATGATTTCTACGCGCTCTGTCGAGCGCGGAACGACGCGGCATTTGAATGGTTTCGGGATCGCGGTGATTCCCTGGAAGCGTTTGACGTTAATTTCGTGACAAGCATATCGCGCTACAAGATCTTACCGTTGTGTGGTTCCAAAGACTGGGAGGATTTTCCTTGCCGGTCTTGGGATCGATTTCGGGCAAGAAGTTAAACGCCCAGACGAAATTCGCAAGGTTGAGTTCCTGGACTACATGTCATGCGCCGCTCGACGATTACGCACGAAAAAAACGCACCAAAGACGTGTTCGCAAAGACGAGACCAGGACAAATCCTCCGCCCGCCTCCGAAGATTAGATTCTTACGACGAGCCGGGTCATCCTGAACACCGGCTTTCACGCCGAGCGGATTCTGAAGGAATCGCTCCGGGATGAATTCCTCGGGATCGTCGAAGTAACGTGGGTCGTGGGAAATCGCCCCTATGGATATTCTCAGAATAATGGTGATACAGGAACCGGTTAGCCTTACACATGTTGATGAAGACGACCGAGTCTTTGGGTAAGAGCATCCCGTCGACCCATTCATCTTCACCCATTTCGTGAGGAAGTCCAAGAGGCCCAACGGGGCGGAATCGGTGGCACTGAAGCGCAGTGAGTGCAACTCAGTGAATCGGCATCTTCAATCTACCTCTTCTAGGAAGGCTTGCAGGTAGGGAAGATTTGGAATGTCCTCCCAAGCTGGTGGACGCTCGCTACCCACGACTCGGTCCATTTCCTCCTGAAGCTTCTTTTGCTTATCTTGGAACGACACGAGTGCAAGAACGACACCCTGCATTGTACCGGACGTCGTATCGGTACCTTCGAGTAGCGTGCCTCCCAAATTCCTGGACGACGACCGTCAACCATGGCTTCGATGAATCTTATTATTCAGGACCTACATCAGCAACGTGTCGTCATCGAGGTCCCATTCCTTGCGGTTTATGATCGCCTGCTCCATGAAGACATCGGTGGCGAGGCCCTTCTCGATCCTCCGCTCCACAGTTCGCAGAAGTCGCCAATACAGAGTCTCGTGCAAGTTGCGAATGTGCTTGACGGTGCGCTTCCATTCGGCGAAACGCTCGGGAACAAGGGTGAGGATCGGGAAGAGATCGACAGGAGGCATAGTGCCCAACTCGAGGGCGTGCATGAACTGCGGGTGAACCTCCAAGAAGGCAGCACAGTCCTGCGATTGCCTTCGCGGTGCACGCTTGCCGTAGATGATACCGAGGGCAAACGAGGTGGTGTAGCGATTGATATTAGTGAACCAGTTCTGAAGAGGCGCGTCAGAATGGCGATACTGAGCCGCGATACAACAAACCTCCGGATCATGAGCGAGATCCCACATGAGTTGGGTGGCTTCCGCATGCTGATACGGGCGATGCTTCTTGAGAGTTTCGTTGTTGAGAAGCTGCATCGATGCGCGGCGCATGATCTTCCAGGTGTCATTGGCGTAATGACCGGTCCCGAGGTTCATGTTGTTTGGCTAGCGCACGGTTAGATGGAAGCGAAGCAAGAAGATAGCGCGAAGGCGTACAGTAATCATGTCAGCCAGAATCCTAGAAGGAAGAGGTGTCAGCCCGGAGTCGGAGCAGCCCACGGTCAATCTCGAACTCACGAAGCCGGTCGGTTAGTATTTGACGCGCTTCGCTTCTCAATGATTTCTTTCACGAGAGTCGGAGAACTGATAACGATGATCGTCTTATTCAGCACCTTCAGGGAGAATATATCGCCGTATTGCTTGGCTAAGGTGACCCATCCATCAACGACGCCGCCAACAGCAAAACGCGATGATACGCACCCCATTCTGTAAACTGGAAGTGAGGAAACTCTTTCGGGAATATACCAGCGTTGCCCAGAATGGGTACAGTAGGGGGACCTGGAGGCATGTCTTTCGTCCTCGAACCCATGTTTAAGAGGGCGTAAACGCCATAGGTGGAGGCCGCTATGGCCAGAGGGAGAGCTAGCCCAGAAGAGATGACTTGCTGTAGTGCATCGGTGGGCAGAGCGTTAGACAACGGCTCCAGGATCTGCGACATGGCCAAGCAAGGGAGACGGTTGGCGAATGTTAACAATTGTTCCGAGCCATCGTGACCTTATAACGGCGAGGCGAACGGGCAAGCACTGGGCACTTAGCGCAGTGGGAAGTGGTGATGTGATGCGGCGCAGACAGTGGAGCTTGCCGTACCGCTTTGCTTCTAAGACATGACAGTGTCTACCGCAGGAGTAAGTTGACCATCAGCTTCCGTGTGCCGTCGGACATCCGAAGTCGGGCAGCAAGATCCAAGAGCGCGATCCGCGTTGCTTCTCGAGTCCAGCGTCCAGCCGCGAAGCATGAGTACTGCGTTCATCTTCTTCAACACAGTACAAATCTGTTGTCGCGGGGGACCGGGCTCCAATCTCGAGCGGAGGTCGCGAGCGGTCGCGCTCGACGAGACGAGTGCAATCAACATCCGACCGTTGAAGCGGTCCGCTCCCACACGTCGATGACGTAATCACTTGGTGCCACTGCTTTTGGCCGCCGCACGAGAGTGAATAAAGCCGCGTCTTTTGCTGCAACTATGACTGGCTTGACGCTGTGGACCTACCTTGTCAGAAGCTGCCGCTATCTGCGACAAGAGTGTTGTATCACTCGAACGCAATTGGCTGCTGCTGTTTTGTTTATGCTCCGCAAATCAGAAACGGCCGACGCTCGACATAGGGCACCAGAGACAGATACCATTAAACACAAATGCAATCTTTCCTGACATTCAGCCCAGCCGCTCATAGGTCCTTCTCCAATCTAGAATTGCATACGACGATCAATGAACTTCCGGCATTTTTTACCGGACAGCTTCGATACCGCGGGATGGCGTCTCCACAGCTCGGTTACGTGCGACCGCTCGACATGGCGTTCTGTCCAATGACTACGATCTGCGCTTCATAGCGGGCTTATGCTTCGTCACTCTCGGACTCGCCATCAATCCTTAAGTCCACTTTCTCGTGCGGCAAGGGCCGTCACGCCTGTGTTGACGAGCCTCGCAGTATTCAGCGGCGCCTTCCCAACTCGGCTTGTCGGAACACTATCAGAGGCGAGTGATACATCGGACTTAGTCCCTCCATTGCACCGGAAGTTTAGCGGTGCACAAATATAAAACCTTTGTAGCGACTGAACGAACCCTCTTCACCCTTGCCCGCATCGCAATGACCACAGTTCTGACTACCATTTCCAACCTCATCGGTACCCTTCTGGGCGGCTTATCCCTTGTTGGAGGCCCTGCCCTCAGCTACCTCGACAACACTTCCGACAAGGGAGTTGGAGAGCGGCTGCCTACTCATGTGCATCCTCAAACTATATCCCGTAAATGGATTCTAATCTAAAATGTAGGAAGGCGCCGAGATCGACAAGACTCGCGCGATTATCAAGTCATTCTTGCAGCGCTGCAAGATCCCATACCCTCACGTCGTCTATGACGAGGAGTTTGACCGTCTCGCTCGGGAAGATGCTATTCGTCGCGGCTGTCCTATGTCGGGACCTTACAATCTCGCGCCATTCATCCCTCCTTCCGTATCCATGTCTACCACCGCCTATGCGCACTATCCGCGCAAGGATACCCAGGTCATGACCTGCATTTACACTGCCTTCCTCATATACCTGGACGACAAGTTCCAGGGCGACATCGACGACGTGCGCTACTTCAACGAGCGATTTGTGCTCGGCGAGAAGCAGCGTGAGCCCACTCTCGAATGTTTTGCGCAGCTACTGCGCGAGATGCCGCTGCACTACGGCCGAGTTGTGTCCAACATCATGGTGACATCTACATTGAACCTTGTCACCGCGCTTCTGCTCGAACACGAGACTCAAGGCATGCCGGTGAGTGCATTGTACCATCGTGTGCTCCGGAACAGCTGAAAATGACACGGCGCCGTTATTAATAGCTTCGAATCGGGGCATTCGGATACCCGACATTCTCTCGCGTCATGTCGGGCGCGTCTGAAACATATGCGCTCTTTGCGTTCCCATCGGACCTTCCGCTCCAAACGTTTATCCAGTGTCTTCCGGAGATGATGGTATATATCAACAACGGAAAGTATGTATTACTTTCCAGCGCGTCATGATTCGTCACTGAGCATTCCTCTCCAGTGATATTCTGTCATTCTACAAGGAGGAACTTGCTGGCGAGACCGTCAATCGAGTGTCGTTCCTGGCGGCTGTTCACGGGATCAGCAAAAACGAGTCGCTGAAGCGGCTCGTCGACGAAGGCGTTGCTGCTCACGAACGCGTGCAACAAATCTTGGAGGCGCACCAGCCTGCGTTAGATGCATATTTGGCGTTCAGCCATGGATACATAGGATTCCATGCAGGGGCGAAGAGATATCGTCTGACGGAGCTGGATCTCTGATTCTGAATCGATGCATCGGACGTTCCCATATCTATCGCAAGGAGTTCACTCCCTGCGCGCGCAACATACAATACCGGCGTGTCATGTATATTCAATTCTCGAGTAAAATCATTTCTCCCTCTATCTGAGCTTGTTAAGCCGATGGAATAGCGGTGCAGTCTAACGGTAGGACTTGCGAGCATACGTCAATTCCACGTTAAGCACTAACTCTGCGGATAAATCGAGGGAGCCACCGCCTCAAGACTTGATCGCCATCCGCTGACTACGATAAAGAAAGAAGCGTGCATCATCCCGGGCGTCGTCGCAGTTGATGGACATACCTGCGAGCTTGCGAGATCCTCGTGGGTAGAAGACCTCAACGATGCGTGGTATACGGCATTGTAACACGGACGTCATTGGATGGTTTTATCGTGCGCCTATCTTGAGCGTCGAGGGCACTTGTGGTTTCTCCTACGCCGTCGATATCTCCATTTGAACCGGGTGTCCGCCTCCGGTGGTCGAGGACGGTCGCCCTTGCCAGCGACTACGCAATATGACTGTCCTGGTATCGAATTTAGCCGTTCATCTTCGATATCGATATCAATGCCGGAACAACTCCTATCTCCCGATATTAGATCCCCACAGTAACTTCTTCGGGACACTCGTCCGCCAATCGACTGGCGCGCAGCCGAAATGTCTTCTTGAGCTTGCAACATGTTGTCCCATTGGATGATTCAAGTAACGTCCTCGGAATTTAGCACAGGCACGAACCAAAAGCATCTGCCAGTGAATACTTTCCAGTTCGTCTTGGCGAGGTGTACGGGCTCTTATCCCCAGCCGATGCGAAGTCGGTCGAGAATGAGCGACGGACGAAGCTCGCGTCGGAGCCGTCTAGGTTTACGAAAGGATCTGCGCCCTGGATGGAAGCTATAGTCCCCGGCGGCTACATACATCCAGCTCCACATCGTCAATGGATAGAGGCCGCTAGACAGTTCTGCAAAAAGCGCCCGGGCATGCCGAATTGAGGTACCAGGCGTTCACCATGAGTTCTCGATAAAAAGCGTTGCCAGAGCAGATTGATGTGTCCTCACGGTGTTTATCCACTGTCGTGCGGCAGCGTCCCTGTTTGATATGCTGGTGACAGTCTCGTCGATAGCGTTATCCAGCACGTTGGCCAGCTGTGTGACCAAAATGCAGACCGCGAAGATATCAGGCCGTATCTGTTGCCCCTGGTGTACGATGGCGTAGTAAAAGGGCGCGTTCGCGGTTTCTCAGGGAACGCTTGCTTCTCACGGACATTCACCATCGCGCTCGGGCATTTCAGTCTCCGAGTCTTTGTGATTCGAGGTCAATTACGGGAGCGGTTTTCACGGATTGAGACGCATCATCGGGGTATATCCCAGCATGCTTAGCACGTCATGTATACTGTTACACGGAGGCGAATGAGATACAAATAACAACACAGAGTCCACCAATCATCAATGTCCGTGCACAACCTATGAAAGTATTCCATTACACGGTTCAACTATGAGGCAGGTCTACATTTGGGTTAGCCCTGGGCTTGCCCTGAGTCAACGGATGAAGCTTTACTCGGGATCGCCCATCGAGACTTGCCCGAAGGCTTCCCGCGACACTTGTGGATGCCAAGCATCTTGGCCGAGCTGAAAAAGTGGTTGCATTGCGGGCAGAGATACTCGCATACCTAGTTAGCCCCATGAGCTTTGTTTACCCAGTAGCTAGTTTAGTGACGCTCACCTTCCCATGCTGCACAACTTCATGTCGAAGTCGATCGTGCCGTCGACTGAATATCTCTGAGCAGCCCATCGTGCACGGGAGGACCTTCGAAGGACCACGCTCAACAGTTTTCCCATCAATGTATTGTTCGTCTGCATACCTCGCGTTGTTTTGGCTGATGGGCCTCAACGTGTACACGCCGAGTGTACTCGCTAGTGAAACTTCGATCACATCCTGGGTGAGTGCAGGGAAACCGTCGCTGGCGCTGCGCGCCCCTGCCAGAAGCTTGAGTTCCGGGGATAGCCTCAGAACCGACAGAGGCAATAGATGGAGACGGCAGCGAGGGCGAAGGACTTGGTGGCTTCAGCGCAATATTCCTGTTGTAAGCCGGGGGCGACGGGGACGACGAGAATGCAGGCGTAGGTAAGCTCTGCGCTCCGGAAGATCCGCTTGGAACACCCGGAGACGAATGACGGGTGTCGAGCGTAAGACCCGCAGATGCGGTATCAACTGTAATCGCCATGGTTAGCTTACCGACATATGACCGCCGGTAACTCACTGTGGCGGCCGAGAGGATCGAACTGCGTGGACAGGAAGGGCGGATTGAATGGCACGTTCGCGTCATTCGCGGGTAGACTCCCGTAACATTGTTCCTGAGGGTAACCTGCGACAGAGATCATCTCCGAAAAAGAGTCATCTGTCATAGTTTCCATGAGGGAGTCGACAGCGTCGTCGTACAACGATGGCAATCCATCTACCGACCCCCCTAGTAATCCTCTGAGTGTATATCTCGTCAAAACGTCTGGGCAACATACCTTGAGAGCCGTTTATCGAATGATTCTTGTCGGGTAGGCGCGAAGCTCCGCCGGGCGCTGATGCGCCGGGGGTCAAGGGGATAAACAGACAGCCTTGGTCTATGTTCTGATATCAGCAAAACCCTCGCGGGAACGTTATTTGCTTTACTTGATGAAGTCACAACGCCCCGATGCTGCGCCTGGCGGTTTGAGGTCAGGTGAGAGCGGGATGCGTACACGCGCAGGCCGAGACCAGTCTGGTCTACGGTGGGCTCAAAGTTGATGTTTATGCCCGTTCCGCAGGGAATATGGGGCGTGGGCTGCATCGCGGGATGCATATCGAAGCCGAGGCAATCGTCAGGCAAAAGGTTGCGTCGAACGTGAAGTTCGACTTGGCCCAACAGTTCAATGGGAAGAGTGAGGGACATTTTGGTAGGGACGGCACCAGCCACGCCGCCGACCGACTAATATACCTCTCCGTTCTGGGGTGGAGCTGGCCTCACTTCTTCGATGTAGCGCTTGTAGGGGGTTAGCGGAGTGTTCCTGGCCTAAACTGGGTTCCGCAGGGCGAGGTTGAATGACGCTTCGCCTTCTCTCAAACGGGCCTTGGGAAAATGCGTTGGAAACTGAAAATGCGTCAAGAGGCGAGCAGATGTACGAAGATCTCGTATCTCCCCGGCAACAACGCCGAACATTAGAAGTGAGAGCACGGCCACCGGACAAATTAAGGAAGTGCGGAATTGCGGAAGCGGGTGAGAGTTGCCAGCGGTTGCTCACCTATGTATTTTCATTGGCACACAGCTTGTAAGCGTGACACTTGGTGATCCAGCGAATGATCCTGAAATGGAACGGTAGGACACGCCCAAATCCCACTGATGAACAGACCGGGCTTCTACACTCACCGACAAGATCGATGAAGGATCTTTAAGCGGAGTGTTGTAGGACCCCGCTTGATGGTGAGCAGCGGGTGCAGGAAGTCCCAAAGGTTTCTATCAGCGAATTATAAGCAGTGACCGCCAACACGCCCTCGCTTGTTTCCGCCGTGGATGGTTACGGGTAGCGTCGAACTGGCCAGTGTTCTCGACACGCACGTCGTCAAGCGCTTTACTGCAACTCAGATGTAGCTGCATGATTGATGCCGTCACTTATTATTCTCAACGAGGCAGGCCTGATTCGCCGCTTTGAGCCGGCGCCGCACCGGGGCGGAGCGGAGAGTTGGGAATCCATTGGGATGGGATAGCGCCACCGACGTCCGCGCGACGAACACCCATTGAAGTGCGGACATACCTGATGGGTCGAGCCATTTCGCATGGTTAGTTGCACCGCCCAGGGTCGATATCCCGATAATGGACGAGAAGCCATGGGCCAGGAGGGAGACATCGTGGGACGGAGGTACATGCGTGCTTATGCTTCCGTTACACGCCGGTCGCTGAGAACGCAGAAACACACTATAGTGGTTATATTTGATCGGAGACTACGATTCTTGCCTGAGCATCCTCTCCTTCCGTTCCTGACGTACTTGATGCAGAGCAAGTCGGATATCTTCGCTGGTTCACCAACGACGCGCGCAAGCAGTTGCATGCTTGCTCCTGACATCGATAGCTTGGCGATATGACTCGGAGTACACAACGTCATCGATAGGAGGTAGCGCGGGTTGTATCGCAAGGCCGGTGTGTCCAGTCCACGGAGGTTAAAAGACAAATGTAGGTCGAAGATCAACGCCCGGCGATTGCGTGGACTTACGCCTCGGGTGAGCCAGGGCGTGTGAAAGATACTCAACCACGAGGTTCACCACACCAGCCCTCCGATGTGAACATCGTAAAGCGCATGGACGATGCTCGTAAGCGGGTATCAACCCGACTTATGTGAGACAATTGAGATCGCTCTTTCTAGTGTCACATTTCCTGGTTTCATGATTGTACTCGTACAATAGACGTAACAACATCCTTTTTGTTGAGAAACAGGGTGATCAGTGTAGCATGAAAGCCGCGGATCCCGAATACTCGTCGCCGAGTTACAAGGGGAAACCCAGGGACTCCTTGTGTTGATGCCTGTATGTGCGCAAACCTCGAGAAAATACCGTCGCGGGCGTCGGCGTTATTCCATTAATCACAGCTCTCGGAGAAACAATGCGTCAGTTTTTCTCTCGATGGGTTTTTGGGCAATGTATGGTAGTATTTCTCGAATTATCCACTGCTTTTGTGTAAGTATTGCGACCTTCATCGAGCGATCGCAATTCCCTGAAGAGTTTTTTTTTCCGCACTGTCGTTGGTCCTGTCTGTTTTTATACTTATATGCCTAAAGAGATGAGCAGGAGATGAAAGGTAAAGCTGTTTATAATGCAAGCTGTTGCATCTCTGCGCTGAGGGTGGAGCAGCTATACTTCTGCGTACCCGCCACATATCATGACATCCATCTTACCAGGTAGAGATTACTGTGGTGTAACGTCGCACTTCAAGCGGAATTTGTGCCTTGTGGTATCATTCGTCAGGAGGTATCACAGCGCGAAGGAGTGTACACATGCGAGCACGTATGGAGACGTCACCTGGATACACTACCCACAAATTTTCGCATGTACGTCCGAGGATGCCCCATGCTCTGGGATGGTAATCTAGGATAGAATAGGTGCTAAATGCAATTGAGGGAGCTATCAGGTTTCAATGCTTACCAACGGTGTCCTCGGGCCACGCACTGGGGCCAATGTACAAGCCCATGAAGCTCAGAGGAGTACAAATTGATCTAAAGGTTCGCGTAGCTTCTTTCATCTCCGCTCGACCCTGACGGCATATGTCGTATACTCTGCCGGGTACGAGGCAGCGCTCACGAGTATCTGCGTCATAATCCACACGTTGCTGTGGAGAAATCGCCGTTTCAGTGCCTTCTGCGGGAGTCCTCCGAAGTTGTACTACGTATCGCGGCCCCGCCCCGCAGTCGTATTATCTGCACAAAACAAATCTCCAGCGCAGCTCTTGAAATCATTCCCCCCTCATAAAGTACTTCGTGCGTATTCTGACTATTTCTGCCATTTCGAGCGCAAAGCAAAGTTGAGCCCGGATAGCACCGCGGTCACCAAGCGCTGTGATTCCCATGAGTAGAGCACGCAGAATACCCAGTGCACGACTATTCGGTTTGATTGCAGAAAAGGCTTATAATAGGATCGTCTGCAGTCAATGAAATCGACGTGAGGATGATATCGTGTTCGCCACATTGGCACTAGGTCAACTCGAAGATAGAAGCGCGTGCTCACAGGGAGGTGATGGCTTGTCGAAGAAAAACCGTCCAGCCAGTATGGTTCCATTCTGTTGACCTGGGCGGCACTGAGCGCTTTTGCAACGTAAGACAGAGAATAAACAGTCGCCTTGAAGTTCGACCGTAGTAAAATCACAGCTATCGCCGCTTCAAATGAATGTTAATCAAGCTGCGACTTCATGTTATTATTGATGCAGTCGAGCACATCCGTTCGTCCGACGGTAAACATAGTACAAGTCCAACACATGCCCTGGAAAAGCCCGCGGGTCTGCGGTACTACTTCCTGAAGGTCACGAGGAAGAGCTGGCCACAGAACAAAGGAGAGCAGCGAGTGAAGGTATCAGTGCTTATATGAGCGCATAGGGCCTGATTGACACGCACGTGGGAAGGGTGGTCAATCATAGTAGCATGGCACGAACATAACATCGTGGCGTTCTGTACTCTCGCATGTGCTTCTCAAGAAGCACGGCGGAGGATGGCGGAGAATGGATCGCGCGCCAAGACGGGCATCGCTCACAAGCTCGTTTTCCCCGCGCGCAAAACAGGAAAGCGAGCGAACACCGCAAACGAGCTTCTGAAACTCACCTGCCAATATTTGGTAAGAATTATTCGCCTCCGACCCGGTTGAGTTCAATTGTGCTTCACGATTCTTGTTTCGTTAAGCTCGGGGAAGCCGTGAATTGACTATGGTGATGCGGAAGAAGGGCGGTTGCGAGCCTCCAAACCGTCAGTCACTACTTTTTTCCGATTGGCACAGCCTGGGGAGGCAACCACCTCGTCCATTTTAGTGCTCTAAGGTGCTTCACCCCTGTACGGAACAGTCAAGCATCATTATATACAGATACCGAACCGAGCAGATAGAGTCAACGAACCACATCTCTTGCGCAGGCTCTACGGAATTTCACTTGATGTCAAATTCCGGCTAATGACGAACACGGCCTTCAACGCGAAATCCGAGTACCGGAAGACAAGATCTGAGGTGCCCGATGACATTGCAATTGGTTGACGGGCGCGATCGACAGAGGATCGACGAGTGGCAAGAGGGAAGGTTGTGATATCACATTCCGGCCCTAACAGTAAACGTGATGACAATTTCCTGTCAGGGTATTGCTGCCGAAAACACGCACCACGTGAGCATGGCTCCTGAACTGTGCCTTGCCTCGTCCTTTGTTAAGCTTGGCTATTAGCATCGCAGGCTGCAGCTCTAGCCTTCGAGTCTGCTGGTATACAGATGTTATGGTGATCCTCATCTCATGTGTTTCGCCATATGCAATAAAACGGTATCGCGAATACTGTAGATGTGCTTCTGTATCTATCTGTAGGAATATGCAATGGATAACTCACCGAGTAGACTCGCCCCAGTGGAGCAAACTTAAGGAACGGGTCTCGGTGGCCAGCAACACGTGCAGACAAAAAGATCTGGCACTGGAGTTGGTTTACATTTTGAAGCCAGGCTGTGCGTGCGCTGCTGTCCGCCAGTGTCCGCCCTTGAACGCAATGATTACCATAGTCTGAAGTATATCCGTACAGCGGCGTCTGCTGACTCTGCTCACAGTCCAAGCTGCTACAACTGTCAGCTAGGGAAGGCATGTAGAACCGGTATGTATAGCCAGGTGTGAGTGAGCGGCGTGCGAACTCGGCGGACGGCCGCCGGAATTTACCGGACAACAGGCGGCTGCGTGTTGGTTTGCACGACGATATCATGGACTTACGCCTGTCCGGGGCCGACCGGTGAAAGATCAGCGTGCTCTACGACATACGGTGATGAATGATGCGAAATCAGCCTGTGTAAACTCACTCCGAAATGGGCGTCACCCTGAAGCTCTGCATCGGACCAAGAGATGCAATGGACCTTCGTTGGACCTCGAGAGACATCGGACGAAGGTATCTGTGGCATGTTGAGCTCTGCACACACACGGGTACGTCGTAAAGTTGTGCACCGCTCGTTCTTGTATTTATTGCGGAGTTCACTGATGGCGGTTACGATTTAGTCTAGTTCAGACACACAAAGGCGTCCTTTGCTGTCACGCTGATTTCAGAGCAACTCTGTGTACGATGGCGGATACTCAACTGGTTTGGGACAAGCACGGCTTGCGAAACCTCGATATCAACTCTTCAGGATCAGCTCATCTCATCTTCGACCACTTTTGCCTCGGTAACTCGCTGCCTAGACGCGCATCATCTCTGCATATTCGCAAAGCTTGACGATCGATCAGGGCCCCTGAGATGTGGAAAGGATTGATGTACCCGGGTTTCGCCAGGGACTTGGCGCGTAGTAACTACAATCGTGGCGCGAACCCTGTGGAGAGCTCAGAACTCGAAGTGGGGCCCTGCGGCGAACTTGCAACATTGCAAGGTTTACCGACCTCCATCGTGATGTCTTTGTGACGGACTTCAGTAAGTAAGGATTGTCCGCGTTGTACAGCATCATGCCACATGACGTCGTTCATACAACATCTGCGTGTTTCAAGCGACATGCTACATTCGTGCTATCCGCTCGCTCCCAGACCATCCCGCACTGTGACTCCCTGGTGACGCCTCCGTTTTTCCGACGAAAACGCTCATCTCACTTGGCGATGCTATTGTATGCATCACGGGAGGTACGGGCCGTACCTGGCGGAGCCCGTCCTACGTCCGCTTTCGGACCCGTGACGGTAGGTACCTTATGCCGATTACTCTGTGATCGATATTCTCAGTTACATATGCCATAAGTGCGACACGCAAACCTGCCAACCGGCGGGACCATTGGAGCAGAATCCGGCACCGACCGCCACTTATTCATGCACGCATGGACAGCGAGCGGGGTTTCATGACTATCAAAGGAGCGTTCGACCACGCAAACCGACCAAGAAGGCTATCCCTCAACCGACGTTATACAGCCATCCAACCCGCTCTGAATCTAAGACCATATGTGTCCTTGCTCTCGCTTAACCTGACGACGGGGGCACAGTCTCCTTCATTTGGCTGCTCGAAGTGCGTCCACGCCGATAGCCGAAATGCCCGGAATCAGCAGGTTCGTTCATAACTCACCACCGATAGAGAAACCTCCATCGCGCGGGCCAGTGCAAATTCTCGAACCCCATAACATATTTCAGAGAAGAGCGAGACACTTGAGCGCCATTGGGTATTGGGTATCAATCTCGGTTTCTCTCAAGCAGATGTCTAACAAAATTGGCAGAGAAAGCACGATTCGGGATCGTGCGATGGTTCTGTGCAGGAACCGCATGCAATGTTTCACCGACGGGGACGCCATGGTAGGCGTGATTACAACGTCCACAACAAAACTCTGTCTCCCTGCATAGTGGATTTGCGTGATTCCGTGCGCCAAGGTCCAGCTGCACGGTGCAACTTTCTGAGCCAGACAAGAACGTTGTGACGATCGAGGTCACATGGCGCGGGGCTGAAGGCGGGTATTAATCCCGATGAGCAAGACTCTTCGCGTGTATCGGGGCTCGCTCATCTAGCCCGATTCGGGGTCCCAGGCTATCCTGAGGCAGAAGCGCTCTGGCTGAGCCCTATTACGCCCAAAGAGGACGAGGACGGCGAGGATGAGGCACTTAACCCCTTTCTGTCTCTGGGGAAACCCCCGCCCCGCTTATTGCGGCTCTTGTCTGAACCAGGTAGTGCTGGAGGGAGGATTTGCTCAAGAATCAACATTGCGATGGCCACGAGCATCCCCGCCACGCGAACCGTCGCCTGAAACTCTGGCGTCAAAACACCATACCCTGACATCATGCATGCTGATTTGCTCCCATACCAGGTACGCATATGCGTGCTCTACGCGGGCATGTGTGAATGTTGATGACGGGCATACCAGTTTGTACTTAGCGCGTTCAAAGTGTGAACTTGGAGCCCCCTCAACCGGCGACGTTCGGAAGGCGGCATTTCACTCTCGGCACGTCGAGATCCGGCGCGGTCTATCGAAAGAGAATAGAGAACTTGAATAGCCGGTCGGCGGTGGTATTGCATCATGATCAGACCCTTCACCTCCACTGGTGGTCCGAGAAGACGGCTTGTTCACGCGCTTTTAGATAGATTCTGGCGGCGACAGTTATCCTGCCTCCACGGTGCGGGACTCAAGCACGCGTCAGCGCGGCGCAATGCGTAAATGAACGTGGGCTCGGTAGCGGGAACGTGCGGAGACTCGGTGAGCTCATTGTCTGTGAAACAACGGAGACGTCACTAAACGCTATATCCTCCAGTGATCGCACAAGCCGTATATATGATCGGTCCATCGGACTGGAACTTTTCATCGACCCCCATGACGGCTAACGCGGGGATCTCACATACGTCGTGAAGTTGACTTACTTCGGAGGCGGGAAAACCTACGATGATGGCTTCTTGCGAGGACGTTCTCTCACCGCTTCAAACGTCGGGAAGAATCAAAAAGAATGCAACTCGTGTTTGAACGCGTGTTCGGAACACCACCGATATACTTTTACCCGCCTGATCGCGAGAACGTCGAGGTGCATTCCGAGTCCCCTAGTGGCGCCGAGTCTCGGCGAGAGACCGTCTCGAAGATCAAGATCGAAGGTTTTTCGGTTTGTCGTGCGTGTCCAACAAGCCGTTCCTCCCGTTACATTTTCCCTTAGAGTACAGTCTGGATTGTTCTCGCCCTCGGCCACCGAGGCGATTCCTCCGAATAACCCGGCGCCATCATTTCTAGGCAGGGTCTGGAGGAGGCTCGTCCGAGTCGATGGACATAGTTGGTATGGTTCTCCTCGACATGCATGCACACGAATCTCGTTATGCTGATCATTGCTTGGACTTAGAGTCGCGGCGATGTCAATATCAGGGATCATCGGGGCGTCAAAGTACAGGCTTAATTGCTCTTTCCCGTCCTCGGTGATCTGAAGGAATGTATCCGTTCTTGACGCCGACTGCATCTCGTCACGGCGTTGCTGAACGGACGGTGATTGCCCACCACTTCATGATGGAACTTTCAGGGGGGCCGCGTGTCGGAACGAGATAGGATATCCCGCAACCCTGAGGATGCAAGTGACCAACAATACATGCGTGTGATGAAACTGATAAATAATCGCAACTATCGAAATGATGGAATGGGAGTCGAATACTCTGTCGGGCAGCTCGCTCGGGATCATCTGGCCCGGATCGTCTTGTGATCGACCCTCTTCCTGTCTACAAGCCTCCGCAGCGCTCTCATAGGAGCTTATTCCTCATCGACTGGAGCGCCATTATCCTTGAACCAGTTCAAGAGCCATTCCTTCCCTATCGCGAAGTCCTTCTTGACCTGCACGAGCAGCTCGCCTATTCGCCTCAAGGCGTCGTCCTCCGTGAGTGCAATGCCTGCTTCTTCATCGCGAAGGTCTCCATAATGCTGGATCTTGGTGCACGAGGACTGCACGCGCGCGAGGCCGAGCATCGCAGAGGATCCCTTGAGGAAGTGACCCTTGTCGGAGAGTGTCTTGAGGTCCTTCTCCTTGCTGCGAGAGGGCAACATGCATCGTGATCAGATGATATGTGAGAGTGCAAATTGTCAGCGATCGGACGTACAATGCCTTATCCATCTCCTCGAACGTGCCCTCGGCCTGGGAGAAAAATCCGGTGGCGGTCGAGTAGGAGAAATCGTGGGTTGGGTCGTCATCGTCGAGCTCTATGAGTTGCTGGAATATCTCCATGTTCATGATGCCCTCCTCATCGGCGGGCTTGTCCGACTGCTCAGATGTGTCCTGGTCGTCATCAGGCTTGGCTTCTCGCTCGTCCGCCTTGTCGGGCACGGCACTGCCCTTTGGCTGCGGATCCTGAACCCGATGTCAATCATCTCGGACGAGGAGGAATATATATTGGTGAGCGCACGATTTGTTTTGCATCTTTTGTTTCCGATTTTACGGGGCCGTCCAAGCTGGCAGCAGTCTTTGCGGCGGTTGAAGCCATTGGCATCCCATCGCTATCTACGCATGGCGATCAGCGAGCCACGGCGTGAGCGTCACTCTTACGGAGTCACGCTCGTGACGTCATTCAACCCATATCTCCTTTTTCGACCGTCTCCAAGCTCGCCCTCCGTATGTTACTTTCCTGCGCTCCCGCTAAGCTTCGTCGGCCAAGTCCCTCGGCGCGTGCACGAAACATCCCAAATACTCTCTGATCCGCCATCCCGCGATCGCCGACTCTCGTCGACGCGAATCCTCGCAGTAAACGCGCGCCTTCACCTTCCTTTCTCCCGGGCCCACTGCCTAGGCTACAGCGCGCTCTTCTGGCTCAGACGTCCACCGCGGCGACTCGGCGACGATGCCATCTGCGACTTAAACGCGCGTCATTACACCGTAAGCCCTCCTGAGCTCTGGATGCGCCGCCTGGCGACTCATACAAAGACACAGAGGCTGTGTGGATCTAGGTCCAAGGGTGAAACGCCCCCAAAGCACTTTAGCTCGTCTGAGTCGTCGGCGATATGCACGTCGCATGCTCCCTCGCCAAACGCTCAATACCAGAAGCGTTCTCCGTTGTCTAGCCCTTCGACGAGCGTCGGTTCGCCGCAAACTGGGGTTTCCCTCCTCGCAATTCATTGCCACTGGGCAATCGCGAACGGAGCTCCACCTCGGCGCAAATGCTGTCCTCAAGAGTCGTCTTCCGGTTCGACGTCTCTGTGCCTTGCACCTGAATCTTGGTGTTTTGCTACTGGCAGACGAAGACAGCGTTAAGATATGTATAACCCGCTACGAATTGTCCGCGGCCGCGGAACCGCGCGACAAGTGCAAAGTATGGCATGATTACGGGTGTTTCCCTCCGCCATATATTCTCGTTCGCGTCAGGTTATTGTTACTCATTCAATTCATGAGTGGACGACGACAATAACGTGCTCGGCTCAGTGCCCTGGAGCGCTCGTCCAACCAAATCACGAGGATAACACGTTGAATGCTCTTTCGGCAAACTCGCCGTCGGGTCGCTTGCAGCGCTCAACAGCCGCTTTAAGCTCTAGAAGTGTACCAATACAGGATTAAAAGATTGATCACCGAGCGCTGCTCTTGCGCAGATAGCTGGATTTGCCTCCGGAATTTCTATGAATAAGGGAGATCTTGACCCTAACCCCACCTCAGGGCCTCGCAGTTGCCGCGCCGATGACGCGCAGCGCGATGGATACTCACCTCCTTCCGACTCTTCGCATACATAGCGTCGTATAGTCAAGCATCCCGAGAAGCTTTGTGGACTAGTACATTGTCTCGATAATATCCTCGCAATTGATCTCTGATCTGTACACACCGGATTGAAGGACGACCACACTTATTCGTCGTCAATAAATCCTAATACTAGTATCTGCGCAAACGCGGTTCCCAGTCCCGACCGACCTACCTGCTGAAATTCCGTGATGGTAGTGGACATTCTGGTGCTTGGAGCGACAGGTATGCTCCTTTGAACATCTGTGGTATACATCTCTAACTCATCTGCCAGGCTTCACAGGAAAACTGGTCGTTCAATACTTAGCAACCCACCGTGATCGAACATCATTTACTTTTGCCCTCGGCGCTCGCTCGCAAGAGAGACTGCAACGAATTAAGAACGAATTGGGTCTTGGAGAAGATATTCAACTCGTGTCTGTCGACGTCACGAACCTCGAAGACGTTCAGAATGCCGTGAGCGGATGTCGGGTCGTCATTAACACTGTCGGTCCATTCTACAAGTATGACAATCCAGCGTCTCTTAATGTTCGCATACTGACTGAGCCACTAAGATGGGGGCGACCCGTTGTACAGTGCGCTGCGTGTCATCCAGATTCTCGAGACTTCGCTAAACTGCACCCTTAGAGCTTGTGCTCGTCTTGGGAAACACTACGTAGACCTTGCCGGGGAGCTGCACTATATCCGCGACATCATTCATTCGTGAGTGCGCTTCATAACTTTCACGTTGAAGTGATTTGAGCTATTTCCTAGGTTCGACTTTCTTGCATCGAAAACGCACGCATGCATCATTCCGGCAGCCGGATTTGACTCCATCCCATCTGACATGGCTGCATTCCTCGCCAACAAGACTCTGAAGGCACTCGTCGGGCCTGGAGCCGCTATTGAAGGAAGTACGAGCGCAGTGCGCGTGAGCGGCACACTGAGCGGAGGTACCTTTGCGACTGCCATCTCCAGTATCGAAGACGTCCCACCTGAGGTGCGCAGGGTATCAAGTCAACCCTACTCCCTAAGTCCAGGCATGTACTCTTCCTCCCGTGCTTCGCGCATAAACTCATTACGCGCGTTCCACCTGCAGGTATCATGGGCGCGCCTTATCCTGGGTTGAAGCTGCTGTATACCCTACCTGGACCGCCCTCATTACCTCCTCTTCGCGGCGGCTTGTGGATGATGGCTCCCGTGAACAAAGCGGTGGTGCAGCGCACTTGGGCATTACACACTCTTGCCGCTTGCAGGGACCCACAAAACAACGCACACCTGGATTACGGAAAGACGTTCACGTATGACGAGTTTCTTACTCTACGTAGCCGCTTAGCGAGCCTTGCTATGGGCCTCGGACTTGCGTTGACTGGGCTTTGCCTCATGATTACACCGGTACGCGTCTATTGCTCGCCAGGCTGTTTGCGTCGGCTGATGGTGCTTCTGTGACTTCAGCTGCGGTGGATATTCAAGCGCATTGTTCCGTCGCCGGGCACCGGTCCTTCGGAGGAGTACGCGATTTCGAGCTGGATCACTTGTTGGTTGCTCACTTCCTATCGTGACCGCTTAGGGTACAGAAGAAGGGCTTCCTTGAGCTTACCAACATGACATCGTCCGTGCCTACCGCTGATGCCCCTAGAAGGTGGGTGCGCACGACCATCAAGGGTCAGGGTGATCCGGGGTATTCTCTTACCGCAGGTACGCGGCAGTCCTATTGTCGCCCCTTCGGTGGCAATCACTGACACCCACAATTCAGCGATGATATCTGAGGCCGCGCTTGCATTGGCTCTTGAGCACGACAAATTACCCGCGATGGGCCAGGAAGGCGGCGTTCTGACCCCGATGACTGCACTCGGAGACGTGCTTGTTGATCGTTTCAAGCGCTCCGGGCGGTTCGAGATCGAGAGCGAAGTTATCGTTGGTGGTGAAGAGTCAAGGAAAACCAGATAGCCTGGTTCTCGCCTCGCCGTCACGCATAGTAAGTAGGGTGATTGCGTTGGTACCCTTCGAATCTGATGTGATTCTCAGAGAATCACAATTGTCTCCAGTCATCAGGTTAGCATGCGTAGTTTGGCTTCGGTCATCAGCCAGCCAAGCAGGAACAACTAGACATTATTCCCTGCTTCGCCGGTTTTGTGCGCGTTACATTCGAGATAAGGCTCGTAACGCTGATATACATCACGGAACGACTTCCGTAACTCATACATATAACGTAAGAATAGTATTCTAGCAGCTGTGTGATACCCATCTACTTCGCCCCATGAGCTGCGCCAAGATGTCATGAAAGGTGTTCCTGGAGTACCTTCAGATCCGATATGAAGGCGCGTATCCTAGCCCGTGGATCCGTCGGCCATGTTCCGCTCGCCAGCATGGACGAGCAGCAATCATTCAGGTAGACTGGCCGCCGTGCCTGCAAGATCATACCGCCAAGCGCAGAAACCCAGTCGGAGCTTTTATATCCTGTAGTGTAACGATCTCGTGCAATTCACGACCACCACCGACGCGTTCGAAGATTTTGACTCCGCCTCCATTTGCCCCACCTGCGATCAGGTACTGTATTCATGGTGAGCATCAGGTGCAACGTATAGAGCGAACGCCATGCCACTGACCTTGTCATCCGGACCGAAGAAGATCATGCCACGCAGGTGCGCGAGACCACTGCGAATCTCTGCGATGAGCTCCAACTTGCTGGACTCATCGTGTGACGCGACATCGGACTTGTTAAGCGGCTTGAAGATCGATACGATGTCGCCTTCAGGGTGCGGGTCGTTGCGGTTCGACACGTATACGTAAGGATCCGGGAACGTGGCATTGGGTGGGGGCAGGAGAATTTCGGCAGCTAGCCTCGGCAGGTCCTCACGCTCGGCAGGAGTGTTATCATTCACAGATAACACTTCGGGAGTCGACTCCGTAACGGAAAGCTGAGGCCGAGGAGGAGGGTTGGAGAGCGTGAACGCACTTGCGAGGAGGCGAGGGGTTTCGTTGCTGGAGAGCGAGGGGAGAGTATGCGCCGTTACGGTATTGCTGAGCTCGAGCAGCGTGTATATCACGCCATCTGCACAATCGGATCAGAACTGGGAAAGCGCTCGGTAATCGAAGGGAACTAACCATGTATTACTACATGTCTGGGGCCACCTCCTGCTTCATACGGTATATGGGCTACTGGTGTCCATGTACCCTCCGCGTTCTTGGCAAACCGCCAGGTTTTGTCCGAGCCGAGGTCGGGGACGAGCAATTCGTCATCGTGCAGCGCCACCTGATGCGGATGCGATGATTCCTGACGGTCCGCCTGTGGACCCTTGCCTGTGAGTTGATGGCGGGTGGACGGAGGAGAGATATATGGGTCCTGTGTAGAAATAGGGAAAACTGAAACAGTGCCAGACGAGTACTATGACCGAACATCAATATTCGACGTCTGAGTCGTGGAACGAACCGATTCTACACACATTTCCGACAAACAGCTCTTCTTCTGAGGCGACGAGCGTGCATGGGTCGGCGCCCTCGCTTGCAACTGTCGCCACTACTTCAGCCTTTCCCTCGAGATTGACTGACAACGCGTAGACTCTCCCATGGACTTCCTCCGCAGCGGTGAATACGATAGACGGGTCAGTCGGATGTTGGGTTATCCAAGAGGGGTGGTGTCCGATCCGGACTGAGGAGGTTTGGACGAGCTTTGGCGGCGATTGGGTCGGGTCGAACTCCAAGGTATAGATGGAATCGGTATAGGTGGCCACTAGAAAGCGATAAGGAACGCTAGTCATTTCTACGGTAAGGGAGGTCTTGTTAGGTTAACCTCGACTTTAGCGAAAGGTTTTATACCTGCTCCTATCCAGGCTTCCTGACTAGAACGACGGGTTCGGTTGGAGCAATATGAAGGAAGAGCAGGAGAAAATACGAAGGCCGGAGTATGTCCGAGCACTGGCCATGTTATCGTGTGGTACCTATGTGCGCAATCGATTACCCTTTCAGCGTCCAACACCGCCGCTGGTCCGGTCGATATTGCGCGTTTGCGTTGCTAATCTCCTCCAACTACGTGCGCTGGCATGATGCGCTGTTCTCCCCAGATTTCCCCTGCGTTTCCCCGGGACCGGTGAGCTCCAGGACCATCTGATGGTTGCAAAGAGTTCGATGGACGACATCGGATGTTCTTTGCAAGAACAAGCACAGGCCGGGCGGTATCTCAGTGGTCGTCGAGTGCGCACGTTGTTGAGGAGGTGGAAGAGTAACCGAAAGTGGCAGATATCACGGTGAAAAGGCATGCAGATCATTGTTAATTCAGACACGCCGTATGCTTGCTGTACTTCCAAGACACCTAGCACACTCGCATAAGGCGGGGGATGCACGATGGCCGCTATTCCGAAGACCACCATTGACTCAATGACATAGGAGCGCAAGGATAGACGATTTCGACGTAACTATTGGATGTCTCCGGCCGGCCGTCGCCCAAAGCCCCTGGACCTTGTCTGTATAGGCACTCTGACAGTCTACAGAAGGTCACAATCATTCGCTCCTGATTCCGCCGAATCTGCTCCGCGTAGCCTGGACGATGCATCCCCTCCACCGGCCAAATCTCGGTAGAGAACGCACGGCATGTAGAATATGGCTGCCCTTGACGTTATGGCATGAGACGCGCGCGGACGTTGCGAAGGAGCCACAAGTCGGCTTGGTTTCTCGAATGGTCAAGCTTAAGTCAAGGGCCTGGGTGATGCTTTCGCCATCTGTCCGTACAACCTGTCCGATATAGTCGCGCAATATCCGCGAGGTAAATCGGTCCAGGTAGGACATCGTCAAGCCATGATCAGTGTTAAGAAACTAACGAAGGCGGTTTCGCGCTTTTATCATGTCTTGTAGCTAAGGACGGGTCCGCAACTTCCCGTGATCCATTCAGTCAAATGAACGCCATTCATAATAACAGAGAAACCTGTGAAGAAAGGGACAAAGACGGGACGAATCGGTCTATTCCGACTCTGATTCTTCAGCCATTCATAGCGTACAAAAAGTATGCAAGGTACACTTAACGTGGCCCATAAGTCCCTACAAGGCGTGGTAACGGAGATGTGAACTACACGTCTATTGCGCTGGCGCCGCGCATCGGTCCGCCGACAGGTTGATGTCGTTGCCCCACTGTGCGATACAGGTTACCATGATGAGTCAAAGTAAACAGGTTTATGCACGATGCAAGTGAAACCCACCCATGTAGGGAACGCATGCGCTGTACCCGCCGCACCGAAGACGGCGAAGTTCAGTATAAAGCTGATGACCTGTGTTCCACCATCCATGGCAGCAGCGACGATGTAGTTGTACCTGGTGGATACATTGAGTAACGGAACTAAACAACTGCAAGGGTATTTCGTGGCGCTTACTTCGTAAACCAACGAGGGTACCGCGTCCGTACCCACCACTGAGAGAATATGCCGATCACCATCGCCGGACTGCTAGCGATGTCAGCTTTCGGATTCGATGAGCATGAGGGACACGTACTTGACGGATGTATTGATGCCGACGGAAAGATAGCAAGAGTACTGCATGATGATCGACGTGTTGAAATTCTGGAACCCAACTTTCGGCCAGATGCGGTGAGCGATGTAGAACGGGAAAGGAAGGAACACCCCGATGGCCAAAGATATTGGCACCATCCGGTAGGTTGCATCCGGGCCGAACATTTGAGGACCGAGTGCGCCCCAGGCAATGGCGTTCGAGTTGTAACTCTGAGCGTTCTGGCCGGACCACAGACGAGTCCCTGAGACGGACAGGAGGGCCGGGCGCTGGTTTTGGATGATGGACAACGCCATGACGTAGTTCAGGATCGCGCCGACGACGGTACCGGAGAGCTGCATGGCGAATGTAACTCTAGGTGCTAATTTCACCTGATTGGGATCGACAGAACGTAAGGATTGGACATCATCGGATTCGAAAAAGACAGACGAACGTATTGTCCGAGCTTCAAGTCCTGCAGAAGAGCGATTCCCTGGATCATCGGATGTTGGCCGTACAAAGCACCGTACATGTTTGCGACAGGTTTCCCCGGTAGGATATAAGCGGTGATCATCTGGAAGAATCCCGTACCTACCGATGTGTTATTGTGTTAATCTTTCGTAAAGAGCGATGTCAGCTTACCCGAGGAATTGAATTCGTAGAAGCCAATGGTGGCAGCTAGCGTGCCGTACAGCGCGCAAAATATGAAAGAGATGAGAACCAGGATCGTCAGTGTCCACCATGGAAGGCCAGAATGACCGGTATAGTTAGCTGCAGGACGAGGGCTCAACATCTTGAATGCTTTAGGTTTTAGACCGACGTACTGGCTTGCGCGATGGCGTAGGCCCCGATTAGCACACAGACAAACCACCATCGCGGAATCTGCTTGTAAACCTTCATCTTCTCATAATGCTCGTCATAAATGAGGTGCTTGGTCTTGTTCCACGGCTGCCGGCGTAGATTAGGCTGGTGAACCCAGGAGCGTTACCAAGCTTCTTACATTCAGCGATTGAACAAAGGGCTTGAGGTCATTCCAGTGCCAGAGGGCGACGTGTGTGACTACCGCGCCGAGGGACAGGTTCGACGTGATCAAGTACAAGGCGTTGGTTGCGGAGAAGAACGCGGGACCAGCCTTCTCAAACTTGGCCTGATCGAACTTGCCGTCTAGTTCAAGTGGTTAACCGCTGTGCATCAAACACGAAATTCGGTATTACCGGTCAGAATTTGTGTCTGCGGATACTGACTTCCATTGGCAGACTACAAACAGCCGGTTGGGAATCATCGATAGAAGTCTGACAGTAAGTTCGGGGACACTCACGAATATCGCTTGGGACATGAACGGGAAATCCTTCGCGTGCCAGATATTGCCGTAGTAAACCGCGCTCATGAGGATGTACGTTAAAATGATGCCGATATCTTGGTTGATTTGGAGCCAGATGGGGTTGTAGAGGCACGCGGAGCCGATCAGGTTCCAGTCGAAAGACCACGAGAGGAGAGCCATGCCCTCGTTGTTCGACGCGCCGCCGAAGATGTTACGGAACACGGTTGACTTGTTGTTCGCGAGGCAGAATATCGAGACTCCAGTGAGGAGTGGGAAGATCCATTGCGGGAATATCTCCTGCGGGGTCGTGAGTTCAGGATCGTCATAGTAGACGAGCAGACAACCAACCCAAACGAATAGAATCTGATGGATGCAGAGCAGTTAGCGGGAAATTCCGAGACGTGATCAGATGCGACGCACTCCGAAAACTGTCCAGAAGACACGAACTCTCTACATCGCAGCGACGGGGGGCGGGGGTCAGCATTGAACTCAAAAGAGATACGTTTTGGGGTTTACTTTGGACGTCATCTGATTGTCTGGCGAGGAGATAAGTGAGGACGCCCGACCATACACGGGATCCAATTACCGTAATGAAGTGCCTGGAACAGGTTGGCCGTGGATATATTCGCCGGCCAGAAGCACTTGGTCGGCTTAACCAGAACATCAGACAGAAGGCCCGCGAAGCCGTATCCAATCAGCTGGGAGCCGATTAACGTAAAGATCGCGACTCCTGCGTTCATCTTGTTGTTGTAGTATAGATCCTGCACGGAGATGACTTGAATCGCGGTCGCAGAACCGGCCGCGGTCGAGCTCATGATGATGATGGCTACGTGTTCCTTGACTGTGCAAGGCAAGGGGATAAGCCCCATCGCTCATCACCGTGAACAAACTAGGTGGACTTACTGTTGAACGGTCCGGGATTGAACAGCCTGAACACGCCCCGATCCGGGAGTAGCATGTGCATGCCGTTGCCGAACCAGTATGTCAAGACGAGAAGAAAGAGGGTCGAGACGCCGAGCGTCTGGGGTTTGAAGTAGTAGATTTGCGCGAGCACCGCACCGAAGGCCGAGAATCCCAAGCCCAAAAAGAAAGTACGGAATGTAACAGCCTGCAGTTCGGGCTCGTCATGCGTCGAGAGGACCTAGTCCACGGTGAACGGGCGGCAAGAGAAAGCAGGAAGGGCGTTGTCACCTTGATCGCGACGTCGTGCGCGTTTTCGACTAGATATTCGTGATCGCTGGCCTCATCCCGCGCAAGGCGTTCCTCGAACTCCTCTACCTCCTTCACCCTTTTGGCGCCGTCCACCTCGCTCTCGCTCTCATCTGCTAGCGATCCCGAGTCCTTCTCCTTGAACTCATCCTTGGATGATATCGCTTCGTCCTGTTCGACACGAGGTAGTGTATCGACGCGGGCTGACATGTCCAATGGATTCCACAGTCCGATCGTGGTCTGCTAGAGCCGCCAATGGTGGAGGGAGCAGTGTATGCCTCGTGCGTCGCTTGTATTATACCAGCGCTGACGCGCAGCGTTTTGGTGCCTTTCCCCGAATACAGTTGAGAAAAAAGCGCATGGAGCGATGACTGTGCCTCCACAGCGGGACCGGCGTTCCGCGATAAGGAGTGAACGAAGCTTCGCCAACATGACGGCACGCGGTTCGTGCAGTCGATTCCGGCTGCGCCGATGGTGGCCTATAGGAACAGCAACGTTGGATGTTACGCAGCAGGTCTGTCTTCGGCGCTGAACGCATGAGAGAGGGACAGATAAGGGAGCAATACCGCCGTTGATGGCTGCATGCTGTGGTACTAGGCTAGAGATATCGTCGAAGCGCGAGTGGGCACTTCGATTGATCGTAAGTGCTGGTCGCGGAGCTTCCCCGACGTATACTCGGCCCGTGTTCTCAGCGCTCGTCCGCGTAGAGAGGGCTGGAATCAGCGAAAGCAAACACCTGGGAGACCAAGGAGGTCTACGGCAACGGGCTTGAGAAAGGGAGGAGGATAAATAGACCATTGTTGGCTGCAGTTCTGCCTGGCGTAGCTTGGCCGTGGAAGCAAACCCCGGTTGGTGAGAAGCAGCGCCAAGGAGCAGCCTCCGATAGACTTATATTCGCACAAGACCAACATTGTAGTAACTCGAAAGCGTAGGACTGACGCCAATCGCGCCTCGGGAACAGCCGCTTGGCACGATCACGTGAGTGCCATGTCCACCGATCGTCACTGTCAGTGTCAGTGTGGGCAGCTGCAGGTGGGGCTCGACGCTCGTCCCGGACATCCTTCCCTGCACTACCTAAGTCATCTCAGTCGGCGACGCACTCCTTCTGCCTTGGCAGCGCGTTGGATCACAAGATATATCCGGGCAGAGGGTACGGCTTTTCCAAGCATGCTCAGCATCTACCACAGCACCACAAGTGTAACTTCTCCTCGCTCGCTATTGCGCGGTACGGTGCAATCTTACACCAGAATCCCGACGCCCACAGCGACCCTTGCTCAGACCTTCCCTTGCGCCTGACTTCTGGCGAAACAGCCTTGCATCGATACATAACGCGCGTTCTTCAGAGCGATTGTCGGCAATTACCAATTCGGCGGGGCTATGCACGCGCACATGACGGAAGCTGCGCCCAGCAGCTTGCGCAAAGCTGCGGCATGCGCGCCCGCGCACATATGAGCCTCTTGTCTAGGCACTACGGGCTTTCCCTTACTGCTCGCTACTATGATCCTAGATAAAGTCCCATTGCCAGACGATCCCACCTTTCCTGACGCCCCACCCTCCTACGAGAACGTTACAGGCAGCGCAGCCACCGCAGGCGCTCGCGGCCCCTCCGACGCAAAGCATCCTCAAGGACCCCAACCCGGCCCTTCTACTTTACCCCCTCCTTCCTCGTTCCAAGAGCGCTTACAATCCGTTGCACGCGCAAAAAGCAAGGATAAAGGCAAAGGCAGGGCCGCGCCACCCAGCTCCGGTTGGTTTCCATTCGGTCTGTCACGGTCCGGCAGAGAAGTTCGGGATACGGTACTCGGACTCGTACGCGGGCTCGTCCAACAACCGTGCGATGGCGCAACAGCATCCATTCTCGACAGCTGCGAGGAAGCCTGCGCCACGCAGGGTCTCTCGTTCTCCGCGTTGTTGCAGGAACCATCCATCGAAGAACATACGCCTATCTACTGGGCTATTGTCAAGCGCCCGCGGCGGAGCAACGATGTCGACGAACCTCAGGACGATCTCCTCATAGCGCTCCTCTCCCGCTCTGCTCCCCTCAACAGCGCCACTGTCGCGGATATCCGCCTCGCATGTGCCGTTACGTCCGATAATGATCTGTTCCAGAACCTCAGACGCTCCCCTGGATTTTGGCCTACCGCCGGTGTAGATAGACTACTGCTCTCGGGAGACGGTCAAGCAGACAACGTGATCGTGGAGGACGCAGGGAACGAGCAAGGGGCATTTGTTGCTCACCTTACAATTCCGTTGTTTCAACAACGAATGCGTGTCTCCAGATTGATCGAGGTGGAGCTCATCGCACGAGGCGAGTATTTCTTGTCTGCTGTAGTGGATGCTGCTGCTCAACGATTGAAACCAGGCCGCTTGTGGTCGCTTGCATTCCTGGTCTGGCCTCCTACCCAGGAACGCGAAAGGAGGCGAGCTTGGGGAATGCGAGATAGGCAAATCAAGCCAGGTACATGGCTTGTCTCGGTAGCGCTCCTACCACATAGCCCGCCTACATGGCTCGATTCCAGGTTGGTCATAGAGGACTACGCCTATTCACACCCCCGCCCGACATCACCGGATACATCGTCGCCATCATCACCGTCCGCCTCTTCACGGTTGAGCACGAATAGGAATGGTAGAAGCGATGGAAGTCCAGGTGACCTCATCTTCCTGGAGGCTCTCAGTCCTCAGAGTGGAAACTCATCGCGGGAAGGCTTGGCCAGTTCTGCGCCACTGTCACCGGCACCTTCTGTATCACGTACGAACAAGCCGAAGGGCAAACCCAAACCATCCATATCTCTCCGGATCAAGCCATCGGCCTCGGGCCAGCTGGCTCCGCCAGAGCTGTGCGACCACCACAACTTCCGGAATGAGGTCATCGTACCGTTCGACGAAAGCCTCATGGCCTCCAGTTTGCAATACGAGTGAGTTGCTGTTAGCGACGTGTCGTCCCCCTCATCTGACTCGCGATCTGTTCAGTGACAGCCCATATATCGCTCCGAACGGGACGTTATACGCCAGATTCGAAGCACGATTGTCGAAAGCGGAGGCGGATTGCGTGATATGCTAGTTGTTCATCCCGTGCCTCTGATTCTTTATGGCAGGCACAACGTCATTTTGTAACCTCGTCGGACCCACTTGCTTTCAATGGCTCCTAAAGATTGCATTGCCGTTTGCTGTGTCTTCCTACGCTGTCCTTCTTACTTTTCGATACGACCTCCAGCATACGAACGCCCCCCGATTATATAAATGTTCTATAATACGCGACGCTGGAAACTAGACCCTCGCAATAACAAACACGTTCAGTTAGTCTCCGATGTCCCGTGCGGCGAATCAGCAACCCAAACACCATTGTTGCCGGTGTCGTACACGCTGTAGAACCGTTCCGACCAAGCGAATCCATTGACGAAATCCAGTCCCTTCCCCGATGGTGCCCCGATGTCGTTGATCATGAGGTAAACATAGCCCTTCTGGCCGCCCTACGAACGGTGCGCGTGAGCCACTGATCCATACCACCTGGGAAGACTCACGATGTATGCATTCATAGTTCGAGGCCACACTTGGCCGTTCGGACTGAGAGTGTACGTCCGCGTTCCCAAGGCGAACTTGAGAGGTTTCAGCGATTTGAACTGATCGTTGCGTATCCGCAGAAATCCGGTATCCCTGTCTATGGCACCTTTGACAGCAAGCTTGTATTTCTGGAATGCGTCTGCGAGAGGTCCAATCATCGGAATGGGACTACGGAGCGAGCCTCGCACGAACGTACCACTGGGGAGGTAGATCAACGTGGTTCCAGTGTCGAGAATCCCTGCCGTCTGTGGCATGATGACTGTTCCGTCGTAAACTATTTGCTGATCGACGCCCCAAAACTGGTTGGCGGGCTTGGTCTTGGTCACAGGCACCCAGCTGAGTTTTCCGATGAAACGAGTGCGGTCATAACCTCCGAAGGTTAAAGCGCCGTTTGGGGTGCTGTATGCCGCCTGAGCCTGGTATTCGCCACTGTCGTCTTCGGCGCCCTCGTCTCCTTGAAGAGCGCCGTTTAAGCTCGGAACTTGGGTCGTCGCGGCCGCTCGTTGATGAACCCGTCCCATAGTTGTCTCTCCTCCGCGTTGGTCCGTGTGGACGCCATAAGGGGCGAACGCGACACCGACCGCAGGCCAGGCTATCGCATGGTCTCCGTAGAGCGTGTCAACCACGGTTGGTACCATAGCGGTGTTGTCGACCGTGCCTTGCGCCAGCGTTCTTGGTCCAAGGCCTAGGACACCATCGATTCCAGCCTCGGCGAACCCAGACGCTTTCTTGGCGCCGCCGATTGGCTGCTGCCGCATCTTGAGCGCATTGGTGATAGTAACAGCGTCGATATCTGAAACAGATCGATGACATTAGTGGCCGTATAAGAAACATGCTTTGGATTATATCAACGCACACTGTTCACCCGAAAAGGATCCCGAGCCGTATTTCACTGCAACATGGTTGCCGGTGTCACGGCTTGTTCGAGTTCTCTTGTACGTGGATCGCGCACCGACCCATATATTAGCCGAGCCAGTGTCGATGAGCAAGTCATACGTGCTTGGAGGGTTTCCGACATTAACTTGCATGGTGTATGTGAACTTGGACGATGCATTAGCATTATGTCCGGGGAGGCGCGAAAAAAAAAAACCCCCCGATTAGGACTCACCAGGCGATTAATAGCGCCATACGCTCCATGAGCTCCCTTGGAGGCACGCGCGCGGAGACGGTCGCCTTCGTGAGCGTCCTGTTGACATTCGTCGAGCGCCTGGCCTCCCAATAAGCAACTGCCCCTCCGCTGGGTTAGTTCGACTCTCGAAGCGAGTGCACCAAGGTCGATGCCGCTCTCTCCGGACGACTGCGCCATGATGTCTTCCGCATGTTGCATCAGCTGGCGAATTCGTTCTCGATCGGCGTCAACGATCCTTGCGGGCCCTGTGACGTTGAACTTGGAAGCAAAGACTGCATCCGGCGTGTCCGTGTCCGTGGCGTCGCCAGGAACAATAGCCCAAGAAGTCAACAGGAGAGGAATGAGGAGCTTGTGATGCATGATCGCGACTCTCTAGGTGCTGTATACCCGGCGTCGGTAGTGATGTGAGTAGTCTGTGCCGACAACGAGAGACCGCGGACAAGCATATTCTTATGGCTCGGACTTGCAGATCTGGGGAGATTGTGATTGACAGGATATTGGATGGCAGAGACACGGTTGAAACGTTGATGACAATGACGGGTCGACCCGAGGCTTATGTAGCACGTGTTCAGGGTCTACCGCATTGCAGGGCAAACAGACAGTACATAGTATTCATACCACGACACCCGGGCGCACAGGTCCCGTTCGTTATGAACACGACAGACTTCGATATAGGCCTATCACCATGTGATCACATATTGCCCGCCGCTGCCGCCGTCGCCGTTCCTACCGCGGAATGTCATCCGATTACCATGCTCTTCGGGAACATCATAGATCACTGTCATACTAAGCCGGTTCAAGCAATCTGCGCGGATGATGTGGATGCCATGGAAGATGGTGCGAGGGACTTGATCCTGCGACAAGAGTAGCATCAGCCCAGGTCATAGCTACATGAGCAAAATGCAAGTTACCTCGACAAGTTGGACAATCTTAACGACTGTCCAGACGCGGTAGCTCCACTGAGCGTCGATTTACCATGAGGACTCCGTCGCGTGTGTTTAGTGCCTCTGAGGAAGGCAGGATGTGTCCTGTTCAACGTCATAATGGATCGACGTCGCCACTTGCGATGAACACTGGAGACGTAACCTTCATCAAGCAGACAGACTCCAATGTCAACGAACTTACACATCGAGCGGACATCTAGCGCCATGATAGACCATCTGCTCGTAGACTCTGCAGGCGGAGCCCGTTCTGTCGTGGAAGTGAAGTCAGTTATTCACTCCAGCCAGCCCGCAAGTACGCCCCTTACATGATTATCACTAAATGTCTGGTTAGCGTGTATGAACACGATAGGCATGGACGAAGTCGCTCACTAGAGATCCACATTGCACTCTGGCATTACTTGATTATGACCGATATCGAGATATAACGCATGAATAGTACGTACCTTGTATTGATCTGTTGGAAGGGAATCATGAGCTTTATGGCGATTTCATTTCACGAATGTCACAATCCTCACCGTGACCTTTAACGTCAACCACCATTGCCACCACGCTACTCACAGTAGCCAGCAGAAAATAGGGGATTGATCGGTTTCTGGCCATCTGGAAGAAATATGCAAGTGTTTCCCAGTATGCCTCATGCGGTTCACGAGCAGGCACATCCACACTTGACGGATCCTCGTTCACGGATTCCAAATGGGACTCTGGCATAGCCGTGGCATTGGGCGGGATCTGGCGCCATATACCCCCTATGGCAAGGGCTGTCTGCGCGAAGAAAAAGAAGGTGACTACATACACCTGTGGCATCAATCCTTCATCCATAGCCGGAAACAAAGACTCACGGTAGACCAGCATGACAGTGACAACATGTCTATCAGAGAATCTTCCGCGGACAAGAAACATTCCTGAGAGGTACACGGACAATCAGCACACGACCGTGGGCTCGTCAAACGATCTAACCTCTAAATAGTATTCCCCAAAATGCAAGCTCTATGACAATCGAAACGGCATTAACCCTTCGATGACCCCAAATGGAGCACCTGAAGGGATTGTCAGTCAGCCGTCAACTCTAGCGGGAGAGATGTGCTTGCATTTGCGAGGCGAACAGAGAGCTCGATATTCCCCAGGATATAGACGCAGCGATCTCAGCCGCATAAGTTAAGTTCTGTGACCATGAGACATGCGATGAAAGATGCAGAAGCTGACATGCTCACCGGGAGTTGGACGAGAGCCGCCGAGTCGATCACCCCGACGAGAGTTACGATCGAAAGGACGGTAGCACATCGAGAGGCGATGTACATAATAGTACCATAGCGACATCCGCGTGAGTTGAGTGCGAGGTCCAGAAGGAACGAAGGCGATCGAGCAAGTTCCCATCTGGCGCTAGCATCAGATGGTCGAAATCATAGCACCAATGATGGAGTGACGGACATGTAAAATCCAGAGACGAGATGTATAGCAAAAGAATAGTCATCTGAAGACAATCAGCCAGAGTTCATCTTTGGTTCAACCAGAAGGCGTCGTGTTGCGTACCGCTTGGTAGAGGCCCCGCGTTGGACGTAATTGCACGCACCGCATGCTCCATGAGACGGCAATAGTACTAGCGGACTGTGGTCGCCCCGTAGTCGGGTGATGGTGGTGGAGTTTCCAACGAGCAAGAATGGAAAGAAAGAACGGAGGTGCATCGTTGGCCAAATCGACGTAGTACGCGTTCTGGCGAATGCCGTTGTGTCGCCTTCGGTGCCGGCTTCGGTTACTCATGTAGCCCCGGTAATTTAACCTTCGTTGGCAAGTGACATAATCAACCCCCCCGATTGAATCGGAGATGGAGAGAAACGCGGGCACAATCACAACGGTAATGTTACATAGCACTCTATGAAGACATGACCGCTAATCGAATCAGGTCGCGGTTCGTCCGGTTGAACTCGCGATCTGCAGCATCGCCTTCCAGTTCAAACGGTGCTAGGTGCTTAGCTGCCTTGGAAAACTGACGGTTGATTACTGTAGTTTTACGACCTTATGTTCGTCCCCTGTCCCCATGGCTTCATCGTCTATCGCAATATATGATTGACGTACTGTGGCGAAAATAAGTATTGCCCACCCCCTCCTTGGCAACCTTTGGCAGTTGCTGCTCCTCCAGGGGTGGGCAAAATTTTGAGATTACGTGCATAAATAAAGCTCACAAGGTGCACATTACAGTAGTATACGCTGTCGTAAGTTTGCTTGGAGTTTTCGCTGACAACAGCTGGGAGCACACGATCACGCTTACATAATGGCCGCGTCGAGTGTACGCGTTGCGCACTCCTTGAGCAACGAACATCCCACACATTTGCACAATCCACACTGTACATTGTTTCTATCGGTCATATATCACGGCTCCTCATGGCAAAATACACCACACCCACCACAAAGGCCCGAATTGTCACGAGCATCGAGCTGGGACTGTCTCCAAAGACAGTGGCACGCTTGGTGGGTCGTGACCGGCGCACAGTCCAACGTGTCTATCAGAAATACCACGTTACACGAGACTTCTATCATATTTCACCGAAACCTGGACGTCCACGAAAGTTTTCGGACCGCGACGCGCGTGTAGCAGCTTGGATGATACGGTCTGGCAGGGCTCATACTGGAACGGAGGTGCAGCAGGCCGCCTTCAAGTCCGTTACCCCACAACTAGTCCGTGCCTATCTGACGGCACAAGGCCTCCCTGGACGTAGACGCCGCCGAAAGTTTGTCCTTACTCCAGATCACAAGAAACGGCGACTTGTTTGGGCACATGAACATGAGAAATGGACGGTACCTGAATGGGAGCGCGTAGTTTTCTCAGATGAGTTCAGAATCAACCGGTGGGGCTCGGACGGGATGCAGTACTGTAGGAGGGGCATAGGCGAAGAGTTTGATGACAAGAATGTGGATCCGGAGTTGAAGCATGGAGGCGGGTCAATAATGGTATGGGGATGCATCACAAGTCGAGGGTATGGGAGGCTTCACCAAGTGGAAGGGAAGATGAATGCGGACCAATACGTCAATATCCTGGAAGAATCACTCTTAGGCACCCTGCACGACCATCAACTCACGCCGTCTGATATTCTCTTCATGCACGACAACGATCCAAAGCATACTGCAAAGCTCACCTCACGGTGGCTTTCATCTCAGAACTTCGCTGTCATGCAATGGCCGGCCAATAGTCCAGACATGAACTGCATAGAACATGTCTGGCATCACATCAAGACCCGTGTTGGAGCCCTTCGTCCTCGTCCGCGCAATCTGGATGAGTTGTGGGAGGCCGTGCAGTCAGAGTGGAAGAAGTTGGATATGGAGTTTCTGGAATCTTTGTACGAGAGTATGCCTCGTCGTATCCATGCTCTGAAGGATGCAAAGGGGTCATATACTAAGTACTAGTGTCTACCTTGTCTTTGTAACGAAGAAATACATTCATTTGTGGTCACTCACATGGTGTGTCTGCTGTACCATCCTTGATGTTCCATGAATTTCGCAGCTTATGCGCATGAGTCCGGTTTGCATACTATATCAGTGTAAAGTACATCCCTAGTATACAGTTCCATGATATAGATTTTGGTCATTTGTTGTCGTGTGGAAGCAGAACGTCGATGGTCGTGACATGGGCAATACTTATTTTCGCCACAGTACTTCGGGGTCGTGAGCAAAGTCCCACATGAGTTGAGTGGCTTCGGCATGTTGCAATGGTCTGAATTTATTCATGTTCTCATTGTTCAAAAGCCGTGTAGCAGCCTTACGCATGTGTTTCCACTGTTCGTCGGCTAAGCGGGAAGGGATCAGCTTTCAGGTATCGAAGAATGCAGGTCAAATGTACCGCAATGACATGTCCCTGCAAGATTTCAGTCAGACGATGCCAACGTATAGGAGAAAATCACTAACCGAAGTTCATGTTATCAGGAGTGAGCATATCAGCTATGATGCTGAATGCGAGCTGTGAGCGACTCATAGCAACAACGGAAGTCGGGAACTGGTCAACTCACGACGCGGGGCGGCTCGCACTCGACAGACTTCTCTTCTCGATAATCTCTTCGACGGCGGTGGGCGAGTTTAGTATAATCATGGTTTGGTTCATGATCTTCAAGGAGAACACATCTCCGTATTCTTTCGCTGTAGAATACGTAGTCCAGCATGAGGTCACTCGATTTCCCAACCCGTCGACGTACCCAATCCCGAGAACCGAAAGTGCGGAAACTCGCGGGGGAAAATAGGCAGGTTACCAAGAATTGGGACAGTTGGAGGGCCTGGAATGTTAGCGTCAGAGTCAACTCCAGGTAACTGGTAGCCCCAGTGAAATCATGCTTGGAGGAAGGCCCTATCTCTCGAACCCAACTTCAAGAAGCGATAGACAGCATATGCAGATAAGGTGATCGAATGAGCAGTGCAACGTCATCGTCCGAGATTCGGGATACGCAGCGCGGTGCGGTAGTGCCTTGCGGTGATGCAACGGCGCTCGGTAGTCGAGTGTGCCCGAGTAATTTGCCCTCGTTCCAGGCTTGACGAGATTCTCCCACGTCGTACCTACGTACCACCCAGCACGATTGCTCTCATGGCCGCTGCAAAGATGGAAGCAGCTCACGAGCCTGAAAGTGGTCGAACACTACTTCGACTTCCTTGACTCACTAACGCAATGGAGGCCGTGATTTTCTTGTGCTGCGCGCTCGTGGGAACCCTAGAATTGAGGACGGGCAAGACCCTATTTCGTTGACCGATTGCTCCAGGAGCTTGGCCTCGCATTCTTCTCGGGACCGTTCGAGCAAGGTGAAGTGATTAGCATGAACATTCAAACTCGATTCGGAAAGGCAAGGTACAAAATGCTCCCTTACTCCAGGACATTCCGGGACATGTACCTCGTGAATGGAGTTCAGCGAGCGAGGTAGTGCACGTCGCATGCAATCGGTGGCATTCCGTTGGTTGTCATCGTTGTGCGTTTGTAAGGATGGGCGAGCTTCGATGGTGAACGAACTTTCACAACTCGTCCACAACTCGTCCACGGCCCTCCTCCAGCCTGTATCTCCGTAGCCCCCTCTCCTGGTCCCAAGGTACTTCATCTTCCCAATGGCTGACCACGACGACTGCCTGATTCTGTCCCACTCCATCGTCGCTGTTCAGATAACGTCTTGCCGCTGCAATCATTTTGCCATCCATGCCGCTCCATACCTCATCAAGGATGATGAGTTGCTGCCTGCCCACCAACGCACGCGCCAGTAATACGATGCTTTGCTCTCCTGAAGATAGATCCACGAATTCGCGTTTGGCGAAGGTCTGCGTAATAGGGTCCACCTCTCCACGAGCTGACAGGCGCGATGCTGTGTCTTGACCAGCGGAGGGCCACGAAGCGGGTCCCAAAGCTTCCAAGACTTCCCATACCCTCTTGACGCGCCAGTTCTCCTCATCCTCCCCCAGTAAGCCATCTTCGCGTGCATCCGTCCGGGTCGAGCGAGAGCCTACACCTTCCTCTCCAGCACCGACGAAGGTGCCTTCGAAGCCTGTGGCCACAGCCTCCCAGACGGTCATGCCGCGTCGGCGCGGGAATGCGTTACCGAGCTCTGGTGATACCACACCGACGAGGGTTTTCAGCGTCGCGGTCGGCAACTGGTGTCGCGGACGGGAGAATAGTTCGAGACGTCGATCGAGATCGGGTAGTGGGCGTTGCGTGTAAGACTGCGGGTGATCGCCAGTCAATAGAGACAGAAGAGTGGTCTTTCCTGAGCCTGCAGAGAGCACGTCAACTTGGTGCTGGTAGCGCGTATTGCGACCAACCATTGGAGCCTTGCAAATGCCATCGCTCGCCCGTTCGTATGGTCCAGTTGATATCCTTCAGTACCTACAAAAGTTCGGTGAGATGCACTCGTCCTTCGTCCGATGGGAGCGTACTAACATGTCTATCCTTGTAACTAACCCGAACGTTGCGCATTTGCACTACGATGTCGCCTGCCTGCGCCTCTCCGGATGATTTTTCGTTCTGGAGGCGATCGGCGTGCTCTGTATCCGTAGGTGTGTACGTCGCAGCTCTCTCCTGTGCGGAGACGTGTCCGTTTTCGACGCGTGCGACATGCGTAATCCATTCCGGGAGCGGATCTTGACCCCGAAGTCCAAGGATCATGCGCGGTTCGTGCAAAGTATGCAAATTGTGGAGAAGGGAGAGCAGGAGGTCACGCGTAGAGAAGTCCAAACCAGCTAGGTGGCCTGTCAGTGCCGCATAACGACATGATGGGAACATGACCTTACTCAACGGTTCGTCGAGCAGCAGTAGCTCTGGGCGAGAGAGAATGGCTTGATAAATGCGGGCCTTCCTGGTTTGGCCATTGCTGAGGGCAATTAAGGGTAGGTCCAGTAGACGTGTGAGGTCGAGTTTGTCGAGCAGTTCGTGGTCGTGTTCCACGCCATCCTTGGCATTGGATGGGTCGTCGAAGAGGTGTTCGCGGAGTGTGACGCGGTCTTCCTCGCGTACGGCGCCGTATCGGGCGGTGTAGTCATAGAATCCTGAGCCGGAGGAATGGGGTCGGTGCGCGAAGGATACAAGGGAGACACAATTGTAGGGGTCCAGACCCCGCGCGGAGAACGCAGGGAATAATCCAAGCGGTGGGGGTGGAGGCGGGGACAGCCGTAGGTGTCCCCGCAGCGTCTATGCAGGAAGTGGTTCAGTTACAATTTGACCAGAAGGTCGTCCATGCGCACTTCGAGTAAGGTGGTCTTCTCTCCTGCCCCAGAGCCTACCACAGCCCAATTTTCCCCTTCATGCACCGTCCACTGTAAGCCTTCAAATACCGGTGGTGCATTATTCGGTTGTCCGAAGCGGTAGACATTGCATTTCGGTATATATACAACAGGGCGCGAGTTGTCGGTAGAATCGAAACGCCTTTGTTCGCCTATTCTTCTTCTAGCTCGTGATAGAGCCGTAGCAGAGTATTGTGATGTGCATGACCAGCTCGAACGAACGGCAGACAGACGAAGTGACATCACATAGAATAAGAATGTTTAGATGTCGGGCTTGTTCAATGGTCAGAACTCATCGGTTCTGTGACTAATAAGACCAGAATATGGTTCTGTGGAGCCAGATAGTCGAAGCACGGAGTAGGAGCAACTTGCCAGTAATGGTGTGGTGAGTGACTAGGGCATGGCTCTCGACGAGATCAACACTGGTACAGTACTGACAGATTTCAACGCGGTGACTACTGAGCAGCCCTTTCTTGAACTTGAACCTGAACCTCCTTATTTCTCCTTGCTGCTGTGTCGGTCTCGTATGCCTGGGCTCGACATACGTGCAAAGACGGAGCAGAGCTTTATTTCATGCGAATTTCCAGAAGGGGCCTCGCACGATTTGAGATGCGCGAAATCACCTGGGCCGGCATCCTGCCGCAGGATTGCGACATGATCAGATGGACGCATGCCGCCGCTGGGATCGGGATCTTATCTTTGTAGCTATAAGCTTCCAGGACTTAACCCTACGACTCCGAGCATTGGCGCCCCAACATCCACCGTTGACGAACCAAGATGAGCACCAGGCAGATCGTCTTCACTGAGGATGCCAATCCCCCGCTGCCCATATACTGTACGTTCATCTGTCTCTGCGAAGCATACCATACTGAATACGCCTTCTCCCACAGCTCAGGCAGTCAAGTCAAAAGGCCACGTCTTCCTGTCAGGGAACATCGGATGCGATGCGAACCTGAAGCTCGCCGACGGCGGTGTCCAAGGGCAGACTGCACGTGCAAACAAACTTAATTATCCATGTCGCTGATCATCCTACTTCGTTCAGAAAGCGGCCTTGGAAAACATCATCAAGGTCTTGAAGGCTTCAGGAGTAACCCTGGACGACGTCGTCAAGGTCAACATTTACCTGACCAACCTCGCGCGCGACTTCGTGCCCATGAATGAGGTCTACGCCCAGGTATGCTGCTCATAAACTATCAGCGCACGATCGTCCTGTTGGTCTCACGTACCGCCCTACCCGTGTCCCAGTATTGGAAGCCGGGACAGTTCCCGGCTCGAACTTGCATTGGAGTGGCGGCCCTGCCGTTGAACGCCGACGTCGAGATCGAGCTCGTCGCTGCGCTCCCTGAAGCGTGAGTGACCGTAAAAGTATGTCGTCGGCAATCGATGTCGTGCGGCGGCAGTCAAATACCGTCATATGGAAACGCGGATGTATTTGTACGCTAGGACAGAGAAAGATACAACGGTATGCATAAGGCTAGACAGGACGGAAGCATGATGAGAAAGCATAACGAGGAAAGCATGTGATGGCGGAGGGCATAGGCGCATGAACAGCGAGCGAGAGCAAGGGACAGCATATGATAGCAACACGAGAGTGCTGAGAGCATGTGCGAGTCGAAAGACGAGAGCGGGATGCAGGAAAGCTGGAACAATGTGTACACGGGGGAAAACTGCTGGAGGAGACGACGTTCTGGACAGATCGCGTAGGGGACGCGTCTGTGGTGGACGCAACACTCAACGGCGGAGCGTCAAGTACTGCGTGGATGCGGCTGTCGCGTTTAACGACGAAGCCGCGGCAGCAGAGTCGGGTGCAGAAGGGGCCCAAATTGGCTGCAGGGTGCCGGCGAATGAAGGCCCCGGGCAGAAACGTCGGCCTTCGTAATATTCCCACATCTCTTCAATGCTGCGCATGAATGCAACCCCCCATTCGTACTGATGCAGATAAAAGAGGGCGAAGGCAGCGAGGAGGAGTGTGCATAACGCAGTGACGGCTCGTCGCGCGACGGCTCGTGTATAGTCGCGGATCCACGCGCGTATTGCCCTACGGCGTTCACGCCAGTAAAGGTCCTCTTCTGAAGGAAATTCGAGAAAGTATAGCTGTTCGCCATAGACGAGGAGGTTCCGCACCGCAATTGGAGAGAGTCGGTCTGGGTCTGCGCTCTCGAACACTTCTTCCTTATGTTGATCCCAAACCTGGATCACGTATTAGTACGGAACAGAACGAGAAAGGGTGCATTCGTACGTAGATGTTGTCGAGGTTCCATAACTTCTGAACCCGACGCAGGTCAAGGCCGCCGTCTGGGTCTAGAGGTATCACTGCATCTGCCCATGCCTCGTTCTTGTCCCAAACTTTGGTTCGGTAACCCATGGCTTCGCTGGATAACCAAAAAACGTGGATGCAGCCACTGGAGGATGGGCAGTTCAACGTCCCGCCGCCATGAACACGAAGGACTTGACTCACGGTTGCTTGACGCGTTCCGTAACGAGGGGATTTATGCGCAGCCGCCGACGCCGTTCGACAACCTCGACGAGGAATTCCTCGGGCGTCTTGCGGAAGAGGAAGAAAGGGTCAAACTCGCGAAACGCGCCTCTCCCGTGGCCGTTAAGAAGCTCCGCATCCTTTTCTTGGACGATCGTTTGGACGTTGGCAGCGCTGGCCGTATTCAGGTGGCCGACGGAGCTGGTGGCGTCGTCCCAAGGCTTGGGCGGGTTGCGCACCGCGATTTGATTGCGCTCCTTCGCAAGGATGTACCGAGCCGGGCGAAGTGTCGCCATCTGGAGTGATGGGGTACAGGGTGAGTCAGTTGTGAAAGGGCAAAGTTGTCCATGTGGTTTTATCCAGAGGGTTGTTGTGCCTCGAGCGCCCGTTACGAGCTGAAGTACAAGGTAGCAGAGGCAAAGTTGACGTCGAAGAGTGATCCATTCTTCTAGCAAAACGTGGAATATAAGAGCATCGGCTATAGTCAGCAAATGCCGAAACCCGAGTCGATCGTGGAGCGTAATCCGGCTTCGGAGAGACGATACCAATATATCCGGGACTGGTTCGTGTTGCGAGGCCAACTGCGCATACAGTACACGATGAGTGCTGCACAAGGGTCTAGTAAGGCTGCATCAGGCGGCATGCGCCTTGTATTCCTGTGACCGACATCCGAGTACAAGGCCGCAGCTTCCCGATGGAGAACAACGTCGACTTGCGGAGCTACCGACTATCGTTGAATCAGTTGAGCCTCGAGATGTGCGGGGAGCCAGATCCAGCTAGTGGCCTCGGATACCGTGAACGGTGAATACATGCAAATAGGACTGGTCCAGATACTAGGAGACTAAGGTCTAACTCGAAGCATTTCCCTGGGAAAGATGTGAGAACCGGCACGTGAGCGGGTAGGTTGTCCTTGTCACGGCGCTGAAGATTCGAATTCGGGGACGATTGCGAAAACATGCAGCAGTACAGATATTGAGGGCAACCCTTGCGTACAGGGTCCAAGGTTGCGCGCCCTCTTGTAGGAAACGCTGGACAATGGGCAAAGAGGACAATGGAACGGGCAAATGCCGGAATACCCAAACCGGAAGTTGTCTCCCACGGCTACAGTGAACTCGGCACGTCTGCTGCAACAGCACCCAATTCATCGTCTCTCACCGTTGAGCTGATGTTTGTCGAACTTGAAGCTTGAAGCTTGAAGCCTGGCGCAAGCCTCCGGCGTATTATTGACCAACATGGACGTGATCTGGCCTAAATGTCAATTGCTCGTGTCGTGCCTTGTACCTGAATCTATGCGGAGTTGGGAGGCTCATAGGAGGCCCATAACTTTACGAACGATGCCTGTTTGACGCATTCCTGCTTTTGTCTACAGTCTACCTTGTATCCTCTACACAAGCCGGGGAAAACGGGATGGTCTTCGATCTTCGCGCTCTTTTATCCGTATTGGTTGCAGTTCAGTATGTCTCCGCCATAGGCTTCCGGCCTCCCAACTACGAGAAGCGACAGAGCAATGGCGCAAGACTGGCTCTAGGTATGCCTCTGCGCAAGCCACGCAGGATATTCCAGCCATCGGGCACTACCCGTACGCATGACGTCTGTATCCTGGCTTCTCGAATGACACCACTAATCTAGATGCTGAACGATCCGAGCCTTCTGGTGTACCCTTCCCGATAGACACTACTCAGAGCGAGTAAGTCGCCTATGATACTGCACGCGTGTTCAAACTGACTTTGGCCCAGGCAGACAGGTTCCATCGGTGTGCTGACTACCGATGGAACCCTCATCGGATACTTCTCGCTCTCCAGCACTTCGCTTGCATCAACCCCGGTGAAGCGTGGCATCATGGAACGTGATAGCCCAACACATTCCTTCGTTACTCCTTCCTCGTCGTACAACCTTTTCAATATATACATCACGGTTCGTCGAACGTGCGCGTCATCCGCTCGCCTGGTTGACGACCTCCGCAGGGCGATTCACAGTACAATATCAACGCCATCGCAGCATGTGACGCGATCCTGTCGCCTACGAGCAGCAAGTGGGTCGCTAAATTCGCGTTGTATGAAAGATATTGACGCTCTACGTCAACCAGTGTGATCACGATTGGGAACGTTGGCATCGCCAGTAGGGCACTCTCATTCAATATCTCGTACGATTTTTTACACGCATACATTTCGTAGCGGCCGCGGGTGGGCGTGGTGTATGCACTGTGGGCTACAGTCCGGAGTACCAGTCCGATATCGTAAGCCCACTGGGCACTTCTCCCGGTACGCACCTAATCTTCCCTTTCCAGTGGACAATCGACCTGGATACCGGGAGGCTGCATCTTCACTTCGTCAACCCCGATCTCAGTTCGTTTATCTTACCTCCCGTGCTGCGGATGACTAACCTTCCGGTGCTCAACCAGCGACGTACGACAACTATTTCACATACAACACGGGCACATATGGTGGACTGCGCGTCACTGGCAATATCGAGTTGTCAGAAACCGACTCTCACTATCCGTTGGGCAATACCGTACAAGAAGTGGTGCGTCAGATTCTTTGGCCTGAACACAAGTAATCCTAACATTGAACAATGTTCAGTATCTCTACTGGGGTACTGTCGAGGACTGGAATGATTACTACTAGTAATATGTAGTTTCTGGGGCACGCGAGTGCTGGACTGGGTCGGCAAATCACTCACTTTCTATCACCTACTGATAGTTCTACATATACGTATCATATCATACATGCAGCCTTACAGACCTACATAACTGTGTCTGATGGGCGGTACAAATCATGGGTGTTGTGGCTGCCTCGCTTTGCGGAAATGCGTCTCGACCAATGACCTCATTGTAGCGGTTCGGCCGTCGATGCTATCGAGACCGTCGCTACTTTCCTTTTTTGTTCGCTGGACGCTTACGCGTCCCCCCTTTTGATTCATCAGCATGCTCCACCTCCATATGGTCAGGTACTTACGATAAAGTATAAGTACGCCGACGCTTGACGGAGGAGGGGTAACTTTGTATCTTCTCGAGTTGCTCAATAACGAGGCTTTGAACTCTCTGACTGCGCCGCTCGAGAAACTAACCGTGTGAACGCACCTTGATCAGTTCTGATCTTACTCGCGTCACATATTTTTGAGAGTGTCTTGTGAGTAATTCGCTCCGCTCGAAGTCGCTTACTCCTGTGGATAGGTACTGCCCGGCTTGATCACCCGGACACGCCCTTACATCGGATACTGCGACGACAAGCTAAGTATCCTACTACTTGTGCTACTACACTGTGACTACCATGCCTATTAGAGACGAATTGACGGGTCAGTGGACCCGCAGAGATGTGCGGGCCGCCGGTAATCCCTCGCAGCCCGCGGCGAACGTTGTCAACAGGACTGGCGCTGCGGCGACCGGTCCTAACGGAAGTCCTCCGGTGGCGGTCGACCCTCGTGCGTCGAACCCTGGAGGCCCTCCTGTGGCGGTCGGACCTCGTGTACCGAACCCTGGAGGTAATGATATGACTCCTGTGGCGGTCGGACCTGGTGTACCGAACCCGGGAGGTGTCCCTGTGGCGGTCGAGCCTCGTGCCTCGAACCCGGGACGAGATTCGCCCGAAGTTCAAAGCGGTACTACCGCTGGAGGGCGAGAATCGCGTAGAGAGATGCGCAACCCCACGGGGCTGGATGACTCTATGAGTGAGTCTAAAGGTTCATCACCTTTCATCATCGGTGGATTCGGCGGGCCGTCGAGTGACGGCACCGGGTCGTGGTCCAAAGTTCCGCGTCGGCGCCATAGCGCGTCGCCGGTGTTATCTAATCGAGCACTCGTTAGTGATGAAAATAGTTTCGCATCACTAGCTAACCTGGAAGACACGTCCTTAGTCACAAGGGACGATGACAATGATACTACGGACTCACCAGTGATGTTGGAAGTACACCGGGCCCCTGAGAAGTTGAAGTGCAGGCGCCGTGTGTCGTACACGCCGCAGGGCAGTGACACGGACTTTGAGGATACTCCTGAGACGCCTACGCCTGTGGAAAAGGGCAAGGGTGTCGAACGGGGAACTTCGCACATTGGTAGTGAGCAACGCGAAGTGCCACCTCACATTAGTCCCGAGAGCGTGCCGGAATACATCAATCTCATGGGGATTGAAGGTGAAGAGCTCGATATTAACGCACAGAGGGCCGCTCTCAACTCTTTCCGAACCATGCATGGCCTGCGCAATGATGCGCCTTTGGCTGCCGGGATATCTGGCGGGTCTTCGGATGAATCACTTGACGGCATCATTGCCCGTGCTAGTAGGTCAGCCGACGATTTCCGCGATCGGAAGAACCGCGAGGTCCGAGAGGCCCAACGAGAGCGCGATACCGCAAACATGGCCCGAATTGAAGCAGAGCGAGCCCATCGTGAGACTGAGCGAGCCAAGGAGGAAGTAGAACGAGCTCTAGACGAGGCAGATCGAGCTAAAATGGATGCTGAGCGAAGGCTTGAAGACCTGGCCGCGAGGATGAACCAACTGATAGTCACGGTCGAAGCTCAGGCAGCGCGCGTCGCTGAGCTTGAGCGACATAGTGTACAGCCCTCCCAGCGTGATATGAATGGTAGACAGGATGGCCCCAAGATTGTTGAAACCAAACGTATTGCTCAATCAGGCAGGGAGCTTGAAGAGAACGAGGATAGCGCACGCTCCGTTAGGTTGCGCGGAGGTATCTATGGACGCAGTACGGCACGGCCTGGAACTGCTGAAGTAGGGGGGCTTCGTGGGCGCCAAGGACGTGCGTCGGTAGCTCCCCCTTCTCAATTCATATCCCCACATAGCTCCCTGGGGCAAGCATTGGAGCGTAAACTACGACAATTAGAACAGGCTATGAGGGAACTAGAGAGGCCGGGGACTACGCCGATCAAGCCTAACGTGAAGCCTGAGCCTCCGAAGGAGTACGATGGCCGCGCTGATCTCGAAGCGTACCAGCGTTATATTGAGCAATGCGTTGAGTACCTGATAGACGGCATGATCGTTAGAGACCGGCATGTATCAAAGATAGGGCATTACCTGAGTGGAAATGCCCAACAGTTCTTCAAGAGGGTCGTAAAGAGCCCTGAGGAGTGGACGGTCCGGGAGTTCTTCAATGAACTATTCAATTACTGCTTCCCGGATGGATTCATGAACGAGATTCGGAAGCGATGGCGGAGCTGGCGTCAGCGCAAGTCGTCCGTAAAGGTATACGCGGCGGCGATGGAAGGGTTTCGTGACGACTTAGGCGATGAAATCTCGGACCGCCAATTTGTGCATCGGTTCTGGGAAGGACTAGACGACGAAATAAGCCGTGAATTGTATCGGGATCGACTACACCCGGATATTGACACTTACGAAGATGTCCTGGAGTGTGCCATCATTGCGGAACGTGCCATTAACAACAGCCTCCATCGTGGAAGCCCGTTGAGTGGCAATCAACCTTCTGGGCCGCAGGGCTCTGGAGGCGGAACGGGTGGCCATGGTGATAAAACAGATCTTGGAGGCCGTGGGGGAAATAACAGGTATGGGCGCGGAGGCGGCCGAAATGGAGGAGATCACGGAAACCACACCGGTTCTGGGTTGCCGAAGAAATCTGATCGAATCACGTCTCCAGAGGCGACGAACTCGAAAGACCGGTCAAGACTGAAGGATACGAGTGCGAAACGGAACTCACCTCTGTCGCGGGACCAATTGAAGGATCATCTTGAGAACAATCTATGCTTTAAGTGTCATAAGGCGGGCCACATGAGTCGCAACTGTCCTGAAGGTCAGCAGGTAAAGAGTGACGCAAAGGGACGCGCGCCGGGTGTCAAGACAAGTTACGCGATTAACTTCGCAGAGGTAGAGGAACTGGACGAAGATGCAGAGACGCCGGTTGATGATCCGGAAGTCATGGATGAACTACTGTGCGGCTCCATCCGGTGGCGCTTATCGGATAATGACGATCTGCTGTCTGAGCAGGAGGTCGATGAAATACCTTCGCATGATGATGGTCTCGACCCGATCGGGAACCCACCGCCATACGATGAACGGCGTTGGGTCCAGGAGGAGGCACGTACTTGGTACACGCCGTATAGGGTCGATTGGCGTCGTAGTATGCTGGATTACCTCCAGACCCGTGGTATCACGGCGGCTGTCCGAGCCGTGTGCGACGCCTATGAGCGCCAGGATGTTGACCCCGACTTTGTGTGTCCGGACGCCGTGCGGGAACATCGGCTTGAGCGTGATGCCTTTGTCGAAGGATCCTCTCGGTTTGGCGATCCTATTGCCAATCGGATAGGTTCTGTCGTCGAGGCGCGCATCGATCAACTGCCGCATTTGTGGGATATCTGGACCAATGAGTTTGCGATTGCATCTTGTATGATTTTGCTAGCGGATGGACGTACCCCTTGGGTTATGAATGACGCCCGCCTAGACCTTCCTATCATTATTCCTAATGAGTTGCTGATACGCCGAGGTTTTGACTTTGTAAATTGGTATCGAGTGCGCATGAGGGAATTCGTTGCGTTGGCTCGGAGTTTTGCGCGCGATGAGGCTGGCTTCGAGGACGTGGACTTCCTTTGGGAATGGAACTGGGGAGTTCCTAGAGAGACGGTCGATCCTGAGGGCGAGGATGCTGCGAGCGAGGCAGGAGACGCCAGGAGCGATGAAAGCTCCGAGGACGGCGATTACCCACCGGGTGCCCGATTTAACATTCCTTCGGATGACTCCAGTGACGGCCTCGTAGAGGGCGAGATGTTCGAGATCGATGGCACTCTCTACATGCTGGGTGCTGACGATACTCTCTGGTTTCGCTCTGCAAGCATCGGGCTGGATGTCGATGGGAGTAAGGAGGCGGGTCGTCGACTTGCGGCAGCGCGCGTGAAACAGCCTCCTAAAGACAGCTTTGCGTCGCTTCAACGCAACGCATCTCGAATTAAAACCTCAGGGCGTAAGGTTCCGAGGCCCATCGTCATCACAGTGCGTGTTAACGGCCACGAGTGCCGTGCCCTTCTAGACTCAGGATCTCTCGGCGATTTCATGTCGACGACTCTCGCCGAACAACTGAAGGTCCACAAATCTCCACTCGATACTCAGATCACTGTACAGCTCGCGGCCCAAGGGTCCAAGACTAAGGTGAACTATTACACCACGGTAGACCTACAGTATGCCCGGATTTCGTGCCAGCGCGTATTCGACATAATGAATATTGATGGCTATGATCTGATCCTGGGCACGCCGTTCATCTGGCAGCACAGGATCATGTTCGGACTGAATCCTTCGCGGGTGATTGTCGGATGCGAGGAGCCTGAGGTCATGCGAACAGGCGAGGACGTTGGGGAACTCGCATCAAGAGCAGCTAAGCTCCGTGAACGGTCTATTGAAGAAATCCGACAGGAACTCCATGAATATGCAAAACCATTATACCAAAAAGCGGCGGAAACGACATTACCTCCGCTGCGACGAGTGAATCATCGAATTCCTATCATAGATAAAGGGAAACGGTATCCGTTCCGCGCGTCTAGGTGTCCTGAGGGATTTCGTGAGCAGTGGAACACAAAGCGAGACATCTTTTTGAAGTCGGGACGTTGGGAATACGCAAGCGGTGTGAATGCGTCTCCTATCATGTTCTTAAGCAAGCCATCAGGAGGTATGCGGAACACGGTCGACCTACGAGCTCGGAACGACAATACGGAGAAGCTGGCGTCCCCGCTCCCGGATCAGGATGGTATACGCCGCCGCGTAGCTGCGAGCCGATACTTCACAGCAATGGACTTGGAGGGTGCGTACGAACAGGTCCGAGTAGAGCCGGAAGACGTCCAGTACACGCTGATGGCGACTCCAGATGGTACGATGGTAAGCCATGTCCTGCAGCAAGGTGACTGCAATGCCATCGCGACGTTCATGGCGGTGATGACAGACATGTTCTCGCCGTACTTGACAGTGTGGCTCGAGATCTATCTCGACGACCTTATTGTTCATACGAACGATCTAGAAGAGCACGTACGGTGTGTGAGACTTGTCATTGACATCCTGCGCAAAAACCAGTTCTACTTGTCCGAGAAGAAGATGCATTTCTTGGCCGACGAGATCAAGTTACTAGGCCAGATAGTGTCACGAAAGGGCATCAGACTCGACCCAGTGAAGGTTGAAAGGATACGCACTTGGAATGTACCGACCAATCGTGACCTTCTCCGCGGATTTCTGGGTGCGGTAGGATATCTTGCGGACGGCTGCGCTGGGATACGCATTCCGATGGACGTCTTGAACCGATTAACCGGGGACAACGTCGTCTATCGTTGGGGTCCAACTGAGCAGCGTGCCTTCAATGAGATTCGGGAGCTTGTATACGCTCATCGGAATGTCCATCGTGTTGCCATGAGGTATGGGCCGGATGCGCCGCAGGTGCATGTGGTCACAGACGGATGCCTGACGGGTGTCGGTGGCTGCATCTTGCAAGGGCCGGACTGGAAATCGGCGTCAGTAGTCGCATTTTACTCTGCGAAATTGACCGCGGCACAGCAGAACTACGCTGTGCATGAGATTGAGTTGTTAGCTGGTCTCGAGACTATGCTACGCTATCGTGACTTGCTGCTAGGGGTCCCGTTCACGTGGTATACCGACCATAAGGGACTGATTCATTTCATGAATCAGAAGAACCTAACGGGGCGTCAAGCGCGATGGTTGGAAAAACTGTCCGAGTTCCATTTTAAGATCAAGTACGTACCGGGACTGGAAAATGAGCTTGCAGATGCGCTGTCGCGCATCTATTCGGATGACGAACCGGGAATGGTACGTTCGGGCAGTGAGATGGTCCAGTATGACGAAGACCATCCACCGCGCGGCGACGTCATGCCCGTACTCACCGGTCTGGAAGCGCGGATGGCGACGTTGCGGCCTCGCGCCCCACGCGCAGCGGTGCCAGGGCCAGTGATGCCACAGTTGTCAGGGGAGCCATCGTTGGCACATGCTGTGATTGCACCGACGACTCGGAAGCCAGTTGCCCCGCAGCCGGCTGAGACGGGACGGCCAGAGACCGCGCAAGAGTTCGCTAAGCGTATCAAGAAGGTGACGCTGCGTCTTCCGGCGCAACGTCAGGAGGGCGGGCATGGAGGAATACATGCGCAAACTGACGCAACAGGAAAGACATCGCCGGATGTAGAAACCGACAATGATGAAGCGGCCGCCATGGCCCCGAAGTTCCTTGACGTCATAGCAGAATATGATGGTAACATTCGGTTTCCGGAGTGCCTGAAGGGTAAATACGCGGAAGATTCGTTTTTCAAGCTTATACTTGAGAACCCATCGCAGTTCAAGAACTTCACAATCGAAGATGACGTGATGTACTTGAAGGACGAGGGCTCGAAGATCCTATGCGTTCCTGGATGCATGATAGGGCCGCGATCTGCACGCGAGATCATCATATCGCGTGCGCATTCAATCTTAGCTCACCTCGGGCCATCAAAGACAATCGCGTATCTGCGAGGTTCCGTGTGGTGGAAGTCGATGATATCTGACGTGAGGGCTTTCTGCGAAAGCTGCGTGACCTGCAGGAAGAGCAAACCTAATAATCAGAAACCGTACGGATTGCTCAACCCACTACCGGTACCTACTCGCCCATGGGAGGCAATCGGAATGGACTTCGTGGGCCCATTGCCTGTGTCGAAGGACAGAAACGCGTCATACGATGAGATCACCGTAATAATAGATCTGCTCACCGGCCGAGTTCATCTTATTCCAAGCCGACAGGATTACCGGGCGAAGGACATAGCGGAACTGGTATTTTCGGAAATCTACCGGTTGCACGGGCTGCCGAAGCGCATCGTTAGTGATCGTGATGTTTTGTTCACGAGCGCATTCTGGCAAAACTTCAACAAAATGTTAGGCATACAACTGAATATGTCTAGTGCCTACCATCCGGAGAGTGACGGCTCCACGGAGCGTGCAAACCGGACCATCACGCAAATGATTCGCGCTTGCGTCAGCCCCGATCAGAGGGACTGGGTCTCGAAACTACCTGGAATCGAATTCGCGATCAACTCGGCACGGTCGGAAAGTACGGGTTACGCACCTTTCTTCCTAGACACCGGCCGGATGCCGAGGTCCTTGATATGGGATCAACCAGGTGACACCGAGTACCCTGGCGTCCGAGTCTTCGCGCAGCGTATGAAAAACGCGATAATGGCAGCACACGATGCGATCCTTGAGGCCCGAGTGAAACAGACGCGAGCCGCTAATCGGCATCGGCGGCCTGCCCCATTTACAGTGGGCGACATGGTCTACATCTCGACCAAGAATATTAGTTTTCCAAAAGGGCGCGCGCGTAAGCTCGTACCAAAATATATAGGGCCATACATCATTTCAAAAGACTACGGAAACAACTCATTTCGCGTAGATTTACCTGCGCGCTTGCTGCAGCGAGGCGTGCATCCCGTATTCCACTCGTCTCTTCTGCGAGTGCATGTAGCCAATGATGACCGATTGTTCCCTGGGCGCGCAGAGACGCAGGTGGCGGACTTTGGCGAAGACGGAGGCGAATGGGCCGTAGAACGAATTCTGTCACATAAAGGTAAAGGTTTAGCCGCAGTGTTCGAGATCAGATGGAAAGCGGGTGATATTACCTGGCTACCACTTGATCGGATTGACGGTCTCGAGCAGTTGAAGTTGTATCTAGATGAGCAGGGTGTTAGCAGCGTGGGCGAGCTTCCGGAAGGTAAAGGAAAGCTCGACACTGACGATCCTCAAGTCTTCGTCGGCGGAATTCGGTACGAGACCGTATTGGATGACCGTCCGGCTGGAGGGCGCGTATTTAGGCCAACGGGGGCTAACGCCCGGTCCTTCAAGACTCGTCAACTCACTTTCCTCAAGAAGCACGTCAAGACTTACCGTTCCTCGTTTCCTCGCTGCATGCCCTCGTCCTCCGACACCAACCAACCCCCCAACTCCTCGACCAACACGTCATCCGTCCGCGCCAACTCCCGTTCGGATCGCGCCGCCACTCCTCGTCGTGGTGCGTCTCGCGAGGCGTCACCCGGCGAGGATGTCACTCACCTCATCACGGTCCATCGCGGCATTGAATTCGACACGCGTACCCTCGAGTTCGTGATCGACCGGGTCCCTCCTCCATCGATCGGAAGCCCATTCACCGTCTGGCACTGGCGCTACGTCGACAGACTCCTGCGCTACGACGACAGCATCCGCGACGGCTCCGCAATCCTTGAGGAGCCTGTCCCGCCCGGTTACGACGAGCTACGCACCACCCTTCGCAACGTCATCGACCCATCGGAGGCCTCCCTCTCGCTACTCATCCATGACATTAGCGCCGAAAACGAGACCCGCGCTGATATTCAAGGCTCCTCACCTCGGTCCATCCTTTTCAATGATGCCGTTCGGGACGCCATCCGCAATCGTCGTCGCTCGCGTCGCGAACCGACCAATCATCAGCCGTCGGGAAACGGTCCGGATTCGCGCAATCCTCCTTCGGCAGACGTCAAACTGCGCAACGGTCAAGGCTACTCGTTTTCGGACATGGAGGTCATCAACTACGCCATGATGGGGAGCGTGCGGGCGAAGATGAAGAGGGAGCTAATCTGGCGTGAGCGCCGTCGCAAATGAAGGAGGGGCGGGAAGTTACTTATTTTGGTGAAGCGGTTTCCACTTCAGGAGGGCGTGTGTAGCGGTTCGGCCGTCGATGCTATCGAGACCGTCGCTACTTTCCTTTTTTGTTCGCTGGACGCTTACGCGTCCCCCCTTTTGATTCATCAGCATGCTCCACCTCCATATGGTCAGGTACTTACGATAAAGTATAAGTACGCCGACGCTTGACGGAGGAGGGGTAACTTTGTATCTTCTCGAGTTGCTCAATAACGAGGCTTTGAACTCTCTGACTGCGCCGCTCGAGAAACTAACCGTGTGAACGCACCTTGATCAGTTCTGATCTTACTCGCGTCACACTCATCCAACCGCGCGGCGTTCGATCCTTGCCCCTTGCTTGCCGGCGCGCGCGTTACATTCGAATGTTGCTCTGAACCGCTCGCTGCAACTACTCGCCGTCCGAACTACTACGTCTGCTAGTCGCTGTTGACTGGAGCCAGTCAGAGCAACCTTCAACGCGGCGTGCCGAAGGACCCGTCCAGTCCTCTCAAACGTGCCGTCTGAACTCTGCTTGAGTTGCTGCATATCATGAAGGTTTTGCATCATATTAAAAATGCGCTGTCATTCAAGCCCATACCCGTTACCGTGCTCGCTGTTGTCATCTATGCAGTCCTCTTCGGGTCGGTGGTCGTGACCGACGAACTGCCGGATGTCCCCAAGGTCAAGCGATGGAAAGGGCTGAACCTTACGGAGGCTTACGCGGACTTGCACGTTGTGTGTACCACGACTAATTTTTGGTTGTAAGGCGTACTTACTAACGTTCGCTCTGCGACAGGTTGCAGCTCGACCCCATCCTTACAATAGTCATGCAAACACCTACGTCCGAGCATACATCCTCGACCGACTGCAGCACATAGCAGCACCCCATCGAAGCACCGTGTCCGTTGTTTCGGACCTCAACTCTACCGCGTCTTATTCAAACGTCTACTTCGAGGGCACCAATGTCCTCGTCAAGGTCGAAGGAACGCAGTCAAACGCGACCAACGACTACGAGGGCGGAGCCGTGCTTTTCAGCGCGCACTATGACTCCGTTTCTTCTGCACCCGGCGCCACCGACGATGGAATGGGTGTTGTCACTTTAATCCAGCTGGTGAAGTACCTTACGGAGCACCGTCCCCAGCGCACTGCGGTTTTCAACCTCAATAACGGTGAAGAGGATTGGTTGAACGGTGCCCATGCGTATGCGACCGCTTGAATCGCTTGGCGTCGTCTCACGTTACTGCCAGATTCCTCGAGCACCCATGGGCCAATTTGACTACCACCTTCCTCAACCTCGAGGGCGCGGCGGCAGGCGGGTAAGTTGTAGAGCATCATAGTACATGCTTAAGAGATGGTGCTAACCATCCTCAATATGTTAGACGACCGCTCCTTTTCCGTGCTACCTCGCTCGCGCCGACGCGTGCCTTCCACGTCGACCACCCTCACGGAAACGTGCTTTCCGCAGATGCCTTTGCCCGTGGTGTCATTCGCTCTGGTACAGATTACTCCGTCTATGCCCAGGGTCTTGTTAGCTCGGCCAAGGATGTCGTCGTAAAGCCTGGTATGGTGATCGTTATTGCAACACAGGAGTAGCAGCCTCACGGGCTTTTACAGGGATGGAAGGCCTAGACTTCGCATTCTACAAAGGCCGCAGCAAGTACCACACCAAGTACGACTCTGTGGTCTACACAGAAGGCGGACAAAAAGCCTTGTGGGCGATGATGGATTCTGTAAGTTTGCTGACCTTCGTTGAGGTTGGAGCTTCACTAATGATTATCGCAGGTTCGCTCCGCGAGCTCGACTTTGCTAAATACCACAAAGACAGAGAAATTGAGCGAGAGAGGGGAGGGCGTCGTCTATTTCGACCGTTCGTCTTCTCCGCATATAGAGTGCTCCAGGATGTAGCTCATGCTTCTATAGTGCTTGGACATTCGTTCGTGGTGTTCTCTGCGACAACGCTCCTCATTTTGGATATCGTGCTTCTCATTGTCGGTCCTTTTGCCGTTCTTGCACTCTTGATTACCGTCATCATCCGCGCAAGGAAGGAGAAGGCCCGCGCGGAAGTAGAGAATGGAGTACCCGAAGTATGAATTTGATTCACAAATGAACTGGCCAATATGCAGCTGACCGCAAACCAGGGACTGGCAACCGGGGGAAGTGCAAAGGAGCTGATCCTAGCCTTAATCGGCTGGGCCAAATTTTGGGTCGCCCTCGTCATTGCCCTCGTAGCAGAAGGGCTGTTGGTGCTCGGATACGTCAAACTCAACCCCTTCGTACGCTCCGTCGCTCCATGTTCCGTTTGACCCCTACTAATGCACGACTTCACCTCAGATTGTCCACTCGCGCCCGATACTCGTGATCGTCTCTGCTCTCGCGGTGGCATACATGACCCTTGCGCTTCCTCTCACCTTCTCGCATAGCAAGCCTTCGAAGGATGTACCACCCACATCCTCGCGACAGCAGAAGCTCGCAACTCTAGTGGAGATCTATCTGCTCACATGGGCATTCCTGCTTGGTGCGACCATCGCCCTCGGCAACGTGGGCATCGGAGGGCTGTACTGGGTGACGATCTGGAACGCGCTTGCACTGATCGCGGGCATCTTCGGGTTAGTGGAGGCGCTTTTCAGAGTCAAGCACACGAAGAAGAGCGACGTGGGCCCCGGACTCGGTCAGGAGACGATAGAGGAGGAGCGTGGCGAAGAAGAAGAACGGAGGCTTGTGCGCGGCGTGAGATACGAAGTGGGCGGTACCGACACAGGAGCCAGTGATCTGGACCATGGTGACCATGTTAGGGCGTATGGCGCTAGAGAAGACGAAGGGGAAGGTATGGTGGTTGAGACCGCCCCGACGGAAATCACTCCACTTATGTATCAGCATCGGCGGAACCAGCCTGGTGCGACTGCGAAGGAGGAGTACGCCGAGAATGACGAGGTTGGGTGGTGGATCGTGCAGTTGCTGGTCCTCGTTCCCCTTCCGGTGATGTTGATCAGTCAGGTTGGAATCATGCTCGTCAACGCGATGAGCCAATCGCTCGTAGACGGCAGCAGTGCCACCACAGGTGAGTGCTCGAGAACAGTTGTGTCCCACCGTTCTGAAGCAAACACATATTCCCGCAGTGTATCTTGGCATCGCATTGCTGTCGTTGCTCGTCATCTTGCCAATTTCGCCTTTCATTCACAAATTGCATAATGGCCTAGTTGTGCTGGCGGCTGTCTTCCTCATCATATCCCTCGTCTTCACTTGGGTCGTATTCCCATTCAACCAGGACGCGCCCTTGAAGGTGTCGTTCAAGCAGATGGTTCATCTGGACGCAAAAGAGGGGGCACCTCATGCAGTCACCACCCTGATAGGACCAGCACAATATCTGCAGAAGCGTATCGTGGCTGAGCTGCCGTCGGCATGGGGGGCGGACGTGAACTGCACCTCGACCACGGATCCGAGACGTAAAGGGCTCACCGAGTGCTCCTGGTCAAGCACCCTGTTGCCCGCGCACGGTTCATCATCCAACGTCCTTGACGCATCTTCGGATGACGAGACGTCGCTGGTTGCCCCTTCTCCCTTTACCAGTGCCACAGATTGGCTGCAGTTCCGGACCAAGAAGACTTCACCGACATCCGCCATATTGTCCGTACGAGGGGCCAACACACGCAACTGCCGGCTGTACTTCGACAGCGCGCCTATATCATACTACAACGTAACGAGCTCGAATACGTCTGGCGACCTGCAGCCCGGCTACGAGATTGCCGACGAGGGCATCAAGGAGCTGCGCCTATGGAGTCGAACGTGGGATCGAGAGTTCGAGGTGGAGGTCGAGTGGAAGGGCATAGCAGGAGGCACGCTCGAGGGGCGTGCAAGCTGTCTCTGGAACGAGTACGCAAGTGGCGCGGCTGGTGGACCTAGCTCTGGCGGGCGTATCCCGGCGTATGAAGAGGTGCTTGCGTTCCTCCCTAAGTGGGCCGCCGCGACAAAGAGGGACGATGGCCTGGTCGAAGCATGGATCACGTTCAAAATCTGACTGGTGTAAAAATATATGTCCCCTTGCTCTCGTAAGCATGTATGTTCACTGACTACTTGTCGCGCTATAAATTGCCTCATTTACTAGCGTATGTCGACTCATGTTTGATGCCTCCAGTTGAACTGCTTCATATTGATGTGCTTGTTGGCGGTATGGTGGGTACAGCCATTCATTGACCTGACGACATAGATACATCCTGAGTATGCTGAGGCGCACTGGACAGTGTGTACAAGTACGGTGCTTGGGTCAACAATGGTGGCGTCGGGGTCAATGGTCGGTCCCGCTCTTCCAACTGACTGGGTTCGATGAGCGGACCGAGTGGTTGTAGATCAACCTGGTGCCACGATTCATGCCATGCCGAGGCTTGACACTCAGGCTCGATGTCGTCTGCTGAGCGCCGAGGCTCTGAGACATCTGCACAAAATTTATGTCGCTGGCGATGTTCAAGGGCAGTCCGGACCTGAAGCAATCCATGAGCTCCGATGCAGCGGCCTCAAGAATGTTTTGGCTCACAACGCGAGGTCCCGAGTGATCGTCTAGGCGCCGTTTGAAGTGTCGCTCAGCCCCCGATATGTCTTCCGTGTTTCCGCGTTTACGATGCAGGGGTGAGCGCGGCGGTGTAATGATAGGTGAGGGCGACGGTTTTATTTGCGTGAGCTGCCGCTCGATGTCAGTTTCGGACTCCGTACGAGACTCTTGACTCTGGTTCTGGCTCTGTAAGTGCTTCCTGGGGGACGGTGAGCATTGCCCAGCTAGGGCCTCGACGGGATCTGGTATAGCATTGACACCGCTCGGGAACGAGATGAAATTGTCGCCGGAGTCGTCAAGTTCATCCTCAGCGATCGCTGAAATATGCCGAGGTCGGGCCCTTGATGTTGCCTTCGTGATCATATCATCGAAATTCGGCGATGGCGGAACTGTCTCCGCAGGCGGAGTGACCATCGGCGACGACTTCTGCTCGATCATGCTGAACCGCGTATGTGGCGTTGACGGTGGCATGTCGAGGTCCGAGGTCGAGGCCACCGAAGAATGGCGGCGCGAAGTGACTCCAGCGAGGGCATAGTATGCGGCTTGATTGCCTGGTGGGATGAAACTGGATGTTTCTGACACGGGCGTGTCCGACTGCGTTTGCGATTGCCGCTTGCTCGAGGAGGATAGACGCCGTAGAGCTATAGGAAATGGTGCCGACCGTGACAACCTGGCAGCGCGTATATCAAGTCCTTGCGAGTCGCTGCCAGACCGCACATTGCCAGACGTAGTAGAAGAGGACTGGATCGTGCCATACGCGTCAAGGAAACTGTCTAAAGGGTAACGAGTCAACATTATGAACTGAGAACCCCTCTGAAGCTCTGGGGCCATGTGCGCACATGTAAGTCCGTGTGCACCGTCTTGGGCGCGGCGTTCGATGACCAGGTCACTAGATCGTATTGGCAGTAGTTGGTCGCAATGATCGACAAGAACATGGTTCAGTAGAGCCTCTTGTTGACGGAAGGTCTGCCGGCACCAGTCCCAGCCGCAGGCCCACATTACGGTTTTCGACATGAAGCTGTACTAGAGTGCGGTTGGACAAAGTCTGAAGCTGGAACAGCCGCAGGTGGCATGTGATGCGGGCAGCGGCAGCCAGTGGCAGACTGAGAAGTGCGGTCGCTGGCGATGACGACAGTGGCGACACCCCAACTTCGGTTGGTAAGATAGGGCTCATTCAGTTTCAACAGGTTCCACGGGTCTTGCTAGTCGAATAAAATAATTTACGCTCAAAATTCACAGAAATCGCCGCCACAGATTTCAAGATAATGTACATTCAAAGAGAATTGTGGTTTTAGATTTAGAGAGTGTACCCCGTAGCGAGTGGAATTCGCTGCGCAGCACTTATCACACCTGTTGAAACTGAATGAGCCCTATCTTAACTCGTTCGTAGTCTCCCTAATAGTCAGACTCTCGATGCGCAGTGAAGACAGTCGTTCGTAACTCGCTAGACGAGGTCCAAACATCTACGACGGGCAAAGTTTCTAGAATCTTGCGATGCCGGAGGTAAATCATCTACATCTAACTGACCTCGTCGGGGGGCGGGGCGGACCTGACTCAACCCAGGACGGAGAGCCAGCTTGTCAAGCACAAGGCGAGTTCTTTCGTCATGATGGCTCTCCACGACCGTTAATGACAGTGTCTAATACAGCATGCACGCTACAAACATGCTTGAACAAGAACACATATCAGCCCGAGAAATGCGACGCGCAGCTGCGTGAGCTCTACACGTGCTGTCAACGTTTCTATGAAGCGACAGGGGACAAAGGAGAATCGACAGCGTGTCCTATGCCAAGCGTGGTGCGCAGATGGCTGAAGAATCATTGACGATGCGCTTGAGGAAACGGAAAGTGTGTAAGCCGCCGTGATAACACTCGCATTTCCAGTATCCTCTGAGCCCTCCGATAGGTCGTGATTGGCTATATCTGGTAGGACGCTGCGCATGAAGACCAACGGAATGTTTGCCTCCCGGCGCGGCTTTTCGCGGCCCGAGATACCACCATGTGTGCGCCGACATCCTGAGATGCTGATTGAAGCTTCGCATATGACGTACCGTGTATGCAATCCCGTGTACGTTCATGGACTCAGCAATTGAGGTGATCTCCACCTTATACCCATTGCTCGCGCATAGTTCAACTGTGGGATCCTAAGCAGCTTAGCATCCGCCGGCGCGCACCTCCCGGTACGAGCTCGAAATACTTATCGTCCTCATCTCGTCCAAGATAACCTTGCCGACGGGAATCTCTGTTAGACCATGGCGTCATGACATCGAACTGCTCCTCGGCTCCGGACAAGGTTTCCGAAATCATGTTATCGGACTTCCCCTCGAACGTGCATCTTGAAATCTACCGACGAAGCCATGCAGAAACCGTCTGAATATCATCCTCACCGTGTCATCTAGGTTGATCTTCGGCGTCAATACGGGTACACCTTTGTTCGCTAAATCATACGACAAGCACACCCCTTCCTCACTTCCCTACACGCATGGATCTGTATGGTCGTCTTATCGCAGATAGGATACACCCTATGGACCGGCATTCCTCGTCTTCGTATTTCGGGAGGACAATTGCGACCGGAGGCGTATAAGTACGCTATATGACACATGGGATATCTTGCGCTGCTTTCTTGAGGCTGCACTTCTGCCGTTCGCTGATCATTCGGTCGAGGGGAAATCAGGTTGTCGTTCATGAATCATGTCGCTCGGATTTCTCGCGTACATCACACTCGCGTTCCTGTGCCAGAACGTATACGCGCAAACATGGTGAGTTCGCCGTCAAACTATTCATACGAGTCGTGGAGTCTCCATCTCTGATCGTACATGTGCTCAGGTACTTCCTGCGCTACCAAACTCCCTCAGGCGCAGCATTTACCCACCTGAGTGGAAATATGATTGCGTACGTGTCGCCGCCCTTGTTCATACGCTTTACGAGAACGACTGCGCAGACCCACGCTTCCTGAAGCCGCAACTTACTATCTCTGGCCGGGGCTGCAGCCCCCGGACAATTCGGGTAAGTATACATGGTCCGACGATTCCGCGGCGAGGGCGGCACTCTCATCTCCAACCCTCAGGTGTCCTGCAACAGGTTCTTGATGGACGAAGCGGGACATGGTGGATCGGAAGCGGTTGGTGCTGCTCGAACCCGAGTTTGGCCTGGGGAAGCGGTTTCAATGGTGATTCTTTCATGTCAATCCTGTCGAAGTTACACAGGTTGTCTATGAAAAGCACTGATCACGCTATCAAGTCGCCGCCGGTACCACGATCGCCTTCTCCAATGACGACTCCAACCGAGATGGTACATGGGACACCAGCCTCTCGGACAGCAGCAGTTCTGCCACCGGCTCCTTCGACCTTTGTGAGTAGCACCGGCAAGATGCTCCTCTCCGCGGACGATACAAGGGCGGAGGCTGACTACCTACTATAGATTCCACAAGGTCTATGAATCAGGCTATTTTTGCCATCGAGCTTTATGATGTGAGCGCGACCCTCTGACCGGGTTCTCGCGTTCCATCCCATGCTCAACCTGACGTTGACAGGTGAGTTGGAACTTCGGAAAGCTGACCTTCACCGACGTCGTCATGGTACGTCATTCTCCCCTTCGGTGTTGTTCTACCGGACCTTCAGAGAGCTAAAATTTAAAACTTATTGATAACCCCAACTGCGGATTGCCGTCGTGCGCCACATGCAGGTCGCCAACACTACTTCCACGTCCTGGTGCACGAACGGGCCGTCCAATTACAACAACGCCGCGGTCGTCCAGATCGCGACGCCCACGGTTACGGTCAGTGGCGCGTCGAGCACCTGTTCCGTCAGTAGCATCGTGCTCGTGAGCCCCGCCTGATGCCTGTAGTATGGTACCGACGGAGAGAATGGAACGACGGGCCTTCATTAGTTCGCCACCGCTAGAGATCGCCACTTGCTTCCGTGCCTCACGCTTTCGCTTTTGGAGTTAACGGTCGATCGGAGCATTCCATTCCACCGTGATATTCCTCCGTGTTCTTGACATCGTGGGATGCGCTGCCCGCGAGTTGACCGTGGTTCGCACCGCCGTTCATGCATACGGACGGGGGGAGGTTTAATTGCGTTCGACGGCTATCTGGATCAACGGCTAGCCGCTGTGCCGGTGTGAGCAGCCCTGTGCTCGAAGCAAGAAAGTCCTTAACCTAAAATAAGCAGACGTCATCGCCACGGCTTCACGATATCAACGCGACGCGTCCCTCTGGTCGATTGACCTTACCCCGCGTTCTCCAAACCGTCTTGGCTGGAGCTCGTCGATCCCGACGATAGCCGTTTACTCTCGGCCCCGGCCATGCCCAAACGCCCGACAACCCCCGAGCCTAGCGACGATGAGCCGAGATACTTCACCGTCGTGAACCCGTACCCAGCACACGCGAACATGGAGCTGCCGCAGGACCGCAAAGATTTCGCATTCTGGCTGGCGTGCATTGTCGGAATGAAAGATCTCATATCTTTCTTCCACAAGCCGAGCGTCAGTGCACTCGTGGCTTTTATGGTAACATCTTGTACTGAATGCCTTCCTTGTATGGTGCCTCGTGTTGACCAATGCAGTCACCGAGCATGGTCATCATCGAGATCGCGAGATCGTCCACAGCGGACACTCGTCTCCTTGGAATGCACAAGGCATGATTACGCCATGTTTCAACTCGCACCGCTCGCTAAGCCTAGCCTCGTTTAGTGGTCTGAATTTCTCCGTAATCCGGATGAATCAGAGAAGTGCCGCGTCAGCAAGATTTTCTATTGCACGCACAACACCGGAAGGAAGGTTCAGAAAACCGGTAAGGACGATTGATTACTGCCCGGAGCTATCTCGTTGATCCTTCCAAAGGCTGGAAGAGGATCTACGTCGAAGAACACTGGTTTACGGAGGCAGGATGGAAACCGAACAATAAGTACGTCTGCACCTCATGTGATATACACGCTCTGATCATAGTACGCAGACTCATCATGCACCCGTACCCACCCTCGCATTGGTGCCTACCACCACCGGAGGACAAGACTACAGCTGGGCTTTGTCGGCCGCTCCCTGTCAAGACCTTCCCGCCTCCACAGCCAGAACTTCAACCGAAACGTAAGCGAAGGCGCCCCTCGTTTCGAAGAATCTCTCTCTTACGAATATCATACCAGCCGGTTCTGAACAGTGGCTGAAGACACGCGGACCGCAGCCTATACAACCCGTGCCACGCCTTCCTGGCGGGGCGTGGGCCAGGGGAGCACCGTCTGCCAGCGTTGCTCCGAAGATCGCCAGCGGGAAGTCCGCGCCTTCGCCCAACGCGTTCATGCAGATGAACGACGCCGGTCACATGCGGCCATCCGCTGGAGCGTGGCACTCATTCGCAGCGACTCCTACCGCATCGCCTTCGACATATACTCAGATTCGATACACCGCAAGCACCTCCGACGCACCTGACTCTTGGGATGCGCTGATCGCTAGATCGCCCAACGATCCCCTCTCCTGGGCCGATGACGTGGCCCGAGCGTCACGTTCGCATTCGCCAACGAGCTCGTCTGGATACGAAGCTCCGTTAGTCCCCCCAGGTCTCACCAAACCGATTCGTAGTTCCCCTTTGACGGTCGGTGGTCCGCCGCCAGGGTTGACGGACGCTGAGACCAGCGATGGCGACGAGTCTTTGCCTAGAACTGGTGTTGATCGGGAGTTCGATATGATCGCTGCTCTCGAGGAGGAATTCGGCAGCGTCAGCGTCGCTGCAGAACCGGAAGCAGGGGCAGGAACTGTAGCATCAGCTGCTGCGGAAGAGGAGACGGATCTGTGGGCGGACTACATGAAACCTAAGGACGCCCCTCTCCTGCCCAGTCAGCGAGACTGCCCCGAACATGGACGCACTTGCAAGAAGGGCATTTGCGCCCAGTACGCCAAGATGAAGCGGGACCAAAGGAGGGAACAGGAACGTCAAGAAAGGGACACAGCGCGTGAAGAAAGGGCCATGGTCCGAGCAAGACGAGGTCGCGGTCGCGGTCGCGGTCGCGGTTCTTCTGGTCCTCAAGCACCACCCGCATCACAAGGTCGGCCAGGTGAGTATCATTTCTCAAACGTTCATGTCATACGCGTCCGTCAGTGAGCGCATTTTGACGAAGTTGTTTGCTTTGCTCTCGGTGTCGGGCGCTCGGTCGCAGCTGATCGTGGATCTGCAACTGGCCTGCCGTCACCTGCGTCCCAACGCTCGCACTCCGATGGCTCTGCCACAACCGCGGCTTCCGGCGGAGGCAGAAATGCGTGGGTGCCAACGCCTCAGAGGGGGGACCAATCCGAGGCAGGCTCGGCTGCCTCCTGGGGTGTCATGTCAGAGGATCCGTGGGGCTCAAAGACCCCTGTCGCTTGGGACAAGAGCAGCAGCACCGGTTCCGCATCGACGGTGACGTCCGCCAGAGATGCGAAACCGAACTCCATGGTTAGATCCGCTAGCGGGGCGGCGTGGGGCGGAAGCACCGGCTCTTGCAAAGGCGGACGAGCCCCGAGCGTGGCGGGTAGCCAGTCTAGTAGTGCATGGGGTACATACTCCAACGATCCCTGGGGAGACTGATGTCTATACTACTCAGTACGTTCTGCCTGCTATCTGCTTGCATTTATATCTCTAGGCTCGAATGTTTGATTTTGTGCTCTCGTCGCTCTACCTGTACATCTATACCTTTATCGTGTTATCGAGTTCGTCACTTCCGCTGACCGGATGATTGGATTATAAGGGTGGTGTTGACTGGAGTTTTGCGTTCTCTCAACCTTGGCGTGCATTTGAATTTACCCAGAATCGTACAGCGATCGGGTAGAGGTAGTTCCATTGCTGTCTATTCGTGGAAAGCGTGCTTATCGTACAAGAAAATCCTCTTCGCAATGGTAACATCTGTCTCTGTTCAAAGACGACGAAGCAGGCAAGCCACGGATAACATGAAGATGGCCCATGGTCTGCATTGGCGTGAAAGGCGCCGAGCTCTTCGAGTTCACCTGATCGAGATATTAAGGAGGTCTGACGGAATCATTCGAGCCTGATGTACGTTGCGCTGCCTGTCGAAAATCTGCTGGTCGGGTATGATAATGTGGTATTACATATAGAAGTCGGGCTTGCGGGCATTGATGCCGTACTCTTGCAGGGCGCCGGCAAGATCCTCCATGGTTAAGGTGGTACGTGTCTTATCCTTACCTTCAGATCAGTCCAAACTACCGGGATGGAATGGATAGCGCACCCTAGCACCACCTGCTGTACGCGACCGCCCAGCCGATGCATTCGTGCGGATTCGCGCGTGTTGGTACGCATCTGCGGCGATATCGGAAACGAATTTCTGAGCGGCCAGTGACAATAGTCGCTTTCTGCAGAATATCGAAGGTAGAATGAGGGCTCCAGTCAAGGTCCCGATGAGAAGGGGGACCCTACAATCGGACGTCTTGGCAGTCAAAGCCAACTCGTTGCAGATAGTAATCCGTGACCTCGTTGGGAATCTGGCGAACACTCCTTGAGATTCATGTGGAACTTACGGCACGAGAACATACCAATGGCTCGTAGTCGTCTAGCATCAGCAAGAAATCCGCAAGTGTCCTGTCCTTGCGAGCTTGTTCGGCTTGCTGGCGGGAGAGCTGGGGTTGTGATGGCTGAGACGATGTAGCGCTAGACTGCGTCTGGGACGTCGATGCTTGTTGACTCGAGGACATGTTGGATGACGACCTGAGCAAGACCTCGGCGTGGTTGGGGGCAAGGAGGCTTCGCGTGTCTCACGGACACCGCGTTCGGCTTACCCCGATATTCTCTTGCGGGGTCAAACCCGCTTGCAGACTACTACTCCATGGCGAAGAAAAAGAAATCAGGGCCGCCGTACGACTATTCGAAGTCTGAGAATGCGTATCTCCTCGTGGTCTGGTGCTATGGGATGGACAACGACCGGCCGTCCGAGAGAACACAGATCGATGTCGACAGAGCTGGGACGTTCATTGAGGCTGCTACGGGATACCTACCTAATCGGATCTTCACTCGAAAAACCGTAAGTACAGTGATGAGGAACTGCAACCTGTTGTGTGCGTGAAAGCGTGGTGACGCTTGAGGCGCGAACTCCTCGAACGGCACCATAACACTGTGTTCCTTCATGCAGGAGATGGTTGTCATTGTCGAGCTTCCCAAAGAGGTGGATTTCACCCCTTTGTATGGCGCACATAGGTGAGTGTCAGATACCGCTGTTTCATCGCTGCGGCACAAGCATCAGAAACGCTGGATCGGCTGCTGATACGCTCACAAAGATGGTCCGAGTTTGTAGAGTCAAAGTACCTTAAACGTCATCAAGTCCCGAATATGACTACTTTCTTTGAGTACAACTACGTAACACATGGACCACCTGAACGTATGTTCATAGTTCAAGTCCAACTACTGCGCGCAGCTAACAGAAGTGGCATCGGTAGGGACATGGGAAAACGAATATCCCGCGGAGGATTATCCCGACAAAGCACATATTGTCGCCTCGTTGAAGCAGCCGTACCCCTACCCTGTGCGTATAAGACCGAGCTATGCACGCTGTCCCAGCCGTTTTGGCAAGGAGCTCGCGAGAGATCTATTCCCACCACAAGTTGAGATTTCTTCCACAAGAACAGAAGAACCGGTGGTGAAGCCCGAAGAACAACGAGGAAACCTGTCGGAGCCGCCCCAGCCCGAACCCCAAGTTTTGCTACTAGATCCTCCCGTGAAGATCGAGTACCAGGACCCGGAAAATCATGTCGCGAACAGTCCTAGTAAAACTGACGTGTTTGCAAGTGAGGTAAGTACCACACCTTTACCACTTGATACCGGTTGATTTCACATACTTCACGTCCTCCATAGGTAACGGCGTCGGCATTCCGGCCGTATGAACCTCCCTCTCACCATCCTGCGCACGCGCATTATCCTGACCATGTGCAGGGGCGGCCAGATCCTGTGAAACTAGGTTTGTCACTACCCATGCAAACTTGTTTGGATCTCTGCTCAATCGCAGCTGCAACTGATCATAGAACCGCCGGAACATCAAGAGATGTCCTCCAGTCGCGCCGGTACGGTACAAACGAGTACCATCCCTGATAGCGATTGATCGTGATTATGGTTCAGCATCGTCGTCGAAATATGATCCTTACGAAGAAGGTATGTCAGACGTACAGAGCCATCCAACCTTCCGATCATTTCTTTCAACACATTTCAATTGAAACAGAGGAAGCTGCTCAGCTCGCCCTTCGGTTGCCCGTGACAAACATCAAGCAGGAAGACGGGATAATTTCCGCTGTCCCATCTTGCGCTGTTCCTGTGAAGCAGGAAGATGTGTATACGCCGTCATCAGCACTCGTCGATTATCTCCGTACTCGTGGTATGTTAGGATGGTTTCCTCTGTAAGTCTCGAAATGCTCATCAGTTCCTCAAGGATCTGCTGTCTTCAATCTTCCACACGAAGGCTCAGGGCACGATCGTGATATCAGCCGTGGTGTGTTCGATATTTCCAACTGTATTTGCTTAAGCATTAATCTCTGAGCAGCGTATGCGGCGACGAATCACGCAAAGCAAGAGCAGTGGGATGATAGTGCTGCTCTTCATCCGCCTGATCTCAACTCAACACGAAAAGCACCTTCGACATCGGTGAAGCTAGAACCTCCAGAACCTTCGATACCGTCATCTATGAGCACTCGTGATCCACGACGGCCATCGCGTAAGTTGAAGTCAATTGGAGCAATGCATACTCAATTCTAATTAAATGCAAACAGCACCTTCGACGGCCGTCAAACTCGAACCTCCACAACGTTCAATACCGTTGTCTATGAGTACCCGCGATCCACGGCGGCGTCCGCGTGAGTTAGGATGAGTTGGTGGGGCATATATACCTAGCTAAACCGAGAGTGCGCGTGGCAGCCTCGCTTGTACGAGTTAAAACAGAAGAGCAAGAGCTTGGCGAGGGCAACCTCGGTTCGTCAGGTAGGAAGGATTCGATGCAACGAGCCCCCGGCAACGTGGAATATGATCGCAAACACGCTACATCCCTTGCAAGTATGTTGCTGACTGTCTGTGATCTACGGTTCGACTGCTGACTTCCGAAATAGCACTATACGGCTCGCATAAGAGACTTAAAGAGGAGGATGTGAACAGGGGTAAGCCGAGTCCACGTCTGCATGAACATCCCTTGATATTGGTGTCTAGACACGAAACGTATCAAGAAGGAACAAGAATGATCTTACATACATGACATGCATTTTTAGCTTGTAATTGTATGGTAGTAATACGCTTCGACTGCGCTCACCAATTGCGAGGCATATCATCGGCATACTTAACCTGTTGGTTGACTCGGTTGACGTCATGACGCGTGAAGCCACGCGAGAGCGTGACTCTTCCTCAGTCCTTTTCGATTCAGCGTTGTCCTCGCCGTAGGTGGCATGACTGCAATAGATTTGCCAATGGTCGACTCTCGTGGCACAGATAACCCGTCGCCTTTGATCGTGTAAACGGCATTCTTCGTCTCCAGTACAATACCAGCCTGTTCTCTCTTGAGTTTGTGGTTCTGCTTCTTCACGAGTCATGAGGAGCTCCTGCCGCTGTTCCCCGACATCTGAACGCTTCCTGAAGCTGTGTGAGCGGACCGTCGGCTGCTCAAGATGATGCATATGACCCTGGTACGGGCGTACGCATCGCAAAAGCGCTCATCAGCTGACAGTGTTGCTTTAGGGCTTATAACTCATCATGCCTTGAGCCCAGCCGTTGCTTCAATACGCCATGCTCGCAATCCTTATATGTGCTTGTTTTCCGCTCGTCAAGGCCGTAAACATACTACAATATTTGTCTGTACCGCTGCTCATCAGTGACCTTTTCAACAATCAAGCTGCATCTACCAACGGGTCCTTCGGAGACTTCGATGGATCTGGGGGTTCCTACGATGGATCCATTCTGCCGACTGGCTCCTGGGCATACGATGGAATCATAGTTCGTGTTAGACTCGTATCACCGTCATGCTGAGGGTTGATCAGGACTCATAGTATGAACTACCCGCGTCGTGGGGTGGTTCCGTTTCAGACAACGTCATTGCAGAAGGGCAAGTAATCGAGCTTTCGAAGCCCACAATCATTCATGAGTTACATCTCTTATACGCCGGCGGTATGTCATCTACTTCAAGTATGCATGGGTTGGCCTAATAGAAGTAGACGGAAGCGATAAAGCATTCAGTGAGGGTTTCGCGCACCTGTCTGCCAGTGGCTGAACGTCGCGTCGACCTGTTTTCGGTTAATCAAAAAGATTTCAACCTCACTTATGCAGACAACACGACAGAGCAATTCCAGCGTGAGTTTCCGCCTCGAACACCTCTCACCGGGTGTTGATGAATTACGTAGTTGCCGCAAAGAGCTGGGGCGACAGTCCTGGTGCTGTTTTGACGTTAAGAAAGCAACTGAGCTCATTCGCATACACGCTAATAATCTTGCAGCCCATTCCGGTTCATCTCCAACGGCTCCGACGTAGACTGGAACTCGACAACAATTCAGCAATGGTCGACGTCTCTTCCCTCGCGCAACGCGTTGACAAGCATCACACTGCCGCAGAGCGGTGCAACGTCGCGTCTGCATCTGTTTGCTATATCCATGACACCATCGGTAGTGGATGCTTCTCACGATGCAGGGCCTTTGCTTTCCGTGCGTCGTGCGCGGTTCACGACTAGATGGGAATCTGTCGGCGGCAAGCGGGCGCAAGCCGTTGAAGTGACGTTGGATAACCTGCTTCCAATCAACGCGTTTTCCGAGAACACCTCCATCACGAACCCCATCACTATCGAACTGTCCGGCACACAACTTCGGACGGTGAAACCTGCGGTTATCAACCGCCTCGTTGCTTCGGACCGTGTTCGTGTAGATGTTCTCGTGGCTGATGGTGCAAGTGGCAACGCTACGGTGACTGTCAAGGACCACACTGGAAACACCCTCGGTCAATCCGACGGATGGCTCGTAACACCTTTGCCGGGGGTTTGGTCAAACGACCCCTCCCTCCTTCTCACACACGAGACCCCCACTTGGGTGAGCACCTGCTAATCACTCAGTGGTGTCACCTCGCTTATCGCAACGGTCTAGTGGAACGAAGCGAAATATGGTATATTGTATGTGCTACAACTATTGATATCGGTGACCAGCATGGCATAGCTTACATTGCCGCAGCATTCATTGGGGGATATACTCATATCCGGCTTGGGCTCCGCCACAACAATACGCGGAGTGGTATGAGTCCGTACACAATTGCTCTCCTCTCGCTCTCAAGGCTCACAATTCTGTCAGCTGGGACTTGCATAATCCTTCCAACTCGAGCAGCCCAACCTGGGAGCACCATCTGCAGACTTACGGACCAGTGGGACTCGATTGTCGAACGTTCAATATATTAAGCTGATCGCTTATGTACCAGGATGTGGTTTACGACGATTTCATTGTGAACTTCACTGCGAGCAAGTTCAATGCTAGCTCGTGGGTGGATCTCTTCGACAGAGCTGGGGCGAAGTACTTTGTCCTCGTAACAGTGAGTGTTGTCAATGAAACATTTGATTCTATCATTGATTGTACGCAAGAAACACCATGACGGGTATGCCTTGTTCGACTCTGGCAACACCACTCATCGGGCAAGTGTTTATCTGGGCCCTGGACGTGATTTGGTGGACGAACTCTTCACTGTTGCTAAGAAAGAGAAACCAAATCTGCATCGTGGGACCTACTATTCTCTGCCTGAATGGTAAGAGGACCAACGTGCGTTCTTGTGGTGGGGAGAGGCTAAAGTGCTCACCCAATCAGGTTCAACCCCGACTTCGCCAAGTATGGTTTCGCAGAATGGCCAGGCGGACTGGCTCATAACGCCTTCAACGCGTCTGAGCTGGAGCCATACACTGGCAGGCTGAACATCAGCGACTATCTACAAGATCTACAACTTCCCCAGATGCTACTGCTTGCTCAGAAATACGACACGGAAATTATGGTACGGTTGATCCTTCGAGGCCTCAAGGCGCGAAACTGAGCTCTGGCTCAGTGGTGCGATATTGGTGGTCCGAATATGACGCTGGAGTTCGAAGCACAATTCTATAACCACGCCCAGGCACATGGGAAGCAAGTCACGATCAACAATCGTACGTCTGCGCGTGGAACCAAGCATCTCGGTTTATCTTATGATCTTCAACTAGGATGTGGGGTGCCGCAATCCGATTTTGACACCCCGGAGTACACGAAATTCAATGCCATTCAGACGCGCAAGTGGGAGACGAGCGAGGGAATGGGTGAGTTTTGACGTCCAGTGGACTACGCTACCTGCTCACAGGAATCGGCTAGATCCGTTCAGGTATGTAGGCTCAGTTACCCGCACGAGAAAAGCGGACTGAAATCTGCGCCGTCGTGTAGTTATGGACTCAACAGCGCCACGAACGCTTCGCAATATAAGAACGCAACTACTATCGTCCAGTCGCTTGTGGATATAGTGTCGAAGAACGGAAATTTGTCAGTCGGTTCAACTTGCGCGACTGTCATGACAGCTAATCAGATTGCAACTAGCCTGCTGGATATTGGACCCAATGCTGAGGGTGAAATAATTGAAGCTATGTCCAACAACCTGCTCGCTGCGGGTGAATGGTTGGCGAACTCAGGGGATTGTGTTTACGCCACCGTACGTGCCTGTTCGTTCTTGCTAGTTATCTGACCACTAACAATAGAGCAGGACTACTGGTTCAAAGGTTCACAATCATGGAATGCGAACTCCACCTTTGATATCCGGTTCCTGACGACGCCAACGTCGTTCTGCGTCGTTTCCTTCACCAAACCCCAGTTGAATACAAGCGCCAGCTCCTCCACGCTCACGGTTACAGAGAGGACCCCCATCCTACCGGGGGATAAGATCTTCTATCTTGGTAATGGGGGTGACGGAGAAGAAGTGCAGTGGAACGTGGATAGTAATGCGGGGCTGTTGACTATCACGATCCCGGCGTCCACGAACCTTGAACCAGCCGGCGGTGCCGAAGCCTGGGCGTTCCAGGTTCAATATCAGACCAAGCATTGAAAAGGTTCCTTGCTCCCGCGATTCAGTACCATTAGCAAGCATTGTACAGATATCATTTTGGTGGCGTCGTCTACGAGAACTGTTGCTCGATCTAGTCCTCGTCCCAGTTACCCGCCTGCTGCGGGATTTTCGGGCCACCTGCAGGTTTGCTCATGATGATGCTGTCGACTGCAAGAACGGAGGTCGCCGCCTCCGTCGCAAGCTTGATCGCCCACGACTTGGCCGCGAGGGGGTCGAGGATTTTGTACTCCGTCGCGGACAACGTGCCATCTGTCTCCTTTTCGACGTCGACGCCCCACGCCTCGCCGCCTGCCTGCTCATGCTTCGCCCAGAGTCGGCTGACAACCTCATTTCCCTCGGCGCCGCCCAACGCGTTCTCGGCCAGCGTTCGCGGCACGACCTCTAACGCCTGTGCATACCGCTTCACGGCGTGCTGCGCCAGACCTCGTAATCCCGCTCCATATTGTTCAATCCGCTTCGCGAGCTCCAACTCCGTGGCGCCCGCGCCCGGAACGAGTCGCGGGTCCTTCAGCAGCGACTTGATCACATTAACGCCGTCGTCAACCGCGCGCTCGAGATCGTCGAGGTGGTTCGTCGTCGCCCCACGCAACACAATCGTAGCTGTTCGTGTCTTCTCACCCGGAGCGCTCGGATCGAAGCCCTCCGCCTCGTCACCCGGCCCAAGCTGACGCAGCACAGTCACGCGGTCACCACCGACCTCGATGCACTCAAAGATATCGACGCTCCCCGCTTCCTCTGGCGTAGGCGCGCCAATGCGCGCGAGTGGGGTAGCGTTTACGACGCGACAAAGCCGGCGGAGCTCGAACTTGGAGAGCACCTTGAGGACAGCGATGTTGAAACGGTCAAGGTAATGCAGCGCGAGCTCGCCAACAGAGGAGCCGGCGACGATGACTTTGACACCGCTGTCGGCTATTTCTTTGAAGATCTGACGATGTGGATCAGTTACGCGGTACAAGAGGGGAAAGGGCAAATGAACCTTCTCCATGTGTTTCTCCTCTCCCCGAGTGAAGTTCAACATCTCGTCCGCGTTCTTGATCAGGACGGTTCCTTTGGTTTCCGTCTGTGCGATGTCCAATCCACACGTGTAAACCGCTACTTTCGCCTTGGCGACTCTTTTGATGTGCCCTAGACAATGATAAATCTCAGCCATGTCTCGCCAACTTTAAGGCAAGCGCTAACATACCTTCCGGCTCTCTTCCGAACACCATACCTTGGACGACCTTGGATCCGGCTAGGCTTCCACCCATAATCTTGACGACACGAACATTGTCAACGTTGAAGTTCTTGGGATTTTCAGGCATGACGGCAAGGGCGGCTTCCGCTACCAACGCGGCCAAAGTGTCTTCTTGACCATATTGCTTGGATGCAATAGATGGCTTGACAGCAATAGCAAGGGAGGATAGGTTAAGAGGAGATGCAAGAGATGAAGTCGACAGCTCTGAAAATAATGAGTAAATTGCGAGTAAGAGTACCGGATGCACAGCACGTACTCTCGAGTTCGGCCAAAGCTCTAGTGCTCGCGAGTTCATAACCCTTGATTACTTCGGATGGGTGGAGGCCCATTATGAGCAGATGTTCCGCCTTTTTGAGTAGCTCTCCGGCAAAGATGAGAACCGTGTTGGTGGCATCACCCATCTTGCGAGCCAAATGTCAGTCCTTCGGTCGATGGAGGTGGTATGTACTACACACCTCTTGCTCCTGCGCCTGACTTGCCATGACCAACAGCTTTGCGGCTGGGTGCACAACCTCGATCTCGCGGATGATCGTCGCAGCATCCGAGGTGACGAATAGTTTGCCAAGATGGTTGATGAGGAGTTTATTCCGGCCTGTGCTTTGGGTTATCGAAAGCGATTCATACGTGTTAGTGAGGAAGTTGCGTACCATTGGGGCCGAAAGATGTCCTGACAAGATCGGAGAGCTCGTTCACTGCCTGGATGTTGCGGAGAACGGCATCCTCCAATCCAGAAATATGCTACCAAACCACCCTTACATCAGCAATGTGTACGCCACCATACAGGTCAATGTAATGCACCTTGTACCCATCCTTGAATAGCTGGATGTTGTTCGCCTTCGGGACCTTGAGCGACATGTCGACCTTGGTGATTTTGCGCGAAGGGCGCGACTGAGAAAGGGCTGCAGCAGCAGAACGCGTCCGACGCGTGCACTGCATTCCATCACTCCATCCTCTGCCACCACATCGCAAGGAGGATGGTCCTCAAAATATTGGGTGCGACCTTGAATGCTGTCCTTCCGTCGAACTACTACAAGCATGCTGCGGCTGTGGTAGTCGGGACGGTTGTCATCCGAGCATTTGCGCAGGGCCGGACCACTGACCGCGAGCGGGACTTGCATGCTAGGACCGTCCTGCTCACGGTGAATAAGTAGCGTCATCTCTACAAGCTGCAAGCTCATCAGTCTATCATAGGGTGGATTCACGCCCTTGGGCTTGACCTTGGCGCAGCAGTTAGCTCAGAGGGGTGCCCACCTCATTCTTCTCTCCTCTGAGCCCATCAACTCCCCCCGCGTCGAACTCCTCGTCGAGCTCCTGCGCACCCAGACGTCTAACGACCAGATCTTCGCTGACGAATGCGACCTCAAATCTCCCGCATCAATCAAAGCGTTCTGCACCAAGTTCCTCACCGGGAACGAGACCCGACTGGATGCCATCGTCTTCGCGCACGAATACCAGCACATCGGCGCCGTACTCGGATCCACAGACGAAACCCGGAGGCAAGACGAGAAGGAGCGCGAAGCAGGGTCTATGGCCACCTTCTTGATCACCACTCTTCTCCTCCCTGCGCTGCTAGTCGCGCCCGTTGAACGTGACATCCGCATCGTTAACGTGGTTAACCCCTTCTACGCCGCCGCCGCGCCGCACTACTCTCCGATGTCTTCGCTCCCGCTTGCTCCCTCTCCCCCTCATTCTTCGCCAACATCTTCCCACGCGATCCCCACACCTCCCTCTCCCGCGTCGTCGTCTGTTTACATCCTGGAGGGCCATCGCGCTCTGAGGACCGCCATACTCACCCGTCACCTCCAACGGATCCTCGACGCTCTCCCTAACCGGTCAGCCCCTCCCCCGACGGAGAGCGAAAGCAGCACTATCCCCGTTGTGAGCGGACAAGCGCAGCGCTCGAACATTGTCGCCGTTTCTGTCTCTCCTGGAATCAGTCGTTCGGACACCGTATCGAGAATCTTAGGTGCCGACCGCGATTCGGCCACAACATTTTCGTGGCTCGGATTATTGATGTACGTGATTGTGTCCCTTTGAATTTGCTTTGATCGAGTGCTAATACGAGCGTTCAGATATATCCTTCTCCAACCCGTCCTCTTCATCTTCACCAAATCGTCTTCTGTGGCCCTGCAATCTGTCCTGCATGTGCTATTCCTCCCTACACCGTTTAAGTCTCTCGAAAACGCGAGCACTGGCCCGACGTCTCTGGTCCCCAAAAGGAGAGGCGAGGAAATCTTGAAACCGGGAGCGCTCTACGCGGATTGCAGTGTCGTACGGGTACAAGTGCCTACACCACCCACCACCGACGATCCTTCAGCGGATGCCCCTTCGTCTGACCCAACTCCAGCGCCAGCGCCCACGACAGCGCCAGAGAAGCCCACATCCGACTCTAACGTCGACCCTAAGTCGGGCCTCCAGTCCATCCCTGACGACCATGAGTACGGCGGCGAGCTGGTCGGGCGGCTCACCTGGGAGTCGTTCGAGCAGCAGCTCAGGGACTGGGAGCGCACTAATCCCGAGCCTGCGCCGCATCACACGCCGGCACCCCAGACGAGTGAGAAGGGCGCGATTCCGAGCACTCCACCGCAGACGGCGCCGGTCGAACTAGAAGAGGAGGGCGCGGACGTGTATCATTGAGAGAAAGAGGTAGGAGGTAGAGACTTGATTGACGAACCATTACGATCTTTCATCACTGCGGACTTACGGTTTGGATATGCATACCACATCTATATGCACGCAGCACTAATGCATTGCACATCTCGCATCATGATTATCAAAGAGTGGACGACCTTCGATTTCTTTGAGACCATCAGGAGGTGCAGTTCAGCGATGCGGATCGATGCTTCGTCTGTTTGCCGGCCTTGAATTTCATCACGAGCTCTAGGGCACGACGGCAACGCCAGCAACCTCATTACCTCAAGCTCGAAGCCCAGTCTGTGTCACACTGCCCAAATCTGATTAAAGTGCTGACAAAATGCTTCGGACAGACCAATCCGTCGAGTATCTCCACAACGAGGTTCCGTCGGCGCGTTCAACCAAACGTCGTCATTGTTATAGAACATGGTCGAATTGGGCAGCCCCACTAGTGCTGGCTGTGCGTGTCCTGTGTGCTCTTGCGGAATGCTAAGGCAGAGTCATCGTTGTGACCACGGGTCGCTTGGGCGTGCACCAACTTGCCGGACTGAAACGACAGCAGCCCTGGGTCGTCCACGGGCACGCTCTCCCTACGTGCGACTGTGCCTGTTCTGCAGAATCTCGAGATGCGTAATGAAGGCAACTTTTGCCTTCACCTCTTATGCTACACGCCTGACAGCATGAGTGCCTTTGAGGTGTACGTTATTCATCCGTTTGCCAGGAGTTGATGGGCGCTGATCACGACCTTTGCCACGCCCAGGCTCACGATCTCAGTAACCGATGAATATCATTGACGCATGGCATCCGAAGAATGCGGAGCGACTCCGGGCGCACAACGCATCAACAAAAGCAGCAGCCGTGCCTGGCAGCCTCTTCGTCCTAACGGCGGCACGGTTCGACGGCAAATGGACATAGGCGTGAACGGGAGCGTGGCTGCGGTCCCTGTTGCATTTCATATGCAGTACGCGGAACCCGAATACATGTATAAAGGTCGGGGGGGGGCGCACGAGTGGTCAGCAGGCGAGTCGATCCTTGGTTCTCACTTCCGCACAACTGTCCGATGATGAACATCGCCAACGTCCTCCTTGTCGCCGCCTTGGTCAGGCTGTGAGTTGTCCCTTGCGTGTGAGCGTTGTAAGTTGGCGACATTGACAAATTCTGTTCATGTTCAGCTCCACCGCAGCCCCGCACGTCGTCGCGAGAAGCTGCCTGGGTCCATCGTATGTTCAGTCAGAGTCTCGCACTTCTGTCGCCATATAACTGGGTCCACAGTTGCCTTCCTGGCGTGCCATGCCCCGATTTCTGCGTAGTTGAACCGAGTACAACGCTCGCTCCGACTCTTACGCCGATCACCACCGGAGTCTGCGAAACGTTCGTGTGTTGACGTGTGCCCAGTTCCCTTCGCTGACTTCGGAGAAATTAGCTGTAAACCCGGAGTGCCCTGCCCACGTTTGTGCCACATTATCACCGTAACACCGACATCGACAACGGAGCCAACAACGTCGCTTGTATGTGCTACGTGAGTTTATCGTGCCTCGCTGGTTTTGCGAAGATGCTTGAGTAACATTATTGTACCAGTTGCCCGCCCGGCGTACCATGTCCGCGAGTATGCGAGATTGTGACAATCACACCGACACCGACGTCGAGTGCTTCGTGTTTCCCGTGTGTCACGATCGTGCATTCTTCGACTGGGTTGCCAGACTACTGATCCGTTGAACAAAATTACAGCAGTTGCCTTCCTGGAACCTTCTGTCCTCTTTGTTCCACCAGCACCGGCAATTATCCTTGACCTATTAGACGACCTATTATGAACGATGGAATATACCGCTGTGCCTCAACTAGTAGCACATACGAAAGATGAGAAACATAAATGAAAGCCCGTTCGATTCATTTCCCTCAGCCATGCTATCCCCTGATAAGAGGCTGCAAAAGGCATGTGAGAAAAGAAAGGATGGGGATCCCCCGACGTCACAAGGCGGTACTGCAATACCAAGGACATCGCGCCAACGAGATGCAAGCAGAGCTCGAAGGACAAGGGCGGCAAAAATTAGATAACCAATAATGGAGGCGATGCCTCCATAATAGTGGTTAAACTATTAAGAACAGATACTACACTTGATCTAAGCCAAAAGGCCAGAGTGGTAAGGAAATACAGATGTCGCCGCGAGCCTTATATACGGACGATGGCACCAGTCAGGTGATTCCATTGTTTGCTGCAGCTTGGCTTGGAGCCTCGTGCACCAGACGATGAGAAACTGGAGCTTAAGTACTTATTCTCTGCCGAGCTGTACGACACGGGCCCCATGATCCACCAATAAAACTGGCTTAAGCTGTTGGGCTACATATGCGTGTCACTTACCTGCGCTGCGTCGGTTCCGCTGCTCCTGCGAAAGTTGCATGGGTCGAAACAGCCCTCTCCGCGCACAACTATCGGTGGCGCCCGCGCCCGTTCTGATCAATGCAGTTCTTCGACTGTAAAGCACGATACATCTGGCCCGTCCCGTCTAGGCAACATATATAGTGATGCTCTATTTCCGCACCGGCGCTGGCTCCTTCGTGCAGTGACGGGCAACAGCATTCACGCCGCCCGAGATCCACCATCCAGAAACATCAAATCGCAACACGTATCTCTCACTCTGAGTATGCACGATGATTCGTTGTCGCCCACGCACGTTGCTGGCCAAGCTCAATGTGGAGGAACACTGCCTCAAGGCCGTGGACGAGGTGTTCGCTCAGGGCGATGCTATGCGCACAGTTCTGATGTGCACGAGTGGGATTCCACCTTCGGGACTTTATGCATGTCGCCTTATAGTGTCTTGATCGGCGCCGTGGCTCGATATCCTACGCAACTCTGTGACCATGTCCGACTACGGCGTTGAGCTGGAGCCCGTCAATAGTGCCAGTCTGCTGAAGAAACCCACGGTTCACGAACTCGACGAGCGCAGACGAGCCAAACTCGAAGAGGTCGACACGACCCCGTTCACGTGGGCATACACCATAACCCATATTTCGTATGAGAAGCTGACGAACAGCAGGTTATTTCACCTCCGAGTTTGCCTTGTTGCAGGTATCGGCTTCTTCACAGATGCGTAGGTGTCTGGTCAAGCCACTGTTCGTGGTATAGCGCTAACGCTGGGAGCAGATATGACCTATTCGCCATCAACATTGCTTCGACCATGCTCGGTCTAGTTTACGATCCTACGGGTCGCAATACACAACTTTCTTCTACCCAAGATCTTGGTATCAAGGTGGCCGCCCTTTGTGGGACGTTGGTCGGGCAGCTATCCTTTGGCTGGCTCGCCGATATTGGTCAGTACGTCTCTTTCCTGCTGTGTTCGTGCGCTCATCGCGTGTCTCTAGTGGGTCGGAAGCGGATGTGTGAGTATTGGGGTTAGTCAGGATCGTGGCCAATGTGACTCACGGTCCTCCCAGATGGTTATGAGTTGATCGTGATCATCGTTGCGACTTTTGGTCAAGCTATGGCAGGGGGCAGTCAGGCCGTAAACGTTATCGCCGCGCTGGTCGTGTGGAGAGTTTTCGTAAGAGGCAGTCACCGCTTCTGCCGAGAGTCACTGACCGCCCCGACACACAGCTTGGAGTAGGCGTCGGTGGAGATTATCCGTTGACAGCAGTGATCACTTCTGAGTTCGCGTCAACGCGCATGAGGGGCCGAATGATGACGGCGGTGGTCGCTTGCCAAGGATGGGGAACGTTCAGTGAGCCGTGATAGCACACCCTCCCCCAAACGTACTCACCCTGTGCATGTCCAGCCTCCGCACTCGTTGCCTACATCATCGTGAGCGGGTACAAGTCATCCATCCTGCACGATGACCCTACGCTGTTCCCGCACGTGGACTCTATGTGGCGGCTACTCATAGGCATTGGTTGCGTCCCGGCGGCCATAGCGCTCTATTTTCGCCTGACGATCCCGGAGACGCCACGGTTCACGATGGACATCGAGCGAAACCTAGCGCGGGCAACGGCGGATGTTGACCGCGTGCTCAGCGATGGCGCATACATCATCACCGAAGACGCCGTCGTGCAGCGGATCGACGTCCCGCAAGCGTCGAAGCGCGACTTCATCGCTCACTTTTCCAGGTGGCGAAACCTCAGAATGCTGTTCGGCACATCGTGGTCGTGGTTTGCGTTAGACGTAAGCCTTTTCCATCAGAGCGCGCTCTTCATGCTGTCTGTTAACTGGATGATTCTCGCCAGATCGCGTTCTATGGTCTGGGTCTGAACTCCGCCGTCGTTCTCACCGCCATCCACTTCGGTGGCGGGAGCACGTTCACCCAGTGCAATGTCTCTCCGGACCGATTTCCACCCATGACCGCGAGCAGGGCCTTCCAGAACATGCACAACGTCGCTGTGGGCAACCTGATCCTTTCCGTTGCTGGCCTCATACCCGGCTATTGGGCGTGTTTCTTCTTCATCGATCGGTGGGGCCGGAAACCCATACAGCTCATGGATTTTGCGGTGCTCGCTGTCCTGTTCGCCATCATGGGTATGTGCCTCCTCTCGCCTCATTGACATCCTCTTAACCTTGAAACAGGCTTTGGATATCACAAACTCGCTGGCGATTGCAGTCACTCATCCTCGAGCGGCAGCGCAGGCTTCGTTGCCCTGTACTGTCTCGCCAACTTCTTCCAGAACTTTGGTCCCAACACTACCACGTTCGTCATCCCGGGGGAGGCGTTTCCGACGCGATATCGTTCGACAGCGCACGGCATCTCCGCGACCTCCGGCAAAATCGGCGCGATCTTGGCCCAAGTAGGTTTCACACTACTCAAGGACCGAGGAGGCCAGAATCAGTTCCTCGGACACATGTGCGTGCCTTCGCTTTCTACCGACCGCACAAGCTGAACGGCGTTATACATTTTCAGCTTGGAGATCATGGCCTTGTTTATGTTGACAGGAATCGCGTCGACGTTGCTGGTACCGGAGACGAAGCAGAAGAGCCTGGAGGAGCTCTCGAATGAGCAGCAGGAGGGCTTCGTTCGTGGATAGTAGGCGCTTGAAAGGCGTCGTGTCTTAGACTGCAGAGCCAGTCATTGCGGAAGGGACTTTGAGATACCCATGCCTGTGACATATGCGTATGTAAATCAGACCGTTACCTGAACACGTTGGTTGTGTGACCAGGCGAGGCTTGAGACACTGACAGGTAGAAGGACAGTCGACCTCCGCACTTGTTTCTCACGCTGATATGATTGAACAGCAAATGGAGCAATCCATCGATATGATCATGTCGTCGAGCACGCGGGGAACAGCCCCGCGGAGGTCCCTGTGATGTTAACGTTCTGGCAGGTGTACGTCGCCGCTCCGTACTTCGAGGGCGGTCTAAGGGAGCGCAAGCCGCCCTCAGAATGGGAGGAAGGGCAAGAACAAGTGGACACTTACGACAGCGTGAGGTTGTTGGCGTTGATGTCGGAGCAACGTCCGTCGGGTGAGCATGACAACGAGCCCACCACAGACTTTTCCTTGCCGGACGACGTTCCGGATATGCTACGCGTATGGAGGAAACGGCATCCGCTGTCAACATATCTTCGAACGGTAGGAGGCAACACGAACCTGTCGAACCAGACGTCCTGAATATACGTGTTGGACGGATACTCGGAGCAGTCCGAGGCTGAAGTCTCGTAGCACTGGTCGATGACGATCGGGTTGTCGACGTTGGACTCGATAAAGTTAGTAAAGGTGACGTTTTTGACGATGCCGCTCCCGACGCCTTTTCCGGCCCAGGCCTTGATACGCGCGCCGTTCTGCGCGTTGGACATCTTGATGTCGCTGAAGCGCCGCATAAGCTGGGAGATATCGAGGGTAAATTAGAGGGTGGCGTACGTGGCGAGGACGTTCTCGACTATATCGTAGACGCCGGCGTATTGGCCGAGAGAACCGACCTGAATTTGGGTAGGATGAGCATCGAAGCGGAGTGACTCTGAAAGGAACCAACCGAAATTCCATGAGAGCCGTTACATTGCAGATTGGAAACGAGCACGTTGGTAGTATCTGCCACGATGTCAGAATGTCAAGAGCATCGCCAGTGTATCCGAACCAGCTCACTCGGCTTGAAGGAGACACAGTCGTCGCCGTTGTTGATGTTCGAGTTTTTGATCGTCACATTGTCGCTCCTGTGGGCGCACAATTCGTTAGGTATGGGGCAGGTTCAGGGAAAGCGCGCGAGCGCACCGGTAGATGTCCCAACCATCCGTGTTCTTCGCGGCGTTCTTGGACGTGGACACGGCGCTGAGCGTGACATTGTCGAATACAACGCCTTTGGCTTCGTTCACCTACCAATGCACGGCCAAGATCGTCCGATAAGGCGTGTGTCAGCGCAGATGTCAACTCACGAGGTTGAACCACTCGGGCGCGTTGACCATGGCGATGTTCTGCACCGTCACGTCGCTCGCGTTGGAGACGGTGAGGATGATAGGCCGGCCAAGCGAACTATTGCTGGCGCTGAAGGGACAGCATCATCATGGTCAGCTTCGATTTGTTCCAGTGATTTCAGTGGGTCCTCACAATGCGTCGTACCAGGCCTGACCTTGGCCATCGAGAGTTCCGCCGCCGTCAAGGAGGATATGGTTGCCTTTCGGATGATGTGCGGTCAGAGAGAGGAGCGCTGCGCTCGTGGACAGGTTCACCTCCGAGGAGCCAGAACGCCAGCTGTGCTTGGAACGGGACGTAAAACGCGTGCTAGAGCGTACGTCAGCGTCGCAGCATCATCAGGGAAATGATTGCGTCACGTACTCCGGTCCAGTAACCGAGGTCGGGATTGAACGAAATCTTTCCCTGGATGTTCTGTGGTGTATGATCAGGGGGCTGCCCGTATCCTGATGGAACGAGAACACGTACGATGTGCTTGTTGTTGATGCCGGTCATGTCCAATGGCGAGGAGATGTTCAAGGTAACGCCCTTCGGGACGATGGTGGTGTCACAGCTCTTGACAGCGGCGAGGAAGGCGGGCGCGTCGTCTTTGCCAGAGCCGGCGGCAGCGAGCGTGCAACTGCTCGCGCGGGCGACAAGAGAGGGAGAGCGGCCTCCGAGCGCCGGCAGCGCAATGGCGAGCAATGCTACCGAGAGAGGGAGCGTATACATGACGGATCGGTAGGCTGGTAGTTGCTGGACGTCGGATCTTATACTACAGAATACTGGAGCATCGAGCGGACCGCGTTGTACGGCGGCGAACGGGGACGGGCCGCGGGCAGCATCGCAGGTCGAGCAAGGCGAAGAAGACGAACGCAGGTCATATGCGGCTTGCCTTCTCTATCAGCTGGGTCCATGGAATAGATGAGCAGCGACTGAATGGATCAACTTCGCGCGAGCATAGAGGGCCGCATGACTCTCGCCCCAGCTGCAGATTGCTTCCGACAAAACTCATTCTCGGATAAAGCGCGAGACGTTCATTATGACGAGAGGGACCTATAGCAGTGAACACATGCAAGCGACGCGGTGGAGGAGAAACAACCAGTCGCGTCGGATAGCAGCGGCCCGGGCGACTTTTCAATCTCACCGATGACACCGTCTCGTCTCCCGCCGACGTTCAGGTCGCTGTACCGTCTGCTGCTCAGGACGGCATCCGCAGCCGTGCTGCACCAGCCCACGTCGGCGCGCGCATTGCGTCGTCTGTACAGGGCGCCGTTCGAGGAGGCCGCCTCCGTCCTACGGCGCCCATCGCCGCCCTCCGACGCGGACGCAGCATGGATGCGGACATTCGAGGCTCGCAGTGCGTCGCATCGAACCCCTCCTGTTCCGCACGGCAGACTGACGAACGAACGCAGTGGACAACACGCTCTCGCTGCTCTACTCCTCCGCGCGCTCGCACGGACTCGGTCACCAGCTCACGCGTAATCTGACCGTGCTCTCCCGCCTCGAGCACCACCGCGCGGTGCAGAACAGGCGCGCGGCGATCGCGCTCCTCCCGCGTTGGAACCCCCGCCTCGCGCCTAACAGTCTGGAGTACACACCGCACCCGCCGCCGCGGGACAAGCGGACGGAGAACAAGGAGGCGAAGCGGGCACGGCATCGGCTGATGGACGACGAGGTGTGGAGTGCCTTTGGAGAGGCCGTCCGACTCGCGGAGGGCAGGGCGGGCGTCATTCTGGGCCGGGTGCCGCCGCTGACTAGGGGGAGGAGGCCTGTGTACGACGAGGCACGGTAGCCAAGGGGCGTTCTCCTCTATGCGAGGGACGTACTCCGAGGTGTAGTCCGTGTTTCGCAGCAGCTTCGCCTGCCTCTCGCAACGCGCTTAGGAAGGGGAGACTGGACCGAAACAATCTGGCAGACTCTGCCCCGCGCGAACATCGGCTCCACAAAGAAGACAAACCCGAAGTCGAGCGGAAGCTCTGAGCCAAAACCCGAATCCGACTGCTCCTTTGGCGTATTGTCGGTGCTGGCGGGAGGAATGGAGCATTCTTTGTTCTTGCCTCGGCCTGAGCCTGGCTTCTTGTTCAATGCATCGTCGGTACTGGAGGATTCGTTTCCCTCGGTGAGATGGCACTCGATCTCGCGCCGTCACCCCACCAGTTCCCTTGCTTCACGACCTTGTATTCTCAAGTGAATCTTATTCGTCTTTTGGTCGATATTCCAAGCGCTTTCCATGCATTTGAAGTCTAAGAGTCCCATGACGTGGTAGAAATGGCACGTGACTGTGCCACGACCCCCTCGCCATGCCCGTGGCCATGCGAGGGCCGCTCGGGATAAGCGAGAGCGCAAGGCAGGCCACGCAGCCAACGCCGTTCCTTTGTCCCAGCGCGTGTATAAGTCCATCTGGCCAGGGCAGCAACACGTTCCCCCCTTCGAACCCAACCCAGAACCACGAACCGCCCGAAGCGTCACGTAACTCCGACTCCTTTCCGTCAATCCCCTTTCGCCTCTCTCTCAGTACCAGCCACCAGTGATGGCGTATCGCCCGCCGAACGAGAACGACAGACCGCCTGGCGCGTCCCTCAGACACGCCAACACCGTCGCCGGCCTCGGCGGGAAGCAGAAAGGACCTGGCTCGCTCAGAAGGATGCGTGCCAAAGCTTCCTCGCCGGCTTTGAACCTGCGTCTGGACGCCGCCGCCAGCATGCTCGTCGCCGCAGCTGCCTCCACCCATGTGCCCACGCCCGTCACAGCGATGACCCCCAAGACGTCTCCACCGCCTACAGCAGTGGGCACGCCGTACGGCCACCCTGCGCCCTCGCCTCTCGCTCATGCGTACCACCACGTTCACGACCCCGACCGCGATACCTCGGACGCGGACTCACGTGAGTCCGCTATCTCGTAGAGCATGGGCACGCATCTAACGAATGCATCTCGTCGCAGTACGCACATCGTACGGGTTCGGACCCAGCCCCAGCGCGAGCTGCGCCAGCCTGACGTCGCTCACCACATCCGCCTCCTCGCACTACTCTCAATCGCAATCTCCCTTGCATACCCGCTCCTTTGTCGTCAAGAAGCCACTGCCGCCCACGCCAACCTCGGCGCCACCGCTCGCCGTGCCCTCCTCGCCTTCGTCAACGTCCCTCGTCTCCGTCTTCCGCACGGCATCTCTCAACCGCTTCCGGCGGAGCAAGTCCAAGGCGAAGGAGAGGCCCAAGAA